AAGGTCTCTCAACATGCCACCAACAGCGAAACAGTGAATTCTTTGGCCATAATTCAAATAAATTTGTTTGCAATTTGCAAAGACAATTCATGCAAATGATTCAGCAATGCCGTCAACTTGATGCGAAGGTAAATCAAACAACTGTCCTCAAAGAAGTGCATTGATTGGCGGCAACAGATAACGGACGTGTTGATGAATACACTCAGGAAAGCATTTCTCAATAGTGACTGGATGTTTTGAAACTGATAGCGGGAAATCAAGAAATAGGTCGTTGTCTGGGCACTTATGCAGTGGGAAGATCAAACTGAGTCCTTGTCAAATGTCCCTATAGCTCCATAGCTCCTTTTTAAAAAGCAAATTAGCTCCACAACTCCTTTTTAAAAAGCAAAGTTTCCAGCAAAAGTAAGCAATATCAACCCACCTTGAACATAGAATAATGCTTTCTGAAAGATAATTTATCGGATTTGTCCGAAAAATTTTCTCCTAGAAAGAATTTGTCGAGGCATGTCCGCATGTGTAGTATTAAAAACACAGTGAAGCCAAAATCTGAAAAACCGTATCTTGATAATGAAGATATTAAAAAGAATTATAAAAATCGATTAGCAGAAAAGATCTGCTTTTCAAGTGTAAGCCTCGTTAAGTGACATCTATCAGCAAGTGGTTATTAATATGTTGTTCTTTTTCCTTTGCCTCAAAGCAACAATGCTTTAAAAAATTAATGGAACGAATTTTCTATAGTTGTTTGAATGAGCAAACGCAAAGCCTTAAAAACATCTCTTTCTCGGATTGAAAGAGGTATTAACTTTAATTGGCTACTAGTACAAAATATCACGTTACTTTACAGAGTCACTAGAGAGCCAGGTAGGTACAACGGAATTTGTTCCAAAATTGGCATTATTCTTCCCTCACGAAAGATTTGATAAAAGCATAAAAGAAAGGGGGTATTCTGCTAAAAAATATGTTTACTGAAATTTTTTATCTTAGAGTTCTCTTCCGGAAATTTTCATACTTGATATTTGTGACAGGTGTTAGCTAACAAAACTTTTCAGATTTAAAACTTGCACACATTATTTATTAGAAGGTTAAAAAACTGCTAGTCCTGAATAGGTTCTAACATTTTTGAAATTGAAGAACAGGTTTTTTTAAGAGCAACATGAACGTAACATAATTTATTTTAGAGTAACATTTTAAAGTAAAACCTTTTGCGAAGCAAATTTTGATGAGCAATCTAATCAACTTCACTACTATGAAATTTTGCTGCAGTTTGCTTGGTTTCACGATGACACAAGACGATTATTAATCGGTAAGCTTGACAGAACGGAACTTCTTTAACATTTCTGCGCCAGTACTGGAAGTTTATTAACATGCTTGGCAGTCCAGTACTGTGTCTTTTATAAAAAGTATCCCTCCTATTATAAACGCTCTCTGGCCTGTTTAATATTTCAAAATAGGGTTTGGTGCGACCTTTATAAAAAGAGATGCTACCAACATATTTTATTTAATTTTTCAAATTGTCAAATGAAAAGAAGGTGAAGCTTTTCTTATTTCAACACGATGTTGAAGAACCACCGCCATATAAGGTTGCTTGATTGGTTCACTCTAATCAAATGATTAACCAAACTGAAGCAGTCGCCCCATAGTTTGCGATGCGATTGCATTTCATAATGATGACGGTTGGCCAAGGTTGAGTACACTGCTCAAGTGTCTAATATAGCCCCACCGTACCGGGTCTTCAGCCTGCGCCTTGAGAGCATGCACATTTGAAATCTTCCCAGAAAAGGCGGGATTTTGTAAATGAAAAGTTTAATCAAAACTAGTTGTAATTCAATAACCATCTAGAATACAAATACATAAGCCCCGGGCAACATTTCTGCAATATCAAATGTAATTTTCTTTTATGACGTCAAAAGCAGTCTGTGAGCTGATCAGCCGATGTGGCAGTTAGACCCGCTAGGCCTAACAAAGAGCTTGACATACACATAAACATTAATTTTGTGAACTTCTGCTAGGAATCAACAAAGCAGGGAAGAAAAAGGTTATGCAAAGATTTACTCGTCGCCATAACAAATATTCCTTAAGTGAGGCAATAGCGAAACAAAGGCTCCTGGGGTATGTTTAGGTTCTAAACAATTTGACATTAAAAACAAAAAACTTTTAAAACTTAATCATTGTTAAAAACAAGACAAAATTTAATTTATGTGTGTCCTAAGTATGAAACCTAAGAGCCCATCATTGCCTACTTTTACGTATTGGTATTTACTAATAAACTTCACCAGTAGAACCATATCGAAGAGGCCCTGAACAGATGAGCATCTTGTATTCAGTTGGCATCCATTGCTACAGCCTCGAAGCAGCCAGGGTCGAGTTTGCTGTTATTATTATCATAATCATGCAAAATTATGTCAATTCCCTCAATTCAGCCTTTCAGGAAAACTATTTTAAGATCCATTTTATAAATAGAATTAACAACAATCCTAGTGTCACCGAAAGGGAAAATCCTAAATGATATAAAGAAAGCTCGTTTTTATTATTTAGGGTGTGGTTTGATTCAGACCCTTGCCTTTCCCTGCCTGGATTCGTCAATATCCGCTTTCGATTGCAATACAAAGTAAACAGTTCCTGGTCATCCCAAAAGCTGCACGTACGGATTTCGCAAAAATGTTTTCATTCAACAAGTCATGACTCATTGTCAGTGTGTTTTGGTTAACAGGGCCCGCGTCACGAATTTGAAAGTGGGTAGGGGGGCAAGGCCAGCAAAACATAGGCGCCAAAGCTTCTTTCCCCTTTTACTGCAGCTTTAAAACTACTTGCTTCGCAAAAAATGGGAGGCCCATGGCCACCCCGCCCCCACCCCCGGTGGCACGGGCCCTGGTTAATGCAACTACTTATTCCAATGTTTAAAACTTCCAGGATTAAATACCTAGGATTTACGCTTGTGCTATGGATAAATGAGAACATTCATTTGTTGAACACCCTTGTTATGGTAGCCTGGGGGTCTGGAGCACAAGCTATTGTTATGAGGGAAAGGATAAATGGAACGGCCTACGGAATCACATACACTCTTATTTTTAAAAGAACCAGTAAATTTAGGTTCAGGCTGAAGCAGTGCAATAGCTTTTTTGCTCTAGGGAGGTATTCAGCCCCCATCTGCCAACAAAGTGAGTGAGACAAACTTCATTTGCCGACAGGTTTGTATCTTCACCGAAAAAGCACCCACACATGACGAAAAATCTTTGTTTTGAGATGAAACGTTGGTCAAAATTGCATTTTATAGTAGCTCAGCATCAGCTTGTTTTTAATTGTTCTTAACCTTTGACCAATTTTGAGTCTCGGGTTCTTTTAAAAAAAGAGTGTAGTAGAATAGAATGGTCCTTTCTTATTGATAATCCTATGTTGTTCAGTTTTATGTTTATAAGTATGACAAGGATATTGAGACAAGACTGATAGAACATATTTAATTATAAACAAGCAAGGAGTTTAAAACAATAAAGGAATGGGGATATTCACCTCACCAACAGCATTACACACACTCACCCTCGATATACAGAAATGATTTTATAGGTTATTTCAGTAGCTTGAGGATTGTAATTTGGCATCGGTGCACTGTCTAATCTTCAAAGCATATGCAGATAATGCAAGCAAGTGTTTGAATATGCAAAATGTTCTAAATACATCCGAGAGGAAACTAAACAAACAAAACATTCGCAACAAAACTCAATGTGACAGCTAAGCTTTGGTTTGGGGTCAGAGAAGTAAAGAAATTCTGCCTGTTGAATATGTTAAGGACCAGTGCTGTGAAAATGCTGTCATTTCACGTCATGAAAGATAAATCACAGTTTAGCTTGGTTTGCTAACAAAATAGATATGGTTGAGAGGATTACTGGTGACTTTCCTGTTATCTTTGAAGTCTAAGAAATACAAATAAGGAACTTAAAGCAGAGGTACAGTAACATCGCATTTACATGCCTGACTGATTCTGTCACACTGGGGGTTTAGCTGTGAAAAGCATGCAAAATACAGAGAAATTAAGCAATTTGCCAAAAAAGAATGCAAAGTATCTGCTTGGAAAGGAAACTGTACTTGTTAACTGGCAACAGAACAAAGCAAGCCAAATATTTTTGTTTCCTTTATAATGTGAGACCTTAGGTCAGATATTCCCGTTCTTGGATTTAAAGCCCTGGCAAAACGACTAAACATTTCACTAAACATTTCATTCAACTTTTGTGCAGTGAAGTTGAGCGAAGTTTAACGAGGGTGGCAAAACGTGACTAAACTTTTCACTAAACTTCACTCAACTTTTTTGAACTGCAAGCTGTCTAAGACGCTGTCTAAGTTGCATAGGAATTTGCTTTTGGTTTATTTTGTTGCATGCACAAGCAGTGGATAAAAATACGAATTGGTTGAAGCGACGGGGAAAGAAAAGACTTTTTAACTCATTGATAACAAAGTTGACTGTTGAAGAAGACACAGGGGTGTACAACGAGATTTGCAGATGTCTCATAACGGCTTTTTGGGTCACGTAGAGACAGGAAAACCAACGAAAACAGACGAAAACCTTCAGATTTCCATGGCTAGAGCGCCTGCGCGATCACAACAAATGTTTAATTGGTGGCAAAACGACTAAACATTTGCTAAACAACACTAAACAACGCCAAACGTTTTGGACCAAGATCAAACTTTGCTCAACAGCACTTAACACGACTAAACAACACTAAACTGGGTGGCAAAACGACTAAACTTTTTACTTAACTTTTGGCTAAACAAAAGTTGAGCGAAATGTTTAGTGAAATGTTTAGTCGTTTTGCCAGGGCTTAATATTCAGAATAATCGAGTGGTAAGAGCTCAAAGAAGCAAAAATATAGTGGAAAAGATTTCGTCAGTTTGCTGTGAAAATCTGTGCACAAGGTTGCTAGGACCCTACCAATATCCCAAGATCCCTTTTGAGCTCAACTGATGGAAAAGCAAAGAACTGATGCATCACAGAAAGTCGAGTCTTGAAATCCATATATCAACATTTACATCAAATTCCATGTCATAAAGAATTATCAAGCTTAAACGTTAAAACAAGTTTAACCTAAATCAGTATATCATATTTACAGAAGCATGTCAAAAAACCCCACTTGTAAAATAACTTTAAACTAGCATAAAAAGGGGGAATGACTTTTCAGACTAGTCATTCTGTGCTTTTTCATCGGAATTCTTGAAGTAAGAAGCCTTTTAAGTAAATAGATAGACAACTTCTCACTAAACAAGCTTTTTATCGGAGGGTAATACCGATTCAAAATCAAGATGGATACAGTTCTTTCGGAAAGTTGAATGGGAAATAGTAACAATCCTCGTAGAAATGAAACGAGAACAAAGGCAGGGGTGCTTCTTAGCAAATAGATGGAAAACTGTAAGATGCAAGATTAATTATGCTAATTTTGTGGATTCTTTATTCTCGCAAATCAAACTACGAAGGCAGACTGAAGCATTTTCGTGTCCTGTGGACGACTGTGGTAGGTATTCTGGCTTGGAAGGATTTCGCACGCAAGTGACCATACCTCAAAGGATACAACATTAATATGCATAATTTACAACAGCTATTTAATTAATAATACAGGTCATGAAATTAGCAACTCTAAAACCATTATCATACAAATACAGAGTATTAACAAATGCCACCGTTTCGTGTATGGCATAATGCAGTCTATGATTAAGCCTGCATTTAACGGCCATTAGTCATCAAGCTGGCAAAGTAAGGCGACACCACGTTTAACCCAATGGCTCTCTGGTTGGTTCGTTGCTAGTGATATAGGTAACACGTAATTTGTCGAATGACCAGTTGTTGATAGAGTCCCTCTTCTGGCACTTGTTTTGTATACAGGACAAGAATAGGAAAGCGTTTTCTTGAACTCGCTAACTTTTCCTAGAATGAAGCAAGTCTGATATCAAAGCAAATAGATAGACAACTCGAATTTGACTATTGACTATTGATTGCTGACCAAGCAACGTGGTATCGTCCTTGTAATATTGTTAAGTCTTTTTGTACGTAGAGTTACTAGTAAACTTGTATTGTAACATTTACTTGTGTAAAAAACAGAGCAACGTGCTTATTAGGGGCTAAAGTTGTAGAAGTTTCAAGGAGCAAAAAGAGTGGGGCAAATAAGTCTTTCTGTCCTACACTGATGAGAAAAACCAATTGGTTCGTATGTAATTTCATACCTGGTTTGATCCAAATAATTGGCATTGCATCGTGAAGTACCTTCGGCAGAGACTCAGCAACCACGCCACTGAAACAAGTTTAAAAGCTTCTGTTAGAAAACACTGGCTTAGTTGATAAAGAAATTTTGCATGCAATAAAATATCAACAGAAGTATTCCCAATTGTGAAGCTACAGATGAATATATGAGTAGATAAAGGATTGTTGAGTTTTTTATATTTCAACACCCTATATGTTTGTTGAATAATCTTGTAACTTCTTTTTCTCAAGAATAATTTAAAAAACTTGTCACAAAAGACTCTCAAAAGAACATTTAAAAAACTTTAGATGTTGTGGTCCAGTGGATCTCTTACCATTATCTACATGGCTGAATCTTACGAAATTTAGAATATTTCAAAAATAAAAAAGATTTACCCTTCTCTATCCCATCTAGCGCCTTCTAAGAACAACCCAATGACATAAACTCCATCATCTGGTGCTTCTGATGACGTATCACGGGGCAAGACCTGATATTAAAATTCATTGAACATGTAGAATTTTTATGCCATCACAATTCTAAAAATATTAACCTTTAAATGCCTAACAATTGTCTGTGAAATACAACATAATATTTTGTGCATTCATTGCATCAATAGAAATACGAATAATAAAATATTTGCAATGATTATTAACAGTGATTAGCAGTCAACAAAAAGACGGAAATAATTATTGAAGTACGAAAGTTGTCAAAATAACAAATGACAAGGAAGATAAACAGACTATTTGCATTGAATCGCTCTTGTGACGTAGTGGATGACACTGTTGTCACTAGCCACAAGGACAGATGTGTACTGGTTCGAGCTCTTTGAGCTTAACTCAATGCAGCATTTGAAACAGAAATAGGATTGTAGAGGTCAAGAAGGCCTACAATCCTTGCCAAAATTGTTTGAACACTTGCGCAAAGCTGAAGCTTTTTTTGAAAACTCCCCCCCCCCCTACCCCCTATTACAATGTTGTTCAATTGGGCTGTTTTGATCCTGAAGGTAAAAATTTCTTCACTGAAAGCTGTATGAAAGTATTGAGAAGATAAATCAACATTGTACGGGGGGAGGGGGTCGAAATTTTTGAAGCGGCAGTGATATTTTGGTAAGGTAGTTTTAGATTTGCTTTGTTTATTTGCATGCTGCAATGGGAAGGCGTTCCAGTTAGTTTTGGCAAGGATTGTAGGTGCGTTGGAACCAAAAAACCGTCTCCATTTGTTTTCCGTTTGATTTTTGAAATAAAGGGTTCCAAAGATAACACAATACACTTATAAACTGAAAAATATACATTGTAAATCTACTTTCATGAAAGATTTGATCTTAAAATGAAATACATCAAATTCGATTGTCTTCTTGGAAGTAAAACTGCTTGATCATGTAATCTTGATGAAATGGCACAATAAAATGAAAAATAGACTATACCTCAAATTCAAAACCAAGTAAATCTATTGGGATCGTGTATTTTCTTGCGAAATTTTGCTTTGCACCGGTCAAAAAAGCCTGGGAATAAGGAACGAGAAATTTACATAAGAAAGGCGAAAAACAAACCACAAAGCAAAGTCTACCAAACTGTGAAAGTTTAATGGACAGATTTGGCAATCAAAACAAGGGAAACTCTGGTATTTATGGCAATGGCACTTTGACGTGACCTTAGAATAAAAACCACAAAAGACACCAATTCCAGGACAAAATATCTGTATTGGGATTGAAGGAATCTTAATTTAGCAAAAACTGTATTGCCTTTAGAGAATCTGTTGTTATTTGTAGTTATAATATCGTTATTGGTCAAATCCAACAAAGTAATGACATTCTTGCTAACAATTGACCAGCTGGTCATGGCTACATTGAGTTCCCCTTAAATATTATTCGTGGATGTCAACCTTTCCCATTTATAGAAACAATGACACCGACTTTGAAAAATTAGATGAGTAAATTCATCTTTTAATCAATTCATACCTCTTGTCAAAATGTGAGTTTATCTGGAGCATTGAAATATTTCTTACCTGCGTGAAATAGAAACCAGACAACCAAAAGACGGACGGTTTTCCATGATCAAACCAATCCTGAAAAGATAAGAAATTTTAAGGTAAAATGAACACATTATGACAAAATGAGGGTAAAACAATATGACGTTTACCATACGCCAATTCAGAAAAATATCGAGTTAAGAATAAAGTCTCTAAATATGTTTTAACTACAACTATGCATGATTTTTGCATATAAAACGCGAAAACTAATCAAAATTGTTTGATTCCGCTCAAATTTTTGAATACTTAGAAAATATCAATGTTCACTTATCAGGATATAGAAGATAAAAAGACAGAAGGTATGACGTAAAAATTCTGTACCTGCAGAAATTTGATTCTTGCCAGGAAATCTGTTATGTAACTGCCTAGGGGCTTTAAACTTGGATAGGAGCTCTTTGCCCAAAAATCAGGTACCTTAAATGCGAAAGGAAATCTAGGATAAGCTTTAAAGAAGCAATGTATTAGAAAATTGTAAAAATAGTCGTGTTGAAGACCTTAGCATAAGAAAAAAGGATTCTTGTATGCGGTAGAAGATCGGAAATTCTGGTTCAAAAGAAAAGACAATGTTACTTTGAAGAATATGTCAAACTCAGGGCGATATTAATTGACCTAGTAATCAGCCAAACAGTTGCAATCACTTGTGTACAAAAGCAACGGTACTTAGAGAGAAATAACAGCATTGGAAACCAAAGATGCTCTAAAGTTATTGTACAGCTTAGATTGAGGACAAAAAAATTAAGTATTGAAATACAACAAAAGGGTATAGCTTTAAGAGACAATTTATGACATTAAATGTAATTTAGGCATACAGGTCCTCCTTCAAAATGTCAAAAGAGAGTCAAAACAAATTTAGAAATTATCAATTTGTTATGCGTTTAACAAATTACCTTTCCAACAATAAGGCTGGCAGACACTTGCTCCAAACTTGATGACATGACCACTAAACCTTTGATTGCTTTCTGAAGATTGATAAGACTTGATCGGATAACATCTAAAAGCCTAGAAACAGATGGAAAATACATAATTATGAGTATTGCGATGAATGGTCTGTTAAATATAAACGATACTTACTATCTATCAAAGGGTGGCATAATTAAGTAAATTGCTTAACTCTCTTAGAAAATTGAAAATAATCGAGTGTGTAAATAAACTTTTCATTGTTACTGACTGATGAAGCTCGTGTACGAGTAATAGGAGAATTCTGAATTACCTGTTAAATCTTTCCATTTCTTGTACCAGCACTGTGTTCATACTTTCTTCATATACAACCGGATACTTCCCTTTTGCAGATTCAAGATCAAAGTCTTTAGGCAACTGCATTAGGAAAGAAATATTTATTAATAATGAGATCATAAGGTCTTGAATAACCTGCAACATATTTTCAAAGCCAATGATTGCATTTAATCAAAGTAAGAAACTTCATAATCTACAAGAAATGTACTGGTTCATAAATGTTTTAAAATCCAAAACAAACATTAAAATGTAGACACACTCACAATAATGCTAGGAAAGTAAAAAAAGACTTGCTTGGGAAAAAGTGTATATCCCGAAGATCTTAGAAAATGGAAAAAAATGTATAAAGATTAAATAAATGCTAGTCTCCAATTGTAATTCATCCAGTGGAATTTCAACATAGAGTTCAAAATTACTTAAGATGGTCGATCCAATAGACTAATATGGTCTAAATTGGCATGCCCGCAGAAGTGCAATGATAAAAGCAAGATACCTATTTCTTGAAATAATATGACGTTTAGTACTATTTCTACCTTTGAAAGAATGTCACTGGCGATTTCCAATAAAGTTTCTTCAGTCTTTTTTCCTGATCCACCGCCTCTTCCTTGACTTTGAGTCAACAAAACCGAATCAAACAGCTGCAAAGTTAGGATATGATAATTTTTGACGCATTACACTTTAATATTGTAGACTTGACTATAAATTGCAACAATATAACTCATTACACTTTAATATTGGAGTCTTGATTATTGATTGCAACAATATTAGGTATATCTAAAAATATACGCAAATTACGATCTTCAGTGTCAAATAATGAAAACAAAGATTTCGAGAATTGCATCTTGTTGTGATTAATCTAAAACCAAAAAAGCTCAGAAGCTTATTCGTCTTTTAATGTTTTATATTATGAAATCTGACTCTATAGCTTACGAGTTTCGTTTCTCTCAGATCCTTTGCAATGTCAACATTGTCGTGCATACCAAACACTTCTGGATATTGTGTCATTGGCAGTTCCTGAAAATACGAAAGAAATGAGGTATAACATTGTTTCTGCAACATAGCTTCAAAAAAAAATTTTACTTGTTATAAGGAATTCTTTGACAAGGGTAATAAGGACACAAAAATAGGTCATATATGTTAACACGAATTGTATTTAATTATAACAATAACTGTATCTTGATTCGAAGTTTTTCATCAGAATTCCCCTACCTTGATAAACTCGATGTAGTCTTCGTATGTTCCCTTTGGCGGTGCAAAATAAGTACCACTTGGTGAAAACTTATATTTCGGATCAGTTATAACATCTGAGTTATAGAAGTCAGCGAGTATGCTCATCAGGCAGCGCCTAGGGGTATTAAAATGCGATCAGATGAAAATCTATTACTAATAAACAGTTATGCAAGTCGATTATCTTATTCCACGATCAACATACTAAATTATCACAGGTGTTGCCAAAACAGTTGACGGGGCAACGTCCCTTCCTCATTCTGTTCTCTATTTTCTTTATCGTGGATTCACTTAAATTTTCCGACTATACTAGCCACAAAATTTTGCTACAGTTTTGCCTTATGTTTTTAAAACATGCAAGAAGAAAGATGCACTGGATAGGCTGTGCGCCGGATTCTAAGAATCTTGCAATAAGTTTAGATAAAGAGCAATAGAAAGGAACAGAGCAAAACGACAATGAGAATCCAATATGTTGAAAAATTGAATTTCAAAATCAATTTAATGTAAAACTAGGCTCTGTTTATAATTCGATTGAAGTTTTAGAAACTATAATGAATTATTTTTATTCAGTTGGAAAATTACCCTAAACTTTCGTATTAATACAGCTGACATCAATTTTCATTTTGATTAACTGAGTAGCAGGTTACCTGTCATTGTCATCTGTCACTCGGCCACCATAGTTGCACTCTCCAGTCAAATAGGTCAAAGCATCAAATGGGATCTGTTCGTACTCATTTATGAACATCTGCAAAGTAGGGAAGAAGAAACTGCAAAACATTTTTGGATTTGGGAAGCAAAAGACGTTACGTGTTTGTACAAAAAATGCTGCATAAATATGATAAATTTATTTAGATATTTGAATTTATTCAAACTAGTAAAAAGAAGAAATAGAGAAGATTTCATAAATAACCAAAAATATGTTGTGTGTTATCATAGCAAGAAGTATAAAAATTTGACACAATCTAGAAATCCGAAGCAAAGTACCTGCAACTGTCTGACACTGATCCTGAGGTCCGATTCATTGAATCCGTAAGGAATGTTCCAGCCCATTGGTCCGAATTTTGTTCGTTCCTGCACGACGGCGTGGAAAAAGCAGAGGCCAAAAAGAAGTTTTTCCCAAGCCTATAGATGAGAAAAACATCTTGCATACAAAAGGTATTCACTACCTTGCAATGCAGAAAATTTCTTTATCAAATATAATTCAATACAGATCAAGCTATGTGATGTGATATGTTGATGAAATGGAACAAATTGATGAGAAAAGTGTTTACAAGCAAATAAAAAGAGGAAATAACAAAATATGTTATGAATTAAATGGTTTTGATTCCATTGAATTTTTGAATAGAATAGACCGTTTCATAAGATCGCTCATTGAAAATAGATACAACACGTCGATGGTGTTTTTGCCAGACAAACTTTGTTTGGTGTCAGGCTACTGTAAAATTTTCTACAATTGACATAATTTTAAGAATTAAAACCTTCTAAAGTCGGAAAAAATGCCAAAAAACAATTAAGTGAGCATAGACAATGTAGCTGTGGACAGGCATCTTTAAGAAATTATTAAATGTTGTTCCCAAAACAGATTGTGAGAATTACCAGGTCTTTCTGTTGGCATCCAGCAAAAAAAGTTGCATCTGAAATGGGATCGGACAAGTAAGACTGCAAGAGATTCTGTCGCAGACCAGTTGGAGGCTCATTTGTCATTTTGACGCCATTTTGAAGGACTGTGACAGGAAACTGCAACGAAGATTAACTAATCAAAAAATTTGAAAGTGCAAAAAAACTTGAAATAAATAGAATAATTATATATTCTTTCCTCTCAATAGGTTGTTTTAGAACCTTTACATTGGCAACTTAATGTCATAACTAAAGTTTAAAGCAAGTCATTTGCAAAAAACACAGAAAGAAAGGATTGTCATTTTTTAAGAGCTTTTTGAAAACCTGAATGGTCCCTACCCTATTACCTTGTCTACAAGACCTTGTGTATTTAAGGAAAAGTAGATGCATCTAAGAAGATTCTGTAATAGCATACCTTATCAGACGGGTAGCTTGTTAACCAGAGACGGAAGTCAGAATGTGTTGTATCCATGGTTAGATCTTCACAAATCTTCTCGAGTTGGGACATCCATGACACAGCTAAGTGACAGTTTTGGAGAACAACCCAGGTTCCATTGGCAACAGCGTCTTGTATCATTTTGGCAGCAATAGGACCCTTGGTTCAAAATTAAGCAAGGTTTAATGACGTGGAGAAAACTTACTTGGCAGACACAGACGATTTATGTTATGGCGACTGGCAACATAGCGAATTTAAAAAAGCTATTGTTTATACCTGTCCTTGGCCAAGCGAGATTGCATTGAATTTATCGCCACTAAAACCTTTATCAGCAGCAAATTTCATTAGGCCTTGAAAAAAATAAAAAATCTTGCAGAAGACCGTAGAAAATTTCATACGTCTTTACAAGAAGAATAAAGACAAGATGAAGGATACATGCAAAGAAAACAAGAATTATTTGAAAAATAGCAATTGTGATGTTGGCTATCAAGAGGATGGATACTGGCTATATGAATGGCTCGTTTGGTTCACAAAAAATATCGTTAGACACTAGTGAGAGCCTTTTTTGAAATTGGGAACTCAGAAATGGTATGATTTTCAAAGAAAAATTGCTTTTATGTTGCTTTAAAAGCCTTTTTGTATTTAATTATACTGACGACTCTTTAGATTTGTAGCTCAGCTTAACGTACTAAAGATCTGATAAATATTCGATGGCCAAGAATAAGAAATTGTTCAATGACTAAGCCCTTGTAAATAAAGTGTATTGCCAGTTTATCTCCGCAAAGTAATATTGTACACTGAATAATTTTCAAAATAGAAGGAAAATTCCACACTGCTCTGTATGATAAAGGGAAGATTCTTCTAGAAGATGCAGGACAAGTCTTGTAGTAGCTACATCGTGAAAGAAACCACTTATATTGAGAAAATGACTGATACATACCAGCCATGGGATCTGCACCGGGAGACAAAATGAAAATCAAAGGAGAACATTGGTTTGAATCAGCATAACTTTTTGCCAGGTCAAAAGGCGGTGGCTGGATGAAATGACGCCCAAGTTTTTCTTCTACAAAATTCTTAACTAACGGCACCACCTAGGATAAGAAATCACGATACTAACAAGCAATAATAGAAGGGAGCTATGAGCATAAATATTGGATAACAAAGAAAGCAAAGTTAAATTATAAACGGCATAATCATAATCAACGTATTGAAGAACTTCAGAATCAGATTTCAGACAAATGCACAGCAACGAACGTTTGACACACATTGACTAAAAATAAAAGTTTACAGAAGCATGAAAACAATACGATCTGGATCGAAATTCACATTGCTTAAGCTTTTACCTTATCAGGGCGAAGGCATCGAATGACAGTCATTCTTTGAAAATCAGTCAATTTTTCGTTCCAAGGGCTCGGCAAAATTTGTTTCTGAGGCTCCTTGCTGTCAAAAATACCTTTCCAATCCGACACGGTTGATATGAAGCTATCTCTGTATGAAGAAGAAAATGCCACAAGTTATATTGAGATTACAATACAAATATGAAAAGCAAAAAGATTAGAAAAGACCTCATGAATGGAAAGGTTAAAAGAAACATCAGATCATGATGTGGCAAGGGCTGCTGAGAAAATAAATGAATACGCTTAAGAGGACGATTAACAGTACCTGAGTCCTTTGAATCCAGGAAGATCACACATCCTGCAGATTTCATCCCAAGATTTATCGGACAACCAACTTGAATCAGGATTCGGAATCTGGCAAAAAATGAAAGTCCTAATCAAATAAAACGTAGATAGCACAAAGTACATTCTATGTGCTACATATATTACATTTAAGTATGATTCCAATAAGCTAGTCGAGCGTATATAAAAAGATACCATTAAACTCTGCTTGCATGCAGAAAGGAAAAAGAGCCGAGAAAAAGTTTCAGTTGGCTAGGTTTGACTTACCTTATTCTCCAGGCCAACACCTCCAGTTAAAAAGAATATGAACTCTTCATAGTCCAACTCATGTTTTGGTCTAGAAAATATCGTTAAATGATGGTTCAGAATGTCATAAGAGAAAAAATTGGAAGGAATTTGCAAAATGAGATAATGAGATATACTCAAAATTTGAAATATACTCAAAATGAAATGAGTAATAGAGCTGGGTGTATAAAATAGAAATTGGGAATTTAGAATCTTAACACGAAAGACGTTCAGAACAAAATCATTAAGTGAATATGTTTCAAACATATCATACATAATTTCTGATGAAGCAGCCCTTAAAGATAATAGGATGAATTGTTGTCGCATTTTTTATCAAAGTCAACCATACTTACAAGAGAATATTGGAGCAGAGAACCAAAGAGAACAGCAACTTGTCTTTCTCAAAAAGAGAGCGGCAAACATTGCAGTATAGGTTATATGTAAAATGATCGGTTAGGTATCGCAGTCTTCTTTCTAAAATTTTCGACTTGTTGCTAGAAAGAAAGTTCAGAAATACAAACTACTTGAAAATATCAGTTTCTTAAACTGATCTTCTAAACTGATCAACTCTTCTCAATATTGAACTATTCGATCTTGATAGTACAAAAAGATCCTTAAGCAAGGTCATAGCCACGTACAATTAACTATGCCATACAATATTTTACATAAACTTACATGCTTCATTAAAATCGAGCGTTATTATAACTTTAAGATGTTTCCTTTTAAATAGCCTTGCTTTGCATATATATATTTCTAAAATTGCTTCTGCTTTAACAGAGATTGCTACTTCGATGTACGAGTGACGTAAAGACATGCTGGACCTTATAACTTACATGGTAAACCACCCTCTTGTCAAAGTGAGCGATAAAATATGTAAGAGTCAGCTGATTAATCATGTTACATAGTTTTTGTTTTCTTTTAAAAGAGAAAAGACAGGGCATTGAAAACGGGTTTATCCTACAGGTAGTGCTGGAGTAGATTTAGTAAGAAATTTCAAGAGCTTCAACAAACAAGAATGCCGTTTCGACTGTACGGAAATGACATTCCAATTCAGCCATATTAGAAAACGGTTTAGAAGATTGATAAGATGTAATTACCTGTCATGTATCGATGAGATGAAGAGATTGACAAACCACGTGAGCGAATACTGATACATCGGATCAATGTTAGGAAGATCAGTGATGGAGAAAAACAACACGGAAGAGTGAGCTGCAATAGGTCGATACCCTAAACGAGACTGGTTTATTTTCTTCTCGGTTTCCTCAGCGATCTACAGGAAATACAGAAAAAATGGATTACTGCAAGAATCGCAAACAAATTAACAGAAAGAGGAGAAATTTGAAAAGCTTGCAAAACCAAAAGGCAGGGTATGGCATGTGTTGTTAAATCATCTGTTTTCAAGTTATGGTTGAAATATTAAAAAAAAATTCAAAATATCAAGAGTTTTTCAGTTAAACCTCTTATATAGAGAGCCCTACCTTTTGTTTCTTGTTTATTTCATCAGAGAGGATCTGGAAATGGAAAGGAAATTGCATTCAGGCAAGTACTTCAAAAGTATAGTCTTAAAAGACACTAAGAGACAAACATACGTACATCTTCTATGTGGGTTTTGAGAAACATCGTTTAAGAGAAACATTTTTTCATACAGAAATATAAATCTGCTATTGAGGGCGACTATAAAAAAACAGGCACCCATTAAAAAAATTGTGACATTGGAAATGGAATGCGTTTTAAAAATAGTGATGAATATGATCGCGATTTCCTTCAACTGCTACATCTTTACTCTTAACTCATCAAAACAGCAAACCAAAAATTGATGTTCATGATGGTAGAAAATTTACAGTCGTAGATAATTAACAATAACTACAAACAAAGATGAAAGAAAAACTCTTTATTAACTATTTCATCAACAATTTCATAAAGATTCCCTGACTATTGAAATATATTTCACACTCGCGCTAGATTTAGAAAAAAACTTTTCTAGTAAATATATGGGCAATATTCTTAAACAAAAATACCTTCGAAGAGTCCAAAATTTTAATGGCAGATTCATCTTCTAAGATATTTCCTTCTGAAGATGAGAGCGTTTCCAGAATCTTGTCCTCGATTTCTTTCAGCTGCTTTTTGTTTGATGCACTTTGGACGATCAAAGCCTGCCTCTCTTCTTCCAACTCAGGCCTTAGAATTAAAATACCAATGAATCTTGTATCATGATTTTTTGTGGTAAATTAAAAAATATCAAAATTTTCACAATGTCAATGAATACAGCTGTTCCTTGTAAAAGGAAATATCTACATACAAAATACAAAAAAGGACAAAGCTAGAAAAATACTTTTTCTGCCTTAATGCCGTGGCAAAACAGTTATAGTTATACAACAGCATATTGACAAAGATTTTAAGACAAACCAAAACTACAGTGGCCATTACCTTTCTTTCGCAACAACGATGCCAAGAAGTTGATCTTCTAAACCTTCTGGTGTTATCATAAAGTTTACTAGGGTTACTTTGGTTGCAATTTCAGGAAGATAGTGTGGGTTTCGCAGTTTTGTAGTGATATACAATCTGAAATCTTCGAGTATTCTATGACATTTTCACCAAGACGGATGCACATAACTCCAGCTAAAAAGAGTAAGGCAATTTTATACTTTAAATGAGAATTCTCTAAATAAACTACAATGAGTACAATGTAAGAAAGTTCCTGTGCACAGAGTCAACAGAAAGACAGCTTGTTGAGGCAATCAGTCAGTTGGTTGAACAAACAAATCCACCTTATAACAGTTGAAAACTTTCACAAAAGAGTAACATCTAGGATTATTAGAGTAGATTTTCTAAGATGAAAAAATTTCTTCAGTCAATGGAAATTTTCAGCTAAACATTTGCTCTGAACATGTTTGCAGAGATGCAAAGACAACTTTGTACCTTGCTTGAAGGTTTGTTTAAGAAGCAACGGTTCCAAGGTTGGGTCCAGTTCTTCACCAACATTCTCAAGAAGAACAGGAGTTCCAAACTGAATACTGTTCTCAAGTGTGCGCACATAATCTGCATCGGATAATTTTATCACCTGAAAGTGAATAACAATTCCAGTGAATCGACAGATCGAACAGCAACAGCCGCTAGATAGTCGGGTATTTTGGATCAATCGTCTAAAGCTTGTAATTTGATGTCAAGTATTTTATACTCTGTTCTTTTCCTCCTCATTGAAACATACCATCATCTAAAATTACTTTCATGTAGGAATGGTGGTTCTGATAAGTGGAAACTTGGATAATAGAACTGTCACGAACAGCAAGAGACAAAACAGTGGCCTGACATTAAAGGTTTGGAAATTTTAAGAGTCATGGTGACTAAAAATTGATAGTCTAACTACTGACGATCAGCCATTTTATTTGACGAAGCAATGTGATTCATATTCATTACAATACAGGCTTGAAGAATATCCACTTACATTTAATTGATTATCTTTTTCAGAGTTTTTCACCCACTTGTTAGCTTGCCCTTGCGGATCAATCATTAACGGCCTAAAGAAAGAGCATTTTTATTGTTACGCAAACGTGATTTAAGAAATTTGGACCTTTAGAAACCAAAACGACAAAGATATCAATTTCGTCAAAAAATAACATTTAATAACATTTTTAGCTATAAACTTTCAAAAGTTAAGAAAAAATATTGTCATTAGAGTGAGGATAGGCTAAACATTAGGAAATATTTAGTGCTGCCTAGAAAGGCATATTCAAATGGAAATATTTAATAAAGTAAATGGCAAGACATACCATCTTCTTGAATTGGCAACAATAACGCCGTTATCAACTGAGAAATTATCCGTTGGTAGGCCAGCGATATTCCACGCACGAATTTTAATTGGTTCTCCTAAGCTCTTGCTGAGACTAAACTCATTGGAACAAGGTATATTCACATCCTAAAATGAATGAAAATGCATAAGAAGATTGATTCCGAGTTGCACAAGCTTCAGTTCCAAAGTAAAACGCAGGACTAAAGCCATTTCTTTGATCAAGGCACATCAACAGAGGGTGCGGGTCAAACGAATTGAAATATTAAAATCCAAGTCCCTCTCTCGTAACCTAAGAACGTAAGTATGTGGCGTCACAAAAGAAGTGATATACAACTAAAACTTCGTAAAATTAAATTCTTAAGTAGATTAGTAAACAAGTTCTTCTTTCTTAGAATCTCTAGGCATAAAAAGAGGCATCTTGCTAAAAGAACAGCTACCAGAAACAATAGTTTTTGATACTGTTTCTCAGATAAATTTTGATTACACAAATGCTTATTACCGTGCACATCTTCGTCCACTCCTCACAACATCGCCGTCTGAATCCCGCAGTGAATGCCCCAAGGTATGCAATAACACCGGAGGAAATCAAAACATCTCCCGTCAAATTGTAAAACAATCGCTGAAGCGATTCTGCTGCTTGAGACCAGCGTTCTTTCTCGCCGCCAAGGCCTCCGATCAGCTTCTCGGCTCTCTCCAGTTTCTTTGCACAGAGATCAACCTAAATCATATTGACACGTTATATTCTGACGTTTCATACTCTGAAGAGTGTCAGATGAAAAGCTTCAGTATCCTCAAATGTTTGCTTTTTTCAAAGCCATTCTTAATTTTTGTACCACCAGAAGATTGTTAACACGTTATAATATGGTATGGATTGTTGCTGTTATAATATGAATAAATCATTGTGAAAGACAAAATTGAAGTTGGTTTCGAAACGAACCTGAATTTCCAGTTGCTTTTTCTTTTCAGTCATTTCCGCAAATTGATTCTTAAGAGATTCTACCCTGTCCTCCACTTCCTTGAGTTCTGCTCTTTTTGCATTTAAAATTTTGACCGTTTCTTCTAAAGATTTTTCAGCTTCTGCTAGTTTTGCCTTCTTTGGCGCTACAACCTAAAGCAAAAAATCTTGGCAAATCAACATTCAAATCTACAAATTAAAGGGGAGACATTGTCATTTAGTCAAGAAACAAGCTAAATTGTCACCTTTCTATTGTATTATATTCGACATTGAAAAACAATCGCACCTTAGCAACTCTGTCGTAAATTTCCATGGCTTGAACCCATTTGCAAAGACCCTCTGCAGCTGAAGAGGCAGTCCTAACTTTAGTAGGATCAAATTCTGGGTTTGTTGAAAATTCTGTTCTTATCTTTTTCATTGTATGTACCTGCAATAGAAAAATATAGATGAGATTTTTTCAGCTTTAAATGCAAGAGAGGTGCAGCATACGTCATAATCCCTACAAAAGCATCGAGAATATTGATCGATCTTCCTACTGGACTTTGATGACTGTTCGAAGCAATATGAAGCGGTCTACCAACAAGCACTCCATATTACCAAGATTAAGCCGAAGTCAATATCCCTAACATCCGTTAATAGAGTGATCAAAGAATAAAAACTCTTAACGTTTGATAGAGTAAAGCACAGTATAGAGATTCTTAAGCATAATTCTCGACTCCAAGAGAAAAGGATCGTCTTCAATGAATAAGAGATCATTTCCAGGCAACAAAATAAGGCAATAGCAAAGTTTTAGCTAGTCTATATATCAAAACAGTAATAGCAAAAATGTTTAGATACACTTCGTGGCAAACATGACATTTAAAGGGAAAGAATCATAACTCATCGAGCTGATACCAAAATTCACTTTGCTTGTTTGCATTTTTCGTTGCTCTCTAAAACTTACGTTGTTGTATCAAAAATCTGGTGTAAACAAAGTCAATCAAAGCAATTTGTAACTTACCGGGATGTTGTCTTTGTCATATTCCCTGAGTATATTCAAAAAGTTCATATCACCAAGAAGCTTCTTTGAAGGTCCCCAGTAATCAAGGATCTTTTGTCCTGATCCACTAGGGTCGTTGATTTTGTCAGGTTTTATGTCCCTCATAACACAAACGGCAGCCATAACCAGCTTAACTCCTGATGGTGGATTCTTCATAGCTTTAACGATGGTGATATCCGCAGGCTGTAAAAGTCATGTCATTGAAAATTCCTTTTCATAAATCTTCTCATTACCCAATATAAGAAAAACTTTATTTCTAACACCTAATTACTTCTTTGCCTCGTACAATAACACTTCGGACGTTACGGCTAAATGGTAATAGTCATAGTTTATTAAACGATAACAGAGAAGTATTAAAATATTTTCTATTGCTTTTAGAAGATGCGAGTAGTTGAAGATGATCAAAAAGGAATGTTTACGTAGCTCTTTCAACTTCAGATTTTAAATCTTTTAAATCTAACATTGAGGCAAAATAGCTCGTAGTTAACCACCGAGTAAATCAAGTGGGTCGATAATTGATACTTAAATTGTACGAGCAAGAGTGCAGTATTACCTTCAATGTATCCAGAGCAGCCAAAGCAGCATCTAGAGCGGGAATAGCCTCTGCAAGCTCCGCCTCGCATTCATCTTTTAAGGACTGGGCCTCCTTCTTTTGTTCATTTGCCACCGCCTCGTCTGCATACACAACCTCTCTCTGGGCTTCAGCAACAGTTGATTCTTTTTCAATCACCTAATGGTTACATGAGAAGAATATTTCAAATGAATTGATCAAAGACCTCATAGCTATCATTTCTCTCAATCAAAACTATATAGTAACTGGGACGGCATATTCGTTCAAGACTATACTATTGATAATAGGAGAATATAAATAATATGTTGCTAATGGATTATGTAATATTAAAAATTGAATTAAATGAAACTGATACATACAGCCATCATTTTGATATTTTCGTCTGAAGCAATGACTAGTTTAGGTTGCAGCTCTTCTAATTCAACTTGCATGTCAGCAACCTAGAAATTACACAAAGTGATTAATTTTATCATTTTTACGTGTTTGAGCAATTTGTCCTCGTAAATAAAGTAAATAGAAAAATGTTCAACGTATCGATTGCCAGGCGTAAAAAGAAAAGAGTATTAATCAATATGATTCTCTCCAAGGTAAGACTGGTTGATCAATTCAATATAACAGAACAATTTTGTTTGGATTCTTGTCAAGAAGAATAAAGATAACGTGCAATAAGAAGCTTAAATCCGTTAAAAAAAATGCCAGATAAAATTTAATATTCATATTGAAGAGAGCAAATGGTGAGTGGGTTCTTTCAGCATAATACCTGAGAGGCAGCAAAAGCAAGCTTTTCTAATCCAACTTCATATCTCCTTTTATTCTTTAGCACCTGGGTAGGAGAAAAAATCATTAAGTATCGATCGAAATAATCTTTAGAAAGCAAACTTCGCTCTGCATCATATCGGTACCGCTGTAAAAAACAATACAATATCTAGTTGATGCGCAAAATATGAAAAATAGAAGTTTAATTCACTATTGCTCAAACGTATAAACATACCTCTGTTTGTTTCTGATTAAGCAAAGTCTTGAATGCAGAGATCAGCTCAAGATACGAGGTTGGCGTGACGTAATTGTGCCGCCCAAGTTCCTCGAGGAACCTAGAAAAGATATGTAAACGATGTAGCTATTTAAAATAAAATACTGTTTTGGAAAAAAAATTAGAATACATGGAAAAATATTTGCATCAAACCAAATTTCACACCTTAGTGAGTATTTAATTGCAGATGTATGAAAACTTTTGCAAATTGGCACAACATTTTTCCTCTCGTTGTCAGACATCTCAACGTTTTCTAAGAATTTGTTTGCAACCATTTCCAAAGCATCTTCAGGCCATGGCTACAAATAAAGAAATGCATTTTATTATGATACAGAGTCGATTTTTAATAAAGATGGCCTGAATGAGCTTAATACATTTTAATTCAAAACAGATACCAAGGTGTCAAAAATTAATACAAAACATAGAGAGTATTGTAAATACAAAGACGAATGAAGTACTGTGTGATTGATTCGAAGAATGCCAACACGAATTACACATGATTCGTACCTAGTCTGAATGACATGCTAGGAATACCCCCGAACAGGAAAGAAATTCGATTTCCTATGAGACGGTAACATATAAAATTGCACCTCTATCAAGCCAGCTACCAAATCAATGCAACAACCTAATAAAGAGCTATCAATTTCTTGTCTAGTTTCAGTTTTGCTAAGTTAAAGAAATTAATAAATGGTAAGAGACAGCAAATAGCACGACAACAAACTCGGTCTAAATGTTTTTCTAGCATATTTCATCCTGGTTGAAAATCGAAAGGACGAAAATTGGATATGCTTACGTCAACCGCAAGATATAGTAGTTTATGATATCATAAAACACTACTGGAATGGTTCGATTACCAAGTATGCAATCTTGTCAACGTAAATTGTCCTGTCATATTCTAAGACGATTGTTAGGAGAGTAGAGCAAAAAGTTAGCAAAACAATGAAGAATGAAAATGTCACAAACGAACCTGGAACCAGTCGATGGTGCAACAGTTGATAAGTGATGGAAACTGTCTCAGTCTGTTTCTGAATGCATCGCCGATCGGGCTCATGCAAAGCATTATGTGTAGGTTGTCTTTACATCGATTCACAAAATATGTGAACAATGCCAATGGTGAAAAGTCAGCATTTTTGTCATGGGCTTGAGCAAGTGGTCTTACAGCCTATAATGGAAGCCATGTTACTCGATGTCTTTAAGATATGACCCGTCCTATTTCACGTTTGATAATATGTTATACAAGAATAACATGACATAGGAAGTTAAAAAGACACATGTAAAAAACCGAAGTATATAATTATAAATTTAATTTACTTGAAAATTTATCCTATAACATTGAATTCTCGTTGCCGTTTTGCTTTGTTCCTGAATTTTTTCCTCGTATTTATATCATACACATTGCAAGATTCACAGAATCCGGCGGACAGCCTATCCTGCGGTTCTTCCTTCTCACACAAAGTATATAATGCCTTAGTCAATCTTTGTGACAGGGTATCAATACCTGAGATCAATCATGAAATTTTTTTGTGGATTTCGTTAATAATATGAATTTAATTTACCTCGTTGATTTCAGCCTTCTCATCAACAGCAAACAAATTAGCGACTTCACCGGTATTCAACAAACTATCAACGTCTTCAAGAAATGACTCCTCTTTTATCTGGGTGTCAGTTAACAAGAATACTGTTGGCTTTCCTTGAGCACCGGCCGACTTGAGCAAAGTCTACATAAACAAAGTTGTAATAAAAAGTGTTATTGAAATATTACAAAAAGATATAGAAAAGGAGGGAGTTTGAGCAAATCAGTGCTTAGAAGGAAGGTTAACAGCAAATCATCGATCAAGTGTAATAGATCCTACAAAAACAGGACGAGAGCTGGTAGTGACCATTTTCTATCTGTTATTATCTCCTCTATTGTATCACTGCCATTCACATCTTGCACTGTCTTTGTATCCATAGTCATTTAGTCAACTACATATTCATAGCATCTTACTGTGTTCTTTTTATACGCACAGTACTGTTGTGTAGTCAGTCTTTAAATTCATCAGGACGTAACGCTTACACAACAACGTACCTCATTGGTATCATAATTTCTGCACATTGAATAATATCATAAAACGAATCTCAGCACAAGAAAAAAATATGATCAAACCAGTATTACCAAACTCTCGATAACATTTATAATTCCATTATCTGAGCCTTAATCGCACTTTGATAAAGTAACTGGCTACAAATCATTTCCATGAAATTGAAAACAAAAATGCACTAGAGGTTACCTTTAGGTCTTCCCTCCACTCAGTCATCCCATAACTCTTTGAGATTTCAGGTTGAAAGACATGAAAATTTGATATGGCTGCAGCAAGACGACAAAGAGATTGTCTTCCACTGCCACCCATCCCTACTAACAAGGCATTTCCGCCAGACTGCTTCAGTATACGGCTGATTCGTGACAAATGTTCAAGCACGTATCTAAAAAAGAATGAAGATATAAATGTAATAAAGATTTATCTCTATAGCATGGAGATCCCCCTCCCCCACTGCTTATGCTATTAGGGTTTGTTATGTGCCCAGTTACTGATAATACTTGACATGGAATTATATAATATCATGGCATCTTTTTCTTCTCTCTTTCGCCTGACTATGTATGTTGATCAATACTATAAATATGTCAAGTATAGAGATCAGAATGGTTCTAACTCGCAAATCTGAATGATGATTTTTGAAGATCGTCGGGTCTTCACGGCATGGAGAATTATGTATATGACGGATCGGTACAACAGTAACTTTCATTGAATGAATAAAAACTATAAAGTTGAATTTTTAAATCAGCTTTGCTAGGAGATACAGACATGGCACGGACATAGCAAGATACCTGAATATGACAAGATTCATCTGTGTTTTGTGCGTTTGGTTATACTCATCAAGGCATTGCTCAACAATGGTGTATAATTCATCCATTGAGGTTACTTCTTGATACAGTCGATCCTCTCCCATCTGAAAAATTAAACTCATACATTCTATCAACAACGTCAACATTTTACAACGTAAAAAAATAAAAAATCACTGCAGAAAACAACTAAAGAACTTGCATGCAGTCTGCCTTTGACTAAGCATCGTGTATCAAAAAACCTATTTAAGTCTCATATACCATAAGATTTTTATTGTAAAATACGTTGCCCATGAACTATCTTCTGTCTCTAAACATCCCTATTTTTAACCTCTTAGACAAACGGTTGGTTTAAGAACAATCGACCCTGCAAATCCATATGCACGTTTAAGGCAAGATCAAAAAAGAGTATAACTCTTGTAAAGTATGGAATTCTTCTCCTCCAATCTCCTTCAATAGGATTTCTTTAGGAGGATCAAAAATAGTATTTCCTCAAGAGAATCAAAGCTAGATATAAATCATTGGTATGAAGTTTCTGAATGTGTTTAGTTTAATTTCAATATACTTACGCTATCCGGGTTGAGGTAGTCACCAAACATGAGACTGCGCATGTCATCTTCAGTTGGCTGGCAAAATAAAAAAAGTCAAAAAGTGATTAGCCAACCGGTTGATTTTACTACTAGCGGCTGAAGCCTTGTTGACGATACCCTTGTCATAACATAACAACGAGGGTTTTTTGCATTGTAATGTTGATATCTTTAGAATTTGCAATTTAAAATCAAACTTTATAGATACATACACTAAAGTTGACTGGCAGTGAATACAAAGGCAAAAAGAAATATCAAATGTTTACAGTAACAATGATATGGTAATAAAGTTATTTTTTGTTGCAATATTTGCAAATCATACCTTGGTCGAGTTTGTTGCTAAATGCTTGAACAGACTGTCAAAATCATCTTTGAAATGCTCTTTCACACCACTTATGATATTGCTTTAAAGTTAAATGACAGAAAATTAGAAAAAAATCCGCAAAAATGAAAGTTCCATAAGAAAATGCCAACAAATTATGAAAAATGGTGCAAATTTGCTTTGGAAGTAACTTTAGGAAGGACAAGATAAGAGAGCAGATATGTTCTAGAGAATGTCTAAGAGAAAAGAATTAGCAGTTGATAAATCAGGGAAGGAACAACTTCATTTGGAGTAAAAAGTATGCTGTATGAGCTACTGCTCCATCGCAGCTACAAATAGAACTTCACCTGTGCAGCCATTTCCTGTCATCATCATCAACTAATCGGTCATAAAACACACGGTATACTTCATGGACCCAGAGTCGCTTTAGTGTCTTCTTATCTTCAAGGGACTGGGGTTTTATCAACAGCACTCCGTTGATTACACGAGCAAAATCACGAAGATTAAAAGTGTAATGAGATTTCAGTGGGGTCGGTAAAAGGTTCTCAATTGCCTTTTTGTATATCTAGAGCGAAAAATAGGAAAACAATGGTTACAATGGAAACAGTTAATTTCTGAATAGTAGAAATGGGTGGGTGCAAGCAAAAATGCTTACAGGAAATTTTAATCAGGTAAACAGACCAAGAAGTCTTAGCTACCTAGTGTTGTTTTACTATGGTACATTCTTACTGCGGCTATTCTTTTTATTGCTCAACAGCTCACGATATTACAGAAAATTCAAATTTGTTAGTAGCATTGAAGTCAGAGATCAAAAAACACTGACAGTCACTCGTCCAACGATTTTGAGGACGAAAAGTTAAACGAAAGAATTAAATGAGACACGCAGGCCGCACCTTGACTTGATTGGTTTTCAAGGACGGATGGAAAGTTTATGCTTCGAAAGAAGAACGAGCATAATTCTTGGCTTTTACTGAAAAATTCGATATAACCATTTTGCTATCAGTATAATCCAAGATACAAAGCTTTAGCACTTCTATATTTATACTTCCGTAAAAACAGGCTATTGTCAAAATTGTTTTATCAAGTGACTGTGCTAGTGACAGTGAGAAAATATGCTCTTATGTTATACTAAAATTTCTTTATTTCTTGCTAATATTTGTAAAAAATTCCTCTAACCTCTAAAGTGGCAGCAACGATTTGATTTCCAATGCTAAAAGATTCACTTGGAAAGCCATTTTCCTTCAACAAAAAGCAATATTGAATTACTTTAAGAATACAAAAGGAAAAAAGATGGAGAAACACACACATAAATATTGAAAATAAACAAGTCAAAGAGGCAAGATTCATAAGGTAGACTCATCAAGATTCATCAATTTTTCAATGGCTGGCTCCGATTTGCTTGTTTTTAATTTCGACCATACTCTGACAGCATTTTGGTAAGAATTTTGAGCACCCATTGAATCTTCAGCTAAATACGTAAAATACAAAATGGATTTAAAAAGCAAGGCAATTAACCAGGCTCTACATACCCTAAAACAGTGGGTTACGATGGAACCAAAAATCTTAACCATCGTTTCATCACTGAACTTTGTAATTGTCATTATGTTGAAATGACGCAGAAAACGTGACGTCACTGGATTTCTCCCTCCTCCAGGAGGACCCATCGCACTGACGAGTTGAAGATCGAACAATGTAATCCGTGAGGTGTCTTTCTTGTCATACCTGGAGAAGGGTATTTAGAAAACTTAGTAAAAAGAGCTTTACATTTAATAGAACTGCAGAAAGGGATGCAACGTACTTGAGAAAACCTAGAGCGCGTGACACAAGTTTCCTTACTAAAATGTTCGTATTCGAAGAAATGAAAATTTTCTTACCAGGCACCGTGATCCAAAAACTGCCGGATTAACTCGATTGGAGGCTGAGCACCATACTTTTCTCTAGCTGGCATGTTTACGTCATCGACAAAAATAACATACCTGGAGAAAATTCGAAAAAATGTCTTGCAAAACAAAAAAAATTACGATTTATTTAAACATAAGTTACAATAAACAGTTTTTACACAATAACTATTTCAAAAACTTCAAAGATAATATCCGAACAAGACCGTTTGAGCAAAATGTAAGACATATTGAACTTTTGAAAATATTGAACATGTTGAAAAATGTAAGTCATCTTTTTAATTCAAACTTTTTCTGAATCTACCAGGTTTGTAAATTCTTCTTTGTAAAACACTTTCATTGCAGGAAATACAATACAGTTAATGACATGTTGAAATTACTGAGCTTGATGATACTTACTTTTTACCAACGGGGGGTCCATAAACACCTTTCCTTCGCTTGTCCAGCTTCGCCATTATGAGTTCCTTTTTAAATCAAATATTATATTAACTTTCGTTTGAATCAACAGCTTCAATAGCTTCAACAGCAACAAGCATCAAAGATTGAATTAGAAAAGCTATCAATAATTAGATTTGGTTTTGTTGATATTTCGAACTGCTCAAAGCGGAGCAAAATGTAAGGACATGTAGCTTAGATGAGGTTGGATAGAAAAATATGACTTGATCAATAAAAATTTTAATTTATAGTAACATGACAATACTAGATATCTATCAGAAGTCTCTTTCAGTTCACCAGACATAATCAATCAATTATCTTACCTGAGTTTGATTTGCACTTGTCTGCGCTGAGAAATTGACAAACATGGGAAGGTATTTGTCGGCTGGCAACCCATTCATAAGTTTCTCCTTGATATAAACACTTTTTCCAGTTCCTGTCGGTCCAACAAATAGAGTAGGCCTGTTGTTCAGAATCATTAGTTCCATGAGATGAGAATATCTAGCGGTATCCATAGTAGGCACAATTATTTCGCTTGCTTTCTTCCCCTTTGGCAGGGACGTGTCGTGAATAGTCTTTGTCCACAGTGTCCAGCTTCCTCTGCCCTTACGCTAAACGTGGAAAGCAAGAATACTCAAACGACCTTCTTTAAAAAGGCGGCGGAGATAAAAACACTTTATCGTAGTCTTACAAAAACAGTATTATGTTACTCTTCACAAGGACTGCGGTGCATATTGCGGATTGAGGGGTTTAAAAGGTTTTTTTGGGGGGTATAGATTTTAGCATGTTAAGCTTAAAATGCAAGGCGAGTTGTTTTTGTATGAATCTGAGTACATTTCGGAAATTCAGGGGGGGGGGGAGAATCGTAGATTCAGCCTTGATGTTTCTATGTATTCACTTAGTTTTCAATTTCACGAAAGATCGATCTTAACAAAGATAAAAACTATAAATTTACCTCAAACATAAAATCATATACAGTATGTTCAGTGGGCATTGCGTGTTCTATTTTGCCAACAACGCTTGGAATCGGGTGATCTTCGTCTTTTCCAGAAAACAATTCTTTAATGAAATGATCGAATTTTGTACGGCTTGTTCCATCACAACTGGCTCCTACAGACCAAACCAGTGCAAATTGGAAGCAGGACTGCAAAACAAGAAGCAGAGGTGCTAGATGCAGTAAATCTACTAACGTAGCTTTGCAATGCACTGCAAAGAGCATTAAAAACACTACTGGATATATCAAGTCTTTAATAAAGAAGAATCTTGATTGAAAATACTTAGCTAAATGGATGACATCAGATGCTTGAGCTCAAAAAGAAATGTATAACCCCATGATCAATAGAAGGTGGCAATTTGTTTATGTCAAAGACACTCAAACGAATCTTTATTCTATTTGAAATGAAACTCTTCAAGACAGACAACTGACAAACCCATAAGGTGGGTAACATCAGGTCTATGAAATGCAACATTGAAACATATTGACAATCAGTTACTGTATAAAACATTGAATTGTTACAAGCATCAAATATGTATGGTAATTAACAGACAAATATTATTGCATAACTTACAGCTAGCCAAGTTTTGACGTATTTGTGATCATTTTCATGTATATCTTTCATCAAAATTTCAAGCAAAGTCATACACGATGTGACCAGATTGCTATCTGATGTCGGCACAAATTCCTGTGAACGATATTCAATGCAGTTAGACAGAAGAACCTATACGGTCAAATAGGAGAAGAGGAAAAAGAAAGCACACTTGCCTTTTAAAACTGTTCTCTAGCGACATTCGGAAGATGCCTAGTCTTTCAACATTATGCTATTTAAACACTTTAAAAATAGTAATAAAAAAACTTGAATCAAACGTTATCAAATAAAATCTGGCATTATGATTCTACAATGTGTATGATTGTATTGCACAGTTCTGATACTATGACAATTTCGAGCTTCAAAGAGTGTCAAATGCAAATAAAGAATTCTCTAAAATACACAGACATGTTTTGGCAGAATTGGGATCAAACTTGGAATTTCACACAAGTCAAAGATGATTATTTACAGTGAAAGACATACCTTACAAGATTTTCGTAAAAACCTTAAGCAAGGCGTTACAGCCCAGTTGAAAAGACCATTGATGTATTTGTGTTCAGCTTTGATTACATCGGGTAGTGTGTTGATCCAAGATTCGACTAATGGCTCCCAACCAAGAGAGGCAGGCTCAAGGTAGATCATACCGCATCTGCTCACAGTAGCGGGCTAGGAGGAAAATTGCTTAGTGATAAACACATTTATCATTGATTATCTATAATGGTAAATCCAAGGAAGTCGAATGGCATGACAGATCAGGAAATAATTTCAAGGTGAATATATTTTCAAGGTGAATATATTTATATAGGCGAACATTTGTAAAAGAAAGTAATTGAATTTCTCATATGTTCAAATATTTGCAAAACCAAAAGAAATATGAGCAAAGAAATGAGAAATGGTAAAGTGAACACACCGATGCTTGTGATAAGTCGTTTGTTTCGAAAATCAAACTCATCGATCCTGAAAGTTGAATGATCTCACCACTCATCAAGCAGAGCTGAAACAGAAAAATCGTATGAAATTGATTGCTAGACCACGATCGAAACATGGGTACATACTAAGATAGGCAATGATAAATATAAAACAATCTCAGCAAAAACATCTTGTCAAAGGTACCTTTTTATTGTCGTCTAATACAGTGTTCATATTTTCAATCCACAAGGCATCGATAGGCCCATCAAAAACAACCCATTTCCTCGTTTCTGTTTGATCCGATGCGTACTCTCTGAAGGTGTTGGCACAAACACCATCGGTCCATTCATGCGAAACTGGATCAAACTGCCCAAACAACTGTCCCATTGTTATTGACTTTGGGTTGATAATTCTGTACCAGACCTTTTCTTCTTCGAGGCCTCTTTCACACATAAGAGTTAAGGTGCTAGAAAGAACTTCCAATACTTTAGTTTTAGCTGAGAAAGGTTCACCAACCAACATAAATCCATGCCTCACAATCATCATTTCATAAGTCTGTATAAGCTTCTCCTGGAAAAAGTCAGTTGCTTGCAAATTTGCTTTTGCGCACACTTCGTTGGCGACGCCCATGAATGTACTGTAATCAGCTTTAGGCTGCTGTATACCGGGGAACAAGTCAGAGATAATGCCTTCAAATAGCGGAATGTCGTGTGACAAGAACTTCGGTTTGTTCACATCCATAATTGAACGGAGCAGCAAGACATCTTCGTTTTGATCAGGGAATTTCAGCTTAAGGTTTCCGGCAGCTGCTAAGACGGCCTTGACGGCTCGCATTCCATAATCGTAATGAAACTGCGAAGATAACTGTTCAGAGCATAGTTTGTAAGTCGTGACGATCTTTACAGCTAGGTTTCTGGCATCTACGAACCCATATGAATACAGGCTGATTTCGGCAATCAGGGCGTAATCAGGCACCATCATTGCTACTGTCCGGAATAGGACTTTGAGATTATCAGGCAGTTCAGACCGACCTGCATAACCTGGGTTCATTGTAATACAAACATAGCAGTTTGCATTTAGCTTCAATTTGGTGCCTTCGAAAACGAATTCATCCAAGTGTGACGCAACAGCTCTCTGAATGCAAAGAATTTGCTGCGCAACGACTGACAAGACTTCCAATTCAATGCGATTGAACTCGTCGAAACAAGCCCATGCTCCACACGCGGCCAACCCTTTAAAGAACTTACCCATCTGCAAATAATCAAGACCATCAGAGCAGTTGAAAACTACACACTGGATAGCTAACGCTTTTGCAAGATCTTTCGTAGTCTCTGTTTTCCCTGTACCAGCAGGTCCCTCTGGTGCACCGTTCAAATTCAAATGAAAAGCACCAACCAACGTACGGTAGCATCTATCCGTCAACGGAGTTATAACGAGCCTCCCTGAGTTCCCTAGATATTCATAAGCATAGTTCACGGTTGCGTTTATAATTCGCACCAAGCAGTTTCCTTCTTCCCAGTAGTACCTGAGTTGGCTAAGCCACTGGAAATCGTTCTCTGACGAAACACCAAGCTCTGCCATTTGATTGACAACATCACGGGCATGCACGTCAATAACGACAAGGGCTCCAAGGGTCACTCTGTTTTGCTTTGACAATTTGCCTCGAACTAGTTCAACTATCTCTTCAAGCTGCCTTTGCAGTTTGTCATAATAGTCCTTCAGTCCGCGAGCTCCACCTTTTATGGCTTCGTGCACCTCAGCTGTCCAATATATCTGACTGGTGCACAGTACAATTTGCCCAGGCCACTCTTTCACCCAATCTTTTCTAGGTGTTTGTGGGTATGCTTCGGTTGACTTCCCAACAATTTCTCGTATGCTGGCTATCATTACATCTTGCACCTGAAGTAACCATCTTTCAACAACCCCCCTTGCTGCAGCTGTAGAAATCGTCTCACTCAAATTGACCATCTCACCTTCGCTACTATACATCGCTGTTATGTCTAGTGATTGCGTGAACTGAAGCTTAGCGATTCCTTCGAAGCATTTCTTGAGATGTGGTTGCACACGGTAAGGATCTTTCGTCTCTGAAAGGATCTCCAACATTTCATCATTTGACAAGAAGAAAAATCTAAAATGAAAATGAGAAGAATTTTATTAAAGAAATCAGTCTCGATCAGTTCATTTCTAACATACTACCTATCTACGAAAAAATGCCTCTCTAGCCTCAGGTACCTTTCATTGCTCAAAAAGATAGGCTATTGTCCCCTACTTTATATAAACAAAGAAGCTTATTTCCTTTTGGAAAAAGCTTAGATCGCCATTCATAAGATACAAGAAAAGTTCGTTCGATACTCTACCGACAAACGAAGTTTTAATCAAACTAATACAAGGTTGTTCTAAAAATCTTAGATTCGAGAAGTCATGTTGGTTTCTAGTCACTGCAATGGTACGTTACCTTGGGAAGAACAGTCTTTTCTTTTCCAAGTATGCATTCAATCCTTTGTTGATCTGGTCGAGCAAATTATTACTGTCAATGAGGCGCTCGTAAAGACCGCTTATTGAGGTGGCAATCAGAACCTTTGGGTCTTTGACTACAGCTTTCATGATTTCTTTCCAGTTGCGATCAACCATTTGGAACTTTCTACCTTCTTCCGGCATTTGTTGCATGATATCTTCAGAGCTGAAGATAGGCTCCAAATACAGCCACTGGGCTTGCACTTTCAGCCATTCGTCGATAGTTTCTTGCATCTTCAGCAGCCGCTCTTCCCATGCCTTTATTTCAGCTTCAAAAGGTTTTATAAAGGGCGAGCCGCGCATCGTTTGAGTTTTTACAATCTGGTCATCAAGTGTTGCTTGAATCTCATCCACAGCAGCAAGAATCGCCACTCCGGTGTCTCTGTAAATTGTGGTGTTGAAAATGATCTCATCCCAATCGTCAACCATTTTCTGCATTGCCTTCTCTAAAGAATATTCCTACAAGAAGAAAGTTTATATAAGAAAATAGGTTTGTCATAAAATTAAAAACAACTTAAAGAAATTTTGTACTTTATAATGAAGTTTTTAGATCCACTCCGAACTCTATCTTGATTGTCACTTTGTTAGAATCTAACGCCAACCATAAAGTCAGGGAGGTTCGTTTCAAAATCTTCTTCAAGCGAGCTCAACTTGTTACACTCCATACGTGTTAAAACATAATGAACGGAAATAAAATTAATATCTAGATAAACAATCTCATTGGCAAATATTACCGGACTTGCAATTTTCCAAATGCTAGGAATCGCTTAAAATTGCTAGAAAAACCACTTCAAAGCAGTATTTTGAATTAAGAACAAATGAGGCCAATTTAAATTAAAGTTACCTTGCTTGCGCCACCACTAATGCTTTCGAACTCATCCATATATGGTGAAAGGTTGTTTTTAAGCATCTTTCGCAAAGTTGTGCTAGAATCCGGGGCAATATCATAGCCAATCTTGTCTGACATAGCCCTCCAATGGCGTTGTCGTAGACCTGGATTGCACAACGTGCTCAGTATAGGCACATGCTCCTAAACAAATGATAATAATAATGATCAGTTTTTCAATCACTCGACTAGCAATCACATAATACTTCAAACGAATGTACACTTTACACAGTAATCAATGCGTACTTCAGCTTCTCTTACATCTAAGAAGTAGTCTTCCATTTTGATAATGTATATTACTTATAATATTGTAAAATTCCCATCCTGTTTTAGTAAATTGGTGACCGGGATTATAAAAAATACCATTATAGCTATTACCTGATTTAAAAATCTGAGGTATTTTCAAACAAAAATTACTCATCTAGTCTCTTGAAACTGAAAATAAATACGCTGCACTGTAAGCATAAAATTCAATTGATTAACTATATGACCTTTTAACTAGCTATCGCGACTTAAGCACTTATTTGCACTTAGCAAATAAGCCAAAGTCTCATTATGACAAACAAGAGCACTTTGCCAACCTGATTACTAAAACATATTTTTTCTTAATACAACAGTCATTTGTTTTTGTAACAATCCGCCAGAACAAATCTAGTTGCCATAGTTTTGCCATAAAAACAGGAAATTAACCTTGAAATCTCTGATCTGTTCTTGAACAGTGTGTGCTACTTTCAGCGGTGCAAATTTATCTTCCAGCTTTTCTTCGTTTTCATCCTTTTTCTTCTTTCTGACGACATCACTTCGATCCTTCTGTTCTCCTTTCTTGGCCATGGACGCGAACTGTTTTACGAGTTTGTATACTTCTCGTCCAAATTCTTCAACCTGGCAGAAAAATTGATAAGGCCGTCAGTTAGGTAAGCCATACATTTAGATCAAAAGTAGGGCATTACGAATAGAGTAATTTATATGGTCGGAAAATATTGTGGAAAAAATAAGAAAATCGGAGAGTTTTTAATCAGATCTGGTAATTAACTCAATACGAGAAGAAAAATTTATAAACAAACATTCTGCAATGTTGGGCTGAAAACTTAAAGGCTTTCCAAACAAAACAGAGGCTTCCATTGAAGATTTGGAATATTCAATGGAAAAGAAACATTAAAAAAAGGTTCTTAGTTGCAAATGAAATAGTCACTGCTTCAATCAATCAGAATACAGTAAAAACATTTCAGAGAAACACAACGGACGAATCAACATACTTCTGCTTCTATTGACTCAGCATTCAGATCCAGAAAGGCACCATCCATCCATTTCTTCTCTGACCTCTGCCACTTGACAACCAACGAGAACAGTTTCAAATACGGCTCGATGGCTGTGGTTAGGATCTCTATTTCAGGATACGTGGTCAGTTCCCATTTAAATAGGTCTTCTTCCTAAAATAGCAGTAACATCACATGGGTGAGATGACAATCATAGAAATAGCTACCTAAAATTACAAAAAGTTCATGAAATGTCAGGGTCAACCCACAAAGGGGTCAAGGGACCTATCCCTCCTTATATATTTTTAGAGACAATTTTGTCCCTTTTCTTATCTGAACGATGCATCAAAAGTTAATTTTTTCTTTTAGTTTCGAGCTGTCCCTCTAAAATCTATAGGCTACCGTTCAGTCTTGAATGTTGATTGCGTATTAAGATTCAGTATATGAGCTTAACACACTTAAGTGATAGCTAAATGAATCCTTTGAATCATGATTATAAAATTTCGGAATAAAAGATGTTGCTCTACAGAAAATATTAATGATACCTAGGAAAAATGAAATGTAATATTCGCATGACATTTTTCACTTTTTAAAGGTTTCAGATTTCCCAAAAACCACTGATTCGATTTCCACATTGAAAAATCGTCACCAAAACGTTTTCAAACTAGGATTTGCAAGACATTCCAACAGTTCTTTAGATAATCAAACAGCTCCAATAAAAATTATTTTTCATCTATTAACCGCCCATATCTGTGATTACCTCATTTATAAACTCAATCGACTCTGTTAGTTCACTGATTTTTCTCTGCACTGCTTGAACGTCCCTTAGGTACTGCAGCATCATGTCCATGTGACCAAACTCAACAAACTCCATCACTTGCCTGTTGCAAAGAATAGAAAAAATCACTTAAAAATGTATTCATTTTATGCAAAGCAATTCCAGTATCAGGCAGCCCCCATTCTCCTTGCAAGAACATGCCATATTAAAGTTGTCGGACTTTTATTATTCCTGTCGTGGTGCAAATACAAAAATGACGAAGAAAAAGGTCGAATAACCATAAAACACCCGAGTAGCAAAAACTGTCCTGTACGTAACGTAACGCATGATTGCGTAGCTTCGTCGGTCATCTATGGCTGGTACAAACTCCTTTTTTCCTAATTTCCTGACAAGCTGTCCTTGACATTCATTTACAGTTTTACACAAACTGAAAACCAACTGAAAACGAATTGAACTTTAACAAAGTTTATATCTGTTAACAAAGAGCAATTTTCTCAAGGTGATTACTCACTTCTTGAGTCGATCTAGCTCCAACATTACTTTCTCTCTCTTTTCCGTGAGAGCCGATTCTCCACTTTTCTGAGCAACAGCAATAATCTAAAAAATCAGGAATGACATAAAGTAGTACGCGCAACTGTAAAGACAGCTCTACAAAGCAAAAAGAAATTTTTGACAAAAAGAAGCAGCATGACATCGAAGACTTCCACGATCGCTTTTGATACCATCAGCATTTGACTGTGCACGCAACCCTCGTCCAAGCCTCTGACAACCCTTGTCTAAAGAAATCCGCCGTGTTAGCACCACTAAGTTGCATCATATAGTTCTTTCTGAACATGAAGATTAACTTAAAACTATATCCCTACATTTACTTATTCGACTGACTATACAACAACGATCGATTAGTCAAGAGAAACAGTGAATTTATAAGCCATGGAATACGTACCTCGTCACTTTGATCAAATACTGGGTTGATTTGCGTCGGCCAGTTTAGAACAGTGCTGTTCAAAGCAATATCACTGCCCTTAAAACTGTAGTGATCAAGCAGGTAGGCCAATCTGTGTTCTGATTCCTAGAGAAAACAAACACATCCATAAGCAAAATAACCCTATTAACTCCTTGATAGCAGTTGATAGCACTCTATATGAAAATTGACAAAAGGGCAACGTTAGCAGCAATAAAGAAAATGTAACGATAATGAACAGTTATAAACCTTGATATCTTCTTTCAGCTTAATTAGATTCTTTTGCTGGGCTTGCTCGACGTATTTCATCAAATCAATCATGTCCTTGGTATCTTTTGGTTCGCACAAAGCCTTCTGCTTCATAGTTTCAAATTCTGAGCATATTCTATACAAAAAACGAAGAAACTTAGAGGTATCTTATTAGAGAAATTAGCTTTGACATAGCAAGAACGGAGTTTTAAAAAAGTTTATCAAATAATCCAAAACTTCCTCTATCGATTGTAAAACTAGGAAACCTTTATTATATATCAATATTGACTAACTACGGTAAGTTAGATCGGGAAAAATTCTACATTTTGCATTCAAAGGAGCTTTGAATAAAAATTAAACCTAAAAAGTGTGAAATTTAGGTTGCACGAATACGGTATGCAGTAATATAGTAATATTTGATAGTAGTATTAAATTCGCAGTAACATGAATCAAATTTTAGGTATAATCATAAAACAACTATTTATTGAGTTCGTTCTAGGAAAACCTCCAAAGCCTACACTCCCATCGCATAAAATATATGTTCTACATCTTTAAGCTTCTAGACGAAATTCTGAACGCTATAGGAGAATTTAAAAAATTAAATAGCAAATAAAAGCCAAAATAAAAGCAGACCTCTGATTCTCTTTTCGATGATCCTCTGCTAGTCGAGTGAGCAGTGTTTCAGCATATCCATGGGCCTTGCTTGCTAAGCCTCGTTTCAGATCATCGCAGTCCAAACGCATTATGTCAAAATGTGCCACTGTGAACAAGCTCGATATTTCTCTTGCAAGTTTTCGGTATTTCTCGATTTCCTAGAGATTATTTATTGAAAGTCTCTCATAAAAATGAAAAATCAAGCAATAATGGAGACTTGCGTTTATATTCAGCTTAAAATTCGATGCACAAAAACAATGATCAATATAGATTTAATCATTGCCATGCTAAGTACATGTAAAACAAAGTAAACTGTATCACGGGAAAAATATTTGTACAGTCGCAACAGAAACACAATAAACTTAAAACATAATTAAAAGATATAAAGAATACCATAAAGAAAAATTATAATATCGTTCTTTAGGCCGCTATCACGACAAGTTAATATTTTGGTTAAATATAACCTATTAATTTGCTAGTTCAAAAGGTGGGTTCTTAGGTCACAGGCAATTCTGGCTCGTTATATTCCCAACATATTTGGAATTTCATACAATTGCAATAGTTAATGATAAACAGCCATGAAATATAAATAAACCTCATTACAACTAAAAAGAGGGAAAACATTTACTTACAACTGTGTATTCATCAAAGGTATTGTTTGAATCCAAAAATTCTTGAATTTCAGCAGAAGCTCTGCCATCAACAAGCATGCTATATTTGTCTGTGAAATGAAATTGACAATCAAATATTTGCAGAAAGTGCAGTTTGAAAACATATTCTGGCATATCGGCCTCAAAACAGAAAATAAAAGTAGAGAATCCAAGGCATCTCCTTCGAACAAAGGAGGGATATCGAGGAGTAAAAGTCACCGAAATTTGAATCGCTAGTCCTGGACGCCAAATGATGGGAGCATACTCTGATGAAAAATATTAGGCATTGTTTACATAAATGAAGTAAGCTAGCATCAGGTAACTTTCTCGTTGTGCTCTTGCTTGTAATTGTCAAAGGAGTCGGAATTAAATGTGCTAGAATACTTAGATGTGATAGAGCACAACCGAGGGCAGGTTCTAGCAGCAATGCCTAATATTGTAGCCATGAAAGTTTCTGGCAATAGTTCGAAACTAAAGTTGAACTGACCAAACGAAGCCAAATGCTCTCTTGGTCCTTCCAAGTATTTTGTGATGCATTCTTTCAGAAAGTTGGTAATATTCTTCACAACAGCTGGATCTATTTTTGCATCAATGCAAACGGTTGTTGGACCGCCACTTAACCATGACTAAAAAAGATGTTATGGTTTTGATAGCAATGAAACAGACAAAGAAGCTGTACACTCCTCATTTCAGAAAAACTTTGAAACCTCCAAGAGGCATTTTTTACAAATCAAGTTGCATGATATCCAGAAATTAAGAAGATTTGAAGGAAAAGGTTCTTCCTCGTTTTCTCTGGTAGCTGACATAACATAAACAAGTATGTTACTATAAGGGAGCGTTTATGACATCATCATTACTGTAAAGAATTCGATTGAAGGTAATTTGGCACTTATAAAATATACATTTAGCAATTACCTGGACTGTTTGCACATTCTGAAGAGTTCCTGTTATACTCTTAGTCACAGACAGAATTGACTCTTCCAGATCGATCAACATTGGGTAAAACTGAATGTTGTCCTCATCATCTAAGATTAACTCCATTTTGAACAGAGGCAAACGGCTCGAGTCTTTTTCATTGAACAAGTCAATATAAGCATTCAGGGATCTTGTTATGATGCCTTTAAGCTGATTGAAAGAGAGTTGAAATAGAAATGTGAAGTATAGCTCCCCAAAGAATATTGATCAAAGAGTCGTTTTAATTATAGACACAGTTAGGATATAGCACTCAAAAATGATTTCAAATAAAAACAGTCAGAATGTCAAAGAAGATGTGGAAACATTTACCAACCCAGAAAGGATATAATCAAGATTAGATCTTTATTGTCATAGTTACGCAAGAACAATAAAAATTTAAAAATTTCGTATCTTTCAAAGAGGAGACAAAAGAAGTCGTCATAGTTGGCCTAGTATGTAACCATTACTTTACATTACATACGTTGCAGAACAAAATAAAATGGCTTACTTGATTGGATATCAAAGTTGAAACACTGCTATGAAATGAGTCTTGCTGCTCATCTTTTAAATGCTTGAAGGCATTCTTATCAACAAAAATGTTCACTATTTCAGGGTACCAACTGCAAGAGTAAAAAAGTTATATCTTCTATACACTGTTTATAAGACTCAGCTAAGACGAAATATCAAACTCAAAACTTTCAAATATCTAAAAACAACACAGTTACTGTAATCGTAATACAACAGAAATTTCCTAAATGAAAAGTATCATTATAATTTCTACCTTTCCAAGATAAGCATCCATTCAGGGATGGTTTTATGGACTGCAGAGCCAGGGAATGAAACATCTGCGAGGCCTTTGCTCTTTACAATTATTTCTGTGGTGCAGGGCCCCTAATGGCTATGAAAAGTGAGGGACTTGGGGTCGTTACCTTGAGACACCCCCTTAAAACCACAACTGTATCAATTTCATGTCGCTTGTTTGTAAGCTTAAAGTGTCTTTAAAGGTAAATAATTATGAGATAACAGAAAAGCATGAAACTGATGTGATCTTGAAAAGCGCCGGTTTGATTCTTGGGTGCTCAAGAATACGCTGCTCATTAAAATCTGAATCAAGCAAAAGCAAGATGTCAGCACACAATTCAAAGTAACAAAGTCTTCTGAATTAGTAAACATCTACAAACCTATGAAGAAGTTTTTCTTCCATCTTCTCGCAAGCAAGCTGCGTGTTATTTTTCAAATTTTCACATTCGATTGGTCCTTGTTTTCTAAATCGACGAAAAAAAATGAAAGAGGGTAAGAAAAAAACAATATTAACACAAACGTCGATGTGAAAATGAAACACATTGCTGCATATATTTGCAGCAGGCAGAATTAAAGCTGATTCTGTATAGCAGAATTAATGCTTCGATTCAATCTAAATAAGAACCATATTCATGAAAACTTCCAAGCTAAAATCCTCACCTTATTTCTGACAAATCAACAAGCAAGAGCTTTGAATAAACCTTGTTGTTACAAATCTTCAATATTGTTTGATGAGAAGGATGGAGCATGTGTAAGTTTCGCCGAATCTGTGCTTTAGCAGCCAGAAAGCTCTCTCTCCAGTCACTGGAGAAGTCTAGGCCACTAGATCGAAAAGTTGAGGATTAATTACATATAAAACAAAAAAAATTACAATAATTCCATTAATGACAAATAAACCAGGGGCATCTTTAATTGAGGTATGGGGTGAGTTCAAACTTATAATCATTCTTGTCAGGATTTCGTGTGTTTTTTATCAATCATCAACCTTGATCTTTCTATTTCCAACAAGTTTGATATCCATTACAAAAGGATCCAGGGCTCAAATTCTGCGTTTTAATACAAAAATTGTTGAAGATGAAAAGCTTCATTAGGCTTACTGAAAAAGTTACTTTCTTTTCTGCAACTTCAATCTCTTAAATTCTAGCTATATCTACTTGCCTTAAAAAAATTCATAATGATCATGTGTGAAAAATTTAACGGAAAATATTGCCTATCATTCTGATGGATATTAATCCATTTTAAAGGGAAGCCTGTAGTTGTACTTTATATTTCATGATATGAAGAGCAAGATCTTCCAAAGCAGTGACAGAAGGTTTTCATTTGGGGAAGAGCACAGTACCACAAAGACACATGTTGAAAAAGCTTTTGATGCATTAAACCCTTGTCAAATACCAACAAGAATGCAATAGAGGTTTCCAAGCTGCCCATGCACCCCATTATTTCTGTCACTGTTCCACAGTTAGAAAAAAGAGAATTAAGAACAATTAGCTTACACTTCTTCCTCTGGTAAATCTTCATCTTCTTCAACACCTTTCACATTAGGTTTTACCAAGGTGTATTGCACTAAAAGTTGAATAATACATTTGCACAGTATTTAAAAAGATCTGAATCCAGGATGCATTTTTTAGATAAAATCTAATTATCACCATCATGATTAACTCTTCATGCCAGTGCTGGTAGATGACCTCAACACATCTTTCTATACATTCCAACTTTGCTCCACTCACATCAATTAAATGCTGATCCTCTTTTTCTCTCTCCTCTCTACTTCTTTTTGGGTTTTTTCCCTGGATATCTACAAGATGCCTTACAACATAACTTTGCACAATCACAAACGTTTAAGAATCAAGAAGTATTGGAAATCCTTAAAATTCTTTACAAGCAGATCTTGGCATTGGCCTTGTATCACCTGAAATAATTTGAAATTCTCTTTTTTTTTCAAAAACTACACCCATTAAAGGACAGCAGATTGATCAAAATAAGGTACTCGTATCCTCTATTGCTTGCCTGTCAAAGAGCTTGCTATAATAAATACATATCAAAAATTTGGAATAGAAATGTCTGAAATCCACAAACCCATTGCTTTTCTCATGCTCTTATCATACTCCTTCATCAACTCATCATTAAGTTCCCTGATGTATGGTTGCATTTCTGGTGACCTGATAAGATCTTGAGGTACCATTGACAGAATTTCATGCCACCATTCTTCAGGCATTGGTGAAACTGGTCCTTCACTGACACATTTTTTCATAAACTGGTAATTCAACTAAAAAAAAGATGGAATTAAAGAGATAATGAAGTATCTGAATTGTGCTCTAAGAAAAAAATTTATAGATAGTTTTGAACTTTGATGTGGGAAATAGAAAAGTTTGCCTGAAATGGAAATGGAAAAGTTTGATCTTTTTACCAATAAACTTTTATTCTTTGGTGATTTTAGATTCTCTCAACCCTATCCATTGAAGCTCCCACCCCTCCCTTTTTTAGGATGCTTATAAAATACAATATCTGATTAGAATTGAATATGATGGTTTGAAGGAGTAGCATTGCTTTTCACATCTGACAGCTAGAGTTGTTGTTTAAGCAATCTAGCATATGACTTTTTAAAATGGGTATGTAGTATAGGGTTCAATGGAGTTAGAAAGCGGGCTGAGGCTCATTTTAACACAGAAAAGTCACCCTTTTCTTTTTTTAACTATTTTTTCCTCATCTCATTCCTTGCATTGAGATCAAATCTGGGTGGACTGATATGGCCATGCAGCATACAACTAGCATGCTTTGAAACTATACGGCTGGTAAATTTTGGTTCAGCATTAGAGTGCAAAAGTATGAACCATATGCACTCAGACATCAGTATAAAAGAAAAAAAGGAAATTGATTGTCTTACCCTGATTCTTCTTTCCTTTGACATCATCTATTAAAATCACACATAAAATACAATTAAAAACATTCTTTAAGGCAAAAAGTTCATCAGTAGTTCATTTGATGCTTACAAATTGATAATTGGGTTATGTTTAGAAGACTGGTTTTACTAATCTATACATAAATCGTCCTTTAATCATTTATTTCTTCATTACCTGTGATGGCATTTCTGGAGTTGGGTTTGATTTTGGTCTCCTCTTTAGAGCATCCTCAGTTTGGTGCTTGGCATCTTTGGCCCTCTCTCTCCTAATTTTACCAATAGAAATACTGATGAATAACAACAAATGCTAAATTAACTTTCAAGTATAAATAAATTTTGATGAAATGAACTGTAAGTTAGTATCAGAGGCCTGTGGAGAAGAGTTCCCACAAAAGTGTTTTACAGAGGAGTTTTACAAAAAGTTATGATGCTACATGGGTGTTATTCTAATTACTTATAGCAATTTTTTACAAAATACTGACAAATCTTCATGCTAAAAAACAAATAAAATCAAACATGATTGAATACAACAATAGACTTGTTGTAACATTTTATCTTCCTGTTTCTAAATTTTTCCAGATATTATACAACTGTATGCTGAAATGAAGGGAAACCACAGAAGCAAGTATACTAGAGAATTATGTTGGGTGAATCTTTAATGAGGAAAAATACCCTAACAGTCCACAAATGACTGCAAGGCAGTTCTGCTGCCATTTTTTTTGCAAACTATGAAAACCCTAATGTTAGAATATTCAAGAAGTTCAGCAAATTTCCACAAACTGTGCTGACTTGTTATGGAGTATGCATTTCAACCAAACAAGTAAAAAAGGTAAATAAATAACACATCATAGAATAATGATTGCTTCAAAACAGCCTGAAAAGACTATAATTATAGCCTTTCATTTCTTCATTAATATGATATCTTATGTGAGCTTGTATCACTTACACTATTCCTCCCAAAAGATCTTGCATGTCACTGCTTCTTCTATATTTGAGAAGAGGACTGTTGTCAAATCTTGCTGAAGAGTTGACATATTGCTGGATAGGTGGAAGCTTAGGTATTCTTCCAATGGGAGAACTCGATGTTCTTTTTCTTGAGTCTTGTGAAGACATCTAAATGTAGTGCAAAGAATTGCATCTATTAATTTGATAAATGGTAGACAGATATAAATTTAAGTTTTTCATCATACTTAGAAGCAGAATCATGTAATATGTTGCAAAGTTGCCCTACTTGATTACCTATCTGATAATACTTTTTTCTAGAAGTAGCATCAGCAGAGAAGGAGGTACATAATTACTAATTACAGTATCTTAGTGTACATCCTCTTACTATAAATTTTGTCCAGCTTCGATTTGTTTAGAAATTTTCGTCTTTTTTCAAACCTGGTGTGGTTTCGGGGGGCCCAATCATATGCAATTCTGATTTATGAACCCTTTATGAAAATCTAGAAAAAGCAACTGATATAAATATGACACAAACATACGAGCTGAGACTGAGCAATATTCTTATCATATTCTCAAAAAAATTGATGATTCTGAGCCTGAATATCTTTATAAACAATATTCTTATACAATGTGTACAACGCGTAGCACCAAGAGCATTTCCCCACATTTTATGCATTTTTGTATGGGGTATTTGGAATTTGCAAACATAGATCAACGAACCAAAAATTAAGGTTGAGAAACTTGAATTGAGTTTCAATTATATGTTTGCATTCAAAGCTCTACATTTAAATCAAACTTGTTTTTAAATGATTGACAATCTTTGTTATTTTTGTTTGGGAAAGACTTAGCTTAGGCCAATGTCGCTTCTGGTGCAATTTTTAGCATTTTGCGATATGACATCTACAAACATTCATTAACTACATTTAAGAACTATTAGGATGTGCTCATAAGAAATTTCTACCTCAGATGTGATTTTTCCAACGAATAACTTATGTTTCTACTTGTGGCATCGTTCCTGATGTCTCCATGATCAATTCAATTTATTGCAGCTTTGTCGCCATGACGATGTTGTTGGTGTACGGCCGCAGAGCATAAGCTGCGCAGTTTCTTTGACTTTTCACCTTATAAAAACTCTTTTTAGCACACCATTGGGGGGGGGGGTACCAGGTGGGTATTTTGAAAGTCGGCTAATTTTAGCATTAGAAAAATCTTTACTCTATAACCTGAACAAAAATAATAGCATTTTCATAACTCTATGAACTGAGCAAAAATAACAGTAATCCGTTAGCAAAACTGAAATCTTCTATTGGCAATAGCTTACCCGATTTTTGACAAATGTAACTGATTTTGAATATATGGGAGTATTATATGGTGTTGTTCTATGTTTTGTTGTCAATATTCGAAAATTCTACAATTATTTTTTTGTGACGTCGCACTTTATAGCAATGTGCGCTGTTAGACCTATCAAAATTTGGTAATCCTATCAAAGACCTGTCAAAGAGGACAAAATGAAAAAATCAACATTTTTGAGTCAGTTCATTTAGCACTTACAAAAGTAAAAAAAGAATTGAGCATACCAATGTCTTTGAAATAAACAAGTTGATGCAATTGCTAAATAATTTTTTGCTTCGTTTAAACGTTGTTCTTCCTTTACGCGTGCCCTCCTTTCTCCCATCCTGTCTATCTTCAAAAATTTTATTACTCTCCATTTTTACAAATTTGAAAAACCATAAATGACAAAATTTAAAACAGTACATTTCTGTCTGCATATACAGAGAAAGAAATAATATTAACATATCCAGTGTGCATAGATGACATTTTATCCAAGCATTACCCGAACACTCCATTCCCATATTATCCAGAGAACTGGCTTAAAATTTTCATCACTAGAAACTTGCGAGTTTACTTCTTATAAGCTCGAAGCTTTTCATAGAGCCAACAAATACTTCAAAAGGCCAAATCAGTTTTTCTATTTTTGCAACAAACGTCGATACCTTACGAAGTACGCGAAAAAACATTGAAATGATTTCTTATTTCGATACAAACTTTCCGTTTCATTCATTTTTGCGACAGTGCTTCGATTGACGTAACTCTCGAAACAGCTTAGCCAAATTAATATCGAAGGCATGATATCTATAAAACCAATAGTTTAGCCAACGTAATACTAGATTAAAAGTTATTCGATTCTGTCATATTTAGAGCTCATAGCCGTTTTACAAAAGTTTTAACTTTATGGTATCAACGCATAACTGGTTTTATATACTGTCAATAAAGTAGACAAAATTAACAAGAAAGACAAAATTTAGTTCTTATAATTTTTTTATCCAAATTCACAACACATTCTTTTATTAGTACGACTTCAATATTTTTTGCAATTACAAAACAGTTATGTCCACATCTCAAATTCAAACAAAAGAGAAAAGCTTCACATACTTCAAGAACCAAAACTGTAAATTAATTAATATGCTAATCAACAAACAAGAAGACATTGAAAATTATAGTCTTGTAAATACCCACTTTAGGTATATTCTTCAAATATTTCACGACCAGCTGTTTTAATGATTAAACTACAAAAATACTTCTCAAAATGCTTTGGAAAAAGGATTTGCAAAAACAGCAGAGAAAATTTGGCGTAATTGGCAAGTGGAAGTTATGAAGTTGGCGATTCAAGGTAGTGATAGCTTGTTATTGGATGGAAACAACAATTTTAATCCAAACTTTCAAGGCTGAAAACACTGTTAGACACTTTTTCGATAGCTTCATATCAGCGACAAAAAGGAAATGAATATCGCACTTATAAACAAGAAAAGAAAACGCTTTGGAATACCATTTCTGTTTCTTTTTAAATAAATTGAACTGAAGAAACTTTGAAGATAACTTTTCCCAAATATCATGGAATGATGAGATAACAAAAAAAGGAAAAAAACTGCACCTGCAAGCTCAAAATTTTGTTTGTAGTGAAGTAGCTGGTTCAGTGCTTCAAATGCGATTTTAACTTCATTAAGTCTTGATCTCAGGCAAGTTATTAGATAGCGATGTATTAAGTATTATATATTAGCTTAACATTATCCAAAAACAAGTTAGCAAAAAAACTAAAATTTAGCATTTAACATTATTTCACAATTTCTTTTGAAATATGAGCTTGATTTTTAAACGAAAGTTCAATACAGTAAATTTTTCAAAATTGCCATTTGTCAATCAGATTGTCTCCAGACAAAAGTAGGACTCATCTTTTTCTGGGATCAATTGGAGATTACAACTTGATTTACCAGGGCCAGCATGGGTCATGACATGATCTTCTGTAAGTTGTCATGGTCCCAGAATCCACTTGCAACAGGGCAGTGTAAACTGTCAACTGAAATCAAAGCAAAGGCAATTTTCACCATCCTGTTAAGCACTTACAATAAAAGAATTCCACAAATATGCATAACTGATTTAACGAAATAACAGCTTACCTTTAAAAAATACAAACAAACTAGACCATGATTTTGTACCAGAACCTTTCACATTCCTCCTGGTTGCTTAACTGATACTTTAGAGACATGGTCAAAAATCAAAATTCAGTTTTCGGAATTAGCTACCAAGATCATCTTACCTTGTTCAATACAGGTTTTGTAGACAAAACATTGAAAAGTCCTTTAAAACCCATACCCTACAATAGAAAATTATTCATTATTAATAGTAATGATTTTAAGTATCTATTTCAGAACTGTCATCCACTGCCATGTGGAACTCTTACCTCAGCAACTATAAAGCAGATCAAAGCTTTAAAGAAATACCCATTTTGTCATTGTGCATTTTTTTGCTTGTTTTTCACTAAGATCACAGACATTAAATTGAAGTCAATCCTATTTTAGGGCATATAAATAAAAAGAAGGCATATGGCTCAAATTATTATGAAACATGAACTGCAGCAAATGAAAAAGCAGTGATTAGTTAACACGAAAACAGACTATCATACAAAAAGAAGTTAGAAATGATCTGATCCTAAAAAAATTGATCACCAAACTTAATATGGACATACACCATAGATGATCAATCCACAAACCTATATCAGATTGATGATATATCATGAAATTCTAAAAAATTAGACATTAATCTATCAAACTGGAATCAGCAAATCACGTGATTTACCAGATTACATACAATATAAAATGTTTCATTGTACAACAAAATTAACTGTAATTGAACAAATTCAGATTTGATGAAAAACTAAAACTAAAAGCAAGTGGCTAAGAGGGTAATTGGCAAGCATGAAAGGAAGAAGTTGTCTACGTACAGCTTGTGTTGTGTTCTTCATGCAAGTGTTTGCCTAGAAAAGAGATTTTTAGACAGGTAATTAAATCAAGCAGCTATTTGTTTACGTTATACAGACTTTGAATATTATTTTGATCAAATATTAGATGCTACTGTGATAGATAGCATCACAATAGTAAAGCATTTTAACTGCAAGACATTAAACTTTAATGATGAAAAACTGACTTACTGGTGTTCTTCTGTCATCAATAAAAAGTGGAGCTTTCCAATGGTCATAATTGGTCTCCAGGACATACCACACTCCCTTAGGTGGGTCCAAGCTAAAACATAAGACATATTATGACTTGCAACAGTAAGTCTTAAACATTCGGCTCATATGGCAGTACAGAAAATTATCTTCTGTTTCAAGCACAGCCCTTAATCTGACGTTTCTGTTCCTATCTTCCTGTTATCTTAAAATCAAAGTTATATTGTTACATGATATTGTATGACAGGCAATGACTTCAGAAGTATATTTATGGCATGTTCTGAATTATAAAAATTCTAGAAGCTACCATTACAGAAATAAGAGGTTTAGCATATTATCAGCTTGGATTAGTGAAGAATTGGATGTGCTACATTCTGAATAAGCTAGTAGAGTTATGCATCCAATTTTTTACAACGCCAGACACCTTTTTAGCACTTTTTCATGACATTGAATCAATAAAGAAAGACATACAAACCTCATGACATCAAGAGACTTTGTTCTTGATCTTGTAATAACACACCCCTGCACGAAAAAGACTCATTTACACAAAACCAGAGAGCATTTACAGTAAAAAGCAACTAACAACCATTTTTTGTCAAATAAAAAAACCATAGTACCCTTTTAGTGATGTTACGCAGAGATAAGCTGCTTTTATTTGTTACTAGCTAGCTGCCAAGGTTAGATGCTATGCTTATTGAGCAGTGCCCTGGCCCTTTCCCTTGATGTAACCACACCTTGTGATTCCTATGCCTGGAATTAAAGAGAGCTGGAGACTCCTCACATTCTCAAGTGAAAGCTATGTTTTGCTGGTTTACTTCTCTTCAATAAAATGCCGCATCATAGGATGGCTAACGCTCAAAGCATCACAAACAAAACCTAGCTTGCTCCTAAGAATATTTATAGAAATTCCGTCAAAACATTGTCAAAACAATATTAACATTACCTCGCCTGGCTTAGTGCCTCCAAGTATAAAATAGACAGGTGCAATCAACTGGTCATCAGAAAGTGCTTTTTTGGCATCATCAAAGCTGTTGGCATTCTCAAAGGTTTCACGAGTTAAGAAACCCATCCACCGTGCTTTGTTCATTCCAAGAAGCCATTCAATCAGACCTACAAGTTTCAATTGCTTTCTTACTGAAAATATGAATCAGCTGATATAAATATAACAACAAGAAATTATTACAATCCAGTGTTATAAAGCAGATACCTATTCACAAATAATTGACAGAAACATATCATGGAATTTGTTTATCATTCCTATATTTTTCAAATTCACCTCTTTTCATTAAATGCATTCACAAAAGAAGCATCACAGATAAAGTGAAGAAAATCCTATCAAATTTATGTAATTAAGATTGTGAGACTGATATCTACTTTAGAAAGCAGTACCTAACAGCGTGGAAGTTTTACAGTCTAAATTATTTAAAGAATATAACTAGCTATGACAAAGCTATAGAAATTAATTAGAATCACCCAGAGTAGATAACCTTCCAGGCTCTATGCGAAAACATAAATAATAGGGATGTTAACTTCATTTTAAATCTCCCATGTAAATGTAAGAATTCATAGTTTGATGTGTGGTGAAAATATATTCTATGCACAAATTGTATTTACAACTCTAAGTTGTTGGTTTTAATTGTCTCATTGCATTTTAAGTACCCAGAGGACAATTTCAAATGGGTTCATCCAACAACATTTATATACATTATGTTTCTATAGTACGTACCAATATACCCTCCATCCAAAGCAAATCTTTCATTGACTGTCAATGTGAAAACCCCCTTTTAAATGAAAATATATGTATCTATTAGATGAAAGCCATATAACAAAATAGAGACCTAAGTAAGCTGTAATGTTCAGGACAAACAGAGAAGTCGAGCATTTCAAAACAAGGCACCCAAAAGGACACAAAGATTATTCAACATTTTAAGCAAGTTGATTGATGAAATTTGAGTTTATACAATCTTGCATCACTCAAAGTAATTTCTGCTTGAAGTTTTACTCTTGATCTATTCCTATAAATATGTTTATCAAACTCAGGTACAAGATGAATATTGCCTAACTTGAGTGATATTGAATTTCTGCAAAAACTTATTTATATAGAAAATATCTATACTTACAGGTTTGATTCCAGTAATTATTCCTACATATCCAAGAAAATGTACAGCTTTGTAAACAACTTTTCCTTGTTTCTGAGGAAAATGAATAAATAGCATTTTTAGTAAATTTAGAACTTGAAATAAAAGTTGAGTTAAAAATTGGAATTATGTTTTGAAAAATTAAGCACACTTTTAATACAGTATAATTGAAGATACCGTGAGTTTAACTAAATATATATTGCTTTTAAGATTTACTAGATGTGTGAAAACCTCAAAAAACATCTTGCATAAGCTAAAAATAATAGGGAGCCTGATACAAACCTGGTACAGAACATTGAAAATCAAAGGTCTGAGTAATTCACTGATGGCCCATGTGTTGTTTTTCATGTCCCAACTAAAACATCATAAAATTGAAGAAGAACTTTTAAAGAGGTTTCACTGATATAAAAAGCAAAGGATACTCCATAAGAAAAAAATCTTTAGCAATAGTTAAAGCAAAGTGTATATGACAAAATAAAAAAAAATCATGCGACTCACCCCATAAAAAGTCCAAAGTCAAGATTTCTGGCATGATATAACTTTCCTGTGAAAACAATATTTGCCCAGAATTATGCAAAAATAAACAGTTCACCAAATCAATCAATTGAACCAAAAATAAATAATAAAGCCAATCAATCTATCATCTCAAATGGTTTAAGGTTGGTCAATAGGAAAAAGTTTTCAATTTTTATTGCATATATTATAATTATCAAAATTTTAATTAGATTGCTGTTTTCAGAGGCACAACCTACCATCTTTGTCTTGTCCAACAATAGAGGTGCATACTGTGAAAATCTCATAAAAGATATTGTACAAAACAACTTCACCTGAAAAAATATAATGTTTGAAATAAGGAAAATGCTCATGTAAAGAAATATCACCATAGTTTCATTACTCATAACAAAACTAAATAGATTGCATTGAAAGAATTGCAAAGCTTGTAATGAATATAGTTTTCGGGATCAAATTTTCAACCCAAAAATATTTTCAATTTGTGGCAATGGTAGCAAAGGCCTATAAAACTGTCACAAGTCATCTTTGAAGCTATATACAAGTATTTTTTTACTAACAACCATCAAATAAGGATATTTCTATAATTACACTTTACAGTAAATGTTTCTGTCTACATTAAACTTACTAACCAAGTTCTATTTCAGTTGCAGTTGAAATCCCTATAATTTCATCCCGATATGGCTGAGGTAGTCTGAATACAATGGCTTCCTATTGTATGAGAAAAATTGAGAAAAGCTGTCAAAAATATAAAAATCAAAGAAAAATAGGCAGCCTAACAGTTAATTAATTGTATGTATACAAAGTATTTGTATAGATAAAGTTAACTTAAATAGAGCAAAGCGATGCATGACAAAGATGAAAATGCTCACCAAGCTTTTGTCAATGATTTCAAGAACCTTTGCTGACACAAGCTTCTTAATCTGTGCAATCAGTGCCGTCAACTGTGAAAAATGTATCATGGATATAAGTCATTGCAAAAAAATGTTGAGATATCTAATTTATGAAAATTAAAAAATATGAAATGATTTTATGAATTCCAACATTAAAAAGAATTTTATGTTAAGGCACCTTCAAGACAGTTGTTTATTTCAAGGCATCAAAAGACAGAATACAGCCCCACGGGCCAAAAATTAAACACTCATTCAAATAGAGAATCTGTCTTACATTGAATAAATGAATGCCTTTGACTGAAAAATATTCAATGGCTTCTGAGGGAGCAAAGATTAGCATCTAGTTAATAACTTATCACTTTTAAAAAAGCAACTCAACCTTTGCCAGTTTCGGTAATCCTGAAAATATTCTCTTTGTAACTAGATTATTTCAAAAGTTTAATGTAGAGCTATAAATATGCAGAAAAATAAGAAAAGAGCATTTTACCTGTACTTTGTAGGGTGCAACAAGGTGACTCCATCTTTCTTTTGGTGCCAGGTCAAGGTTTAGAATCACATCCTTGATTTGTGTGCTAGATAGTAAAAGAATGGCTAGTACTTTCAGAAATATCTATGCTTACAAAATATCATTCAGCATGACCTAGGTTCATGTGAAAAATATCTATGGTGTTATCAGAAATACAAAGATATACATAAATATAGAACATAGAAAAACTGTGACACTGATGAGAAAGATTTCTTCAAATTAAAATTTAGTAACATTACAAACAAGATATATAATTGAAAAATTTTTCTGCATATTAGTTTTTGGTTAAGTCAAAATATCAATTGTTATAATTGTGTGGCACATTTTATATAATAAATGTTTTACATACTTCTCTGGTGGTGGATAGGCATTCACAGAGCATCCATCAAAGTCCTAAGGGGTAATGGTAGAAAAAAACTAGAGCACAGTTCAATAACATTGCTAGAAGAACTGAATAGAAGCAAAGTTTCAGGTAAACAAAAACTAAAGCTTCTACTTTCTTTGTGAACCGTGTGATTTTAGGTGTCACTGTAGTATACTTAGAAATTTTTGTGCAGGCTGAAAGCTTGTGGCAAAATCCTTCAGAGGCTGCATGGATAAAAAGAAAGGTCAATTGGTGTTTGCCATCAGTACTAGTTATTTAGAAAAAGGGCCCATAAGCCAATTATTTCACCGGAGCAGACTATAAACTGTCTATTATCTGTGTTTGAGATACATGCATATTTCAATTCTAGGATTGTTGTAGAGAACATTCCATCATCTGGCTACCTAACATACTTTGAAAGGAGTACTCATTAACTTCAATTGAAATGTTAAAAATGTATTATGTTTAGTTTGATTTTGTCATTTTATATAATTTGAAGCAATATTTCATGAAAAATTATGGGATGTTATTCTAGGTGGTGTGAATTTTTCATGCTAAAAGATTTATAAAAATGTATCTAACATCATGTAATGATGACAATTATTAATTTAGTCCTTTTCCTCTTGGCTGTTATGTTATGTTGGTTAATTTATTGCATTTTGTTTGTAGGGCTTCATATTTATTTTCATACCCCCCAGGGGCTTGGTGGGAATTTTCATTTGCCGTGAAAATCAAGTTTTTTGGGACACATTATTTTGATGCTGATTGTTTCCTGTTGTCATCTTATGTGATATGTTGGAAATGAGTGTCGCAGAGGCAGCTTACTTCACTTGTTTTTCTCACAAATCTGATATTACAGATCAAATCTGAAGCTATCTATCAAATAGACAACAGAAAGTAAAGATCAACAGCTGTATTAGCGCTTGGAAAGAAATTAAAATTGGAGTACCCCAAGGGTCAGTCCTAGGGCCTTTACTGTTTAATGTCTTTATAAATGATTCTGGTTAATGTCTTTATAAATGATTCTATAAATGATTATAAATGAAACTTATTCTGGTTTGCAAATCACACAAAGATCTGTAACTATCTGATGATACCACAATCTTTGCATGCCATCTGAATCTTGATTCAATTATCAAACAATTAGAAGAAGATAGCTCTGTGATAGTAAAATGGTTTTCTGACAACTTTTTTAAACTAAATGATGACAAATGCCACCTAATGATATTTGGTGATAAAAGTACTGAAGCAACAGTCACAATTGGAAATTCAAAAATTAATGAAAGTGATTACCAAAAGCTGTTATGTGTGACTTTTGATAAGAAATTAAGTTTCAAAAACATGTTGAAGATTCGCATAAAAAAGCCAACCAAAAGCTTCATGCGTAAGTTGGGCTGATCAGATCGATTTCAATTTCGGCACAGGCAAAAAAGCCACCATTACAAAAAATACGGCCTGAGAAAGTTGCTTGTCCAAAAATTTCAAAATAGGTAAAAAATACTAAAAAAATGATTTTCCAAGAGTCTGAAGGGCGTGGCGAAAAAATTTGTTTTTCTCCACCCAGTTTTTTGAGCTGGCGATGCCACTGACTAGTTGAGTTCCAACGAAAAATAAAATTATGGCATGGAAATACTTGCATCTGCAGATTGTGCAAAATTTTCATTAAAGATCTAGGGTTTCTGTAGGTTTAGTATGAACATTGTAAAGTAGGTTTTAAATTATTTTGTTGGTTTCAATTAGCTCATGAACTATATGTATTTTTGGTTCTTTCTTTCCAACGTAAAAGAAATTGTTGTCAATAATAATACAAATGATAAAAGCTTAAAGGGAAGAAAAATCTAAGGGGCCCACCCCACAAGTTTTCAGGGGCCTACCCCCCAGTGTGGAATCCATGTAGCTTACGCCGGAGATATCCGTCGTAGACTAAGTCCCAGTGGTCTACCACGTCCCTGATACCCCCAATTAAAATCATTTTCTATTTGATTCTTTTGTATTATAAATCTTACTAACGCTTTCTTTTACATTTTCAAATTGTGTTTGTGTAAGTTCAATTATAAATAACCGATTAAGTTACACAACGAACGCGTCCAAACAAAACCAAGTACATAACAGTACGTTAATATGTTTTGGATGGCAGCAAACCTGGCAGTGAATGCATCCAACGTAAAATGCTGCAGCTACTATCAAAAGTTGTAAGAGTGACATGTCTGTAGCTGTTTTCGAACAAGGAACGCACCAAAGCCTCTCCTTGTTTTCTTGCAGCCTTGCCAATAATGTGATGTGATCACATGATGCTTGCAAGCAACAGCACTGGTGCTGCGCGGGCGCATCTTTAGAGGCGGTTGGCGCACGCGTACATTCAAATATTTTCAAAAGTGGCGGGAGGAGGCATTGGTTTGTAAAATTTGATACTGATCGTACAAATTTATGAAATAATAAACAAATAAAAGATGCCTCACAAAAAAAGAACCAGAAATGGAAGACCTAAAGGCCAGCTGAAAACAAAAGAGCGAGATGATTTGAGCGATGTGTCAATGTGCAGTATGACATCAGAAGCACCGATGTCCAAGGATGAAATAATGACTCGTTTGTTGGAAGAATTTCAGTTTGCCGGTAGGATGAGCTCCGTTTGTTCGTTTACGATCACGGGTGTAACAAAAAATACCACAAAAATTAATAGAAATATTCTCTAAACTCGTTTGGAAAATATATGTTTCTGTACTGATTTGCTTGCAAACCCACCAACCAAGAATGTTTGCTTTTATCTAGGCCCAAATTAATTGCCTTTCCATTCTTATGGAACTAAGTATGTAGGGACCATAGTTTCCCACATAGCATAAATTAAAAAGCCAGTTCGGCTGTAGGAAAACTTGTTTATCTATATTCAGAGTGCTGAGTTCTCAGCGCAGTCTATTTTATTTTCTAAAAGTCATGGTTCTCATTGCTAAAATTTTGCACAAGCTCAAACGTGAAATGACTGTGATCTGTCAAAGTTCATGTGAATTTGAGAAAACAAAAAGTTGATTTTCTGCCATTTACAAATTTTGTCTTAAATGACTCTAGCTTTTCTAAAAATTGGTTGAAATGTTAAAATTTTAATTAGGGGACTTGACTAGGATGTGTCTAATTCTGCAGACCTGTCAAATTTTAATTTTTAAAATGAGTGAGTTTTGTGAAAAGGTGGAGAAACTTTTTGGACTTCTACTGAAACTTGAGGCCACAAAGCTCAATTTCCAAAAGTTAAGAAACAGCCCTACCCAAATTTAAAAAAGCTAAGAAACTTTTATAATTTGCAATTTTAATCTTCTGAGTTCACACTTGAACAGTCGATATTGAACATTGCTGTACACTCTTTTTTATAAGAACCAGTAAATTCAAGTTCAGGCTGACTGTTCTTAATTATTTCGAAAATCTGAGGCTGGATTGTTCTTAATTTCTTCTCCATCTAATAAGGTGTAAGCAGTGCGGGTGCTAGCTTTTTTGCTCTAGGGTGGTGTACAGGCCTCATTTGCCAACAAAGTGACTGAGGCAGCCTTAATTTGCTGACAATTTTGAATATTCACCGAAAAGCACCCACACAGTGCTAAAAATCCTAGATTTTGAGATAAAACGTTATTCAAAATTGCATTTTGCAGAAGCTCAGCCTCAGCTTGTTCTTAATTTGTTCTTAATATTTTACCAATTTAGAGGCTCGTGTTCTTATAGAAAAAGAATGTATATTGCAACACCTCACTTGGCATGCAGTTTGCATTTATTCTCAGTAAATTGCACGCTCAAGAAGTTTCTATTTAAAAATTTGTTTTGACTTCAATTTGACATTGATGAAATTCAATATGGCTAAAAACAATTCCTGAGCTACCTATATAAAGTTGAATTGCAAAAGATGGAGTATGATGAAAAGGCAAGGTTGGGTTATATGGTGTGTGCTCACTTTGAAGAAGCCTATTTTCGTTTCTGTGTATAGAAGTTATTTGTTATCATAATGTTAATTTGTCTTATCTACCTTCAGATATTTTTGTAAAAAAGATGCAAGGAAAAATTATGTCAGTGTGATCATAAATGAGCCAGTGTTATTTTGAAGTTTTGTAGATTTTGTTTGTGTCCCACAAAGCTATTTATTTTGTGAGCAAATGGTTGCAAATATCCCATATTTTTCTTATTCTTAAGGTGTTTTCTTTTTATTTAGTGCAAAGCAGAATTGCTCAAATTAGAGCAACAATGAAAAAGGCAATAACAGATCAAAGGAACCTTCTCAAAATGGAGCTTCTTAAAATCCCAAAGGTATTTTCTACAGGACATTTTTGTTAAAGAGTTGTTTGATTTTAATTTAAGTTGCCTGTTAAAGTGTTAACAAGTTGTTTCATTTAAGTTTTTGTTTTGATCAATCACTCAAGTTTTTATGTGCTATCTCTTTCTGTGGAGAAATATTTTGTTCGCAAATGAATCAATCTCTTTTGAAGGATTTAGCCAGTCCTTGAAGCATACCAGGAAATTTTTTTTTATTTATATTCCACACAAGTTTTTCTACAATACAGTTTGAAGACTAGTGACAATTCTTCATGATTCTATTCAAATAATTGATTTGTTTTAACAGCAGATGCACCATAAGTTTATGCTACTATTAAATTTTGTTTTTAAGTAAATTGCATTGGCCTAACCTATTCAAGTTTCAGTGCACCACAGCTTGTTACTTTAAATTCAATTATTGGCCAAGCATAGATAATAAGAATACAATTTCATGAGCTAAATGGAAAATGGTCTGTCTGTGATTCATCAGTTGATTAGAAATGACACTATTTCATTTTTAGGACATCAGGAAGATGAAAGTCTCTGAATTCTTAAGTAAGTTACTGCCTTTCATTTTTAGACTTTATATTGATATCATTTCATAAAATAGGTTCTGAAAAATGGCTTTATGTTGATGAAAAGCAAATTAAAGGGACTGTTTTACAAGGGACATCCTGTGTGGCAACACACCGGTTGAGTGAAAGTTATTTTGGTGAAACGACTAAGGTTCAATAGGAAAACCAATATGGAATGAAACAGTTTTTTCTATTCAAGCTCTTCGTGTGAAGCTTTTGCATTTTTTGTTTGTTTCAGTCCTATGGCCCTCTTTTTAGATAATGGATAGTGACGTAAAAAACATTTACAGCTACAGCTGCTGGCAGGGAGCAGTTAATAGAAATGGGCCAAAATGGAACCAAAAAGCCTATCTTATTGATTTAAATTATAAGCAAAAACAGTTTTCAAAGTTTGCAGGACAATTTTGAAGTAATCATTTTCTTGATAAGTGTCTAATTCTATCAAAATTCACCAAGAGAAATGAAATATCCTCACCGTTGGGTTGAATGAAGCTCAATTTCCTTGGCCTAGACCAATTGCATTAAACATTTGGTATTGATAGTCCGTACCAATGTGGAAACATAGTAATTGTCCATTTCAAGTTTCAGCAAATAAACTCTTGAAATTCAATTTATCAAGCTTATTTAAGCACCGGAGCACCTGCCACCATTATGCCAATGTGCAATTTAGGCAAAAATGCACAATGTCCCATGTATTTGGTTTGTTTACAAAACTGTGACACAGCCCTTTTGATGCTTTTAAAAACTGTTTGAGAACTGATAAACAAACATAGCTTCAAACAATCTTCTCTTCAAAGTGATGCAAACATTTGGGTCAAACCTGAATACCTTGCATACAGTATCTTGCAAGCATTTTTTGGTATCATTTTCTTAATATTTAAATGGACATATAAAGATGTTGTTATTACAATTTATTGCTTCAAAAACATGAATTCCCTATTGCTTCCTATGCTCACTTCTGCTTATTTGCATATTTATTTGAATTGATGTATTTTCTTTTCTCTTTTACCCTTAACAGGTGCAGGGGGTGACATGGACGAACTTGTATTAAATGCGGTAAAATCTATCTTTTCTAATAGCAGTACCTTTCATGGAAAGTTGATTTAGATCTTTCGTTAATATCTCTTCCAAATTCAACTTTAGCCAACTCATTCACACACAAAAAACAAGAGAAAATTTCACATGTCTAACACATAAATCAGAAATAGCTGGATTAAAGCAATCATTAGGCTCTTATTGCTTCCTGTTAGAAATCTTTGGTTTTCTTTTTCAGGCAGATCCTGTTGATGAAAATGACCCCCCTGATAGGTAAGGTGTCTTTACCTAGATATTATTTTCATTGATTAAATAAATATGTGTCATGTGGCTGTTTTTTCTAGCTGATGACTGAAAATTTATAGTTAATTTATAGAATATTGGGGTGTTAGAATGATAATGATGTAACTATACATTAAGATACAATAGTTATATATTTAAACTGTTTTTCATAATATTGAGGTGTTAGCTGAGCTCAGACAATTAATTGACCTTTTGACATCAACTTTTTAAATATTTCACATGATCTTTAACAAATTGATGCCAATTTTATTGTTTTTCAGCCATGACAATATCATTGCAGGTAGAAACTCTTTATCTATTTTTCAAGACTGGCATTAATTATAAACATTTTTTGGTAATTTTTGTAGCCAGTGCTAGCAAAGCACAATTCGGCTCCATTCCAGAAAATCTTTATGGATTTTTTACTAGTGATAGAAAAGCTCCAAAAGCGTCCATTCCACAAACATATTTTAGAAAGAACCATAACTGGAGCAAAAAGGCTTTAATCTTCAGTGGTGGGGCAGCAAATTACTTGAGGCAATTGCCAAGATGCCCTATTTGACTGACTATTTGACGCTTAACTTGTCCAACTCACTTTATTCGCATGTTTACCTTGAAATATCTTATGTGTAACAAAGTTGACAATCCTTATCCATTTTCACCTTGAAAGATTATCTCTAAAAATCAGGTATTTTTCCACTGGAAGCAACGAAGAGTCCATTTAGCACTGTAATTCTTTGGCACATGTTCGTAAATATGTCTACTATCTTTTTCAGCTGTTCAGCAAACTGCTACTACTGCAAAGAAAACAGCTAGAAAACCACGAGTAAGTTGCAAACGGATTTGAAATTTTATTGACACTTACACATCAAGCAAGCAGATGCTTGTAAAAAGGCATCAGAATTCATATTTCTATATGTGCAGTTAGATCAGCTGTTTTAAATGACACAGAAAGGCAGAAACATAACAGCTGATACTAAACTATTATTTTCTTTATTTTCTCAAAAAGTGAATACATCCCTTTCTGGACGTAATTTATATCCAAACAAAAAAGATAAATAGAACGTCTAAAAAAGACAACCTTGCTTATCCAATGACTTTGAAATAAAGAATCCAGAGTGTAAACATATATATAGTAATGAAATTTTATTATGATTGAAGAAGCAAGGCCCTTTTTCATTTATGCATTTTTAGGAACTTTCTCTCTTTTAACGAAAGTTCTGATTTGTGTAGACAGGAAAGGTTTTTTTCGTTCTTGGACTGTTCAAACACCTGATTACGTTTATCGGAAGAGGCTAATCAGATATGTCATTCCTTTTCTCGTGTTACTTAAGTTCCGTTAATGATTTTATTTCACCTTTTAGCCATAATTATCCGAAAATTTATGCTTAGAAAATGTTTATGTTGTTAGTATTGTGCGTTATGTTTCCGATTTTGGAGCATCTCAAAAGGTGAACTAAATTTTCTTCTCGATATTTTATTAAGACTAAGAGAATTTAGCAGTTATTTTTTATCATGTTGATACCTTCATAGGTCGCAAAAACTCCCATGGCAGCACCAGCAGTCCCACAGACAGGTGGCAGATCAACAAGGGGAGCCAAAGCGTGAGTAATGTTTTGATTAGGTTGCCTATCTTGTCATTCAGCAACTCGAGACAACTATAAATCTGGACTTAAGCTAGAGTATACTTGATTAAAAGTCATTCACAAATGGATCTTTCGTGATTTTGACAATGGTTGTTGCATTTAGCTGATATACCTTGTGAAGCCAACTTGTATCGACTAATCGTCACTGAAAAGCATAACCTTGAAAACAGTTTTTTTTAGAAACTTAAATGAGTTTATGGATAGTTCTAGGACTTTTGTGTGGCCAATATATCACCAAAGAGGAATGATTATTCATTATGTAGAAAGAATGACATTTCCATCTGACACTTTTCATAGTATAAGAGGTCAGAACATGGATCGAAAATTTAACTCTTATACTGAAAAGTGTCCGACAAAAAGCTTAAGTATTTTTCAAAAATTTTTCTTCTTTTATTGCCATTTTCAACTTTTGCACGAACAAAAGATACATGAAAGGGTTTTCTTAGCTACAATGTTACCAATGACTGATATTCTATGAGAAACGATTCTAAAAACGATATCTTATGAGAAAGAGGTGGGAAAAAGGTCTAGATCATTTTGTGCTGATCTTGCTAACACATTTTATAAAAAAGTATTAATGTAATACCCAGGGTAAGAGGACGCATCTGCACCCATGCACCCCCTCTAGTTACGCCGCTGAAAAATCGTAGTTTGTCAAGCAACTTCTAGAAGAAAAGTTATTCCGTATCAACTGTTGAATTTGTTTTTCATTCTAGGCGTGCGTTAGCTGTAATGAAAACACAACACAACGACATGGTGACGCCAGCGAGAGGGATACCAAACATTGCATTTATTACACCGAAAGTTCCACCAAGGTTAGTTTTACTTTCTATTTGTTAGAATCACACAAGTTCGAAAATGTTTTAACAGGCTGCCCATTAAATTTTTTATCTAATTTTCGTTTACCCTTGTATGCTTTTATTCTCCTTCTCGAAAAAAGGCAATGTGCAGTATGTATGGACCCTCCGTTTTGGGGGTTGAGATTACCAGTGACAGTGGAGCAGTTCTATCTTTATACTAAAATACCTACCAAAAGTTTTGGAACACTAATATCAGTTTTCGAAAGCCCATTAAGCCATCCTTCACCATACCTAGGAACAATGTTGGTTCTTTACAAAATAACACAGGAGATTACGGAGTGCGGTTCTTAACGTGACTTGCACTATATTTGCCTAGACTATCAACATTGTTCTGGAGGAAGGGGGCGAAAGTAGTAATGTTAGAGGTAGAAATGAAAAAACAATATTCAACACCAATTGCTCGGTGTTCCAAATAATTTAGCATGTTTTTATAGCATAGAATAGCATAGAAAAATTATAGCATATTTTATAGTTCAATTTGATTTTCCATTGCTGTTAAATTTCGTTTTGAATAGTTAAGCGTATGAAAGTTTCTGTTCGGCTGTTAGTAAAGGGATAAATTTACCTGTGCATTTTGAAAAATTAGGCCACTTTGTTTGATTACAACTTGATTTAAGAACTCGTCATGTATAAGGTCACACCTTGCTGATTATCACCTCTTCAAGCGTTGTATTCCGTGAAAGTAATTTAAAATATCTAATGTATACAATAATTTTAAGGTCTTTTGGTTATTTTGTTTTTTTTGCAAGCATTTGTTATTTTCTTGTTAACAGCAGCGCTTGCATGACTACGGGAAGAAAGCCGAAAAAAGGAGGAGAACTGTAAGGAAATTAATAATTTTAGTTGCTCGCTGGTATCACAGTGAAGTGATACCTTTGTTGTTTACAATTTTACGTATATTTTTGCGTGGAGTTTTGTGTCGCATATTTACGTAGATTTTCGAAATTTTGACAATGCAGTAATGCTGTTTTTATGAGGTTTTGATGTATCCAAAGCACGATTTTTACCTTTAGACTTTGTTGTACGCTTTTTAGTATTTCCTCCCACTTTTTATTATTTACTATCAATCCATATCCAGTATGTAAATTTTCTGTTTGGTCATTCATTATCCAACATTTATACTGTGAGAACCTTTGGGCGAATAGAATGTTTCCACTTTTTGTTCTATTTTAAAAATAAGGGTTTTCTTCTTTGAATCGCCGTAATGTGTGTCCTTTCCTTTTCCATAACAATTTTCATCATTGATAAAATATATTCAAATATTCATTTTCTTTTTCAAAGATTATATTCTCTGGCTGGATCTCCGGTTCAAGGCCTTCCCACAAAGAATGACTTGGTTAACTTCACGGTAAAAGATGGACTGGTATGTTATTTTGGCAAAGGCACTTCTTCTACTTTTTGGTTGAAAAACGAATATTTCAAATCGAATAGAATACTTTATTGGATATTTGTTGTATTCATAAAGACATTTGTTACACATAATGCGGGGATTTGAACTTTCTAGGCCCGTATCATCGGCTACTTGCTTAGATATGTTTAGAATATAAACTACAGTTCGTTTGGGCTTCCAATATACAAACCTGGCAGCATTTCTCTGCCCAATTGAAACAGTTTTTGAATAATTCAACACTTTTGCTACAAGGAAAAAAGTGTTCTAATTGATATGTATCTAACTTTGTTATGCAACGTAAAAAGATACACACGCTCTTCTTTTCCAGAAATTTGATGTATCTGGTGCGATATTAGATATGAGTCCAAAGACACTGGCGACGCATGCAGACCAACTTAGCAAAATCAAGGTAACCATAGCTCGCAATTTTTGAGAAAACTGGAATACAATAACCTGCGTTTAATCACGCTTTTATTTTATGCTTTGAATTGCGTTTCTTTATATCCTCTTATAACAGTTTTCCCAGAGAGTTGGGGGATGGAGAATGCTCTGAGAAATCTCTATGTTTCCAAAACTAGGCGCTATATTAAATTTTTGCTACTTGCAGGTACAGTTAACAAAGTTATTTCACAACGAACCTTGTTTGTTTGTTTTTTTCTGAGTTTGTGAGTTTTATAACTGCTTATGTAAACCAATCCAGCTATGTTAAATTTATATCATTCTTAAACGTTTTTTACCAATTCTTTTTAGACTTTCGTTGAATCAAAGCTGCAGCAGATAGAAAAAACAGCTGTAACATCGACTGCGAAGAAGACATCAGGAAAAAGTAAATAGACTTCAATCGGACAATTTTTCATCTGAGGTTCATCAGCAATCTCTATTTATGGTACCACTTATGGTGCTTCTCAAGATTTTGTAATTAGTATAACTCTACATAGAATAGAGTCTGCATTTAGCAAGGATTGTGACGTAAATTTTAGTTTTATTAGGATCTTAATATTGTTTAGTGTTTTGTGATCTTTTTAAGGCAGTGTCTCAAGCCTCTCCTTTTACCAAACTTCATTGTAATCAACCAGTTACCCCGTAAAATGACTTTGTCAAGGAAGCGGCCAATATTCTGTAGATATCACCCGTGCCTGCGACGATAAGCACAACATTTTACATTCTTTTTATTTAGGCACGGTAGCCCCGTCAGTCCATGAGAACTGCTTTTCAGGGGGCCGTGGCGAAGGTCTCCATTACTGCTCACAGTATATATATGAATCAAGGTAGAATAATTCAGTTGTAAAGTTCAAAATTGGAAATTTGAATATTAAAATGATTATTTTTTCCTTTTTTTGTTATGATATTTCTATCTTCAAAATTTATTTGAACTCAAAGACCTCAAAGACGAAAGCTTAAAGGCTCGTGCATGCGAGAAGGTTCAAGAGACCCTTGTTCTTAAATTCGTTTGTCATTGACAGAATTCATCTCGCTACCACTGTAACGCTTTAGTAAGGCATCGACTAGAGCTTGCAACGTAAAGTTTGTACCAATTTCGATGACACAACCCCAGGGATATCGGGACTGACAGCCACGGGGAGGGGGCGGAAATTTAGAAAAGTGTCCTGTTTCTTCGAAAAGTGCTTTCTTTAGAAACGTTTGGAAAGTTTCCTTTTTGCGCGAGACTTATAATCCCCCTATTTTACCCGTACATCTTTGGAATACGTATGACGTCATTTCTCTATCCTCTTAATTTTTGTATTAAAAACTTCTATCGATTATGTCTTAGCTTTTTCATCAAGCTAATTGGTACCTGAAACTTACCTTTATTGTACATAGCCTAGCATTTTATGATATTAATAATAATACTTTGTATTCGATAGAGATATAAAACGTTAAATTCCTAACTACTTTTTCATTCTGCTAAGAAACGACTGATAAAATTGTTGTTTTAAAATCTTGATGTGAGTTCCTTTCCTACTTCGCATTTTGCATGAAGGGACACAACAGCATGAGTGATTTTTTTATTTTCCTTCTATCTCACTCCAAACTCCTTTTTCTTACAATGTGTACTTAACTGTGTTCAGAAACGATAAATTCATGTAGGCAAACGGCAGATGAGTTGGGTTCGTTCCAGTTTATTTTAAAATGTTTGCTTTCAGCATGTTTCGATTTCATTGTAAAGTGATGGCTGCACGAGGAAAGTTGCATTGACACTTACTTGTTTTCTTCAACAGAAGACATCCTCCAGCCCAAATAAATATGCTCCTTGTTTGCTTTTTCGCATGTGTGGAATCTTTTTACATCAAAATACAACTAGTTGTTATGGGTTTGTCATAGATTTCTTTAGAAGGTTAATCAGAAATATTCTCCTGTCATTTTTGTCTTGTCAAAGCTCCTTCGTGTAACCAAAGATGGAATAATTGGCATTAACATACAAACAGAGTCTGTTATCTAAGTATTTCTAGCAACTTTAGATCAGAAATGGTTCCACTTTTTTAACTTCAAATTATCTTGATTTGAAAAGGGGTAGTTGTTACTTTAATGCTAAATTCGCATGTTGAGACCTGGACCTGAAAATCCATCCTACCAAATTTTTGCAATAAGTCCTCTTGCTAAAGCACGAAGTTAAACGAAAGTGATATTTAAGGGAAATAGCAAGTTTTTTTGATACACTGATGTTTTCATCTCTTTGACCTGTCGTTTTGATCACTAAGCTCTAAGTGCATGACATAACAAACTGTTTTTAAAGCCACGTAAATGATTTCAAGGTGGTAGTAAGATTGTTCAAATTTTTTAAGTTTAAAGAGTTAGAGTGTCAAGGATAGTTTATTATATTCACCCATTAGGTACTTTCAATTACATGAAACTGGTCACATCATGTTTTTGGAACTACTTGTACATGACTTTTGTCCGGTCGCAAGAAGGATTATTTTTGTTATACGCTCATTTTTGGATTTCTATTCTGCCTGGAAGGGCTAAGACTGAAACATTGTTTCCGCCCGCTCGTAAAAGAGTATTTTTGAATCTGCAAAGTTTCTTTGCGCCCAAGCCTTTCATCTCAGGGGGGGGGGGGTGGGTACCTTAATAGGTTTTGAGGTACGGGGACGTGCCATTTTCTAAAGAGGTACCTTTTTCTAAAGAGTGCAGAATTATGAATATCACTTTTTGAAATTATTGCGGAATTATGGGTACCATTTTAAGAAACATGCAGAATTATGGGTACCATTTTGGGAAAATATTGCAAAATTCTTAGGAGGGAAATTTAGCATTAACAAAATGAATATCCAGTTAGAAATGCAAGTATGGAATATGTGTAATATTGAGATTTGGAGCAAAGAACATTAAAAATTTGTTTGATAATTTTGCTGTGTTTTAAAAATGGTTATTTTCCTTGCAGAATTATGGGTATAGTTTTCATCGTGTTTGCGGAATTATGGGTCACATTTTTTCAGAAACGTGCGGAATTATTGGTTCAAATTTTGTAAAAAATGGCAATCCCCGTCCAAAACTAAGCATGGTTACCTTCCGAGCCTTCCATTCACATATATTCGACGAATGCGCTATCGTACGCCATTTCTAATGTCAATTCCAAGCTAGAATTCATGCAAGTTCAAAATAGCAATCAGTAAGAGAGAACCATAAACAGAAACGCTAATTCACAGACAGAGAGTGGGTTCACATATGAAAGAGACATTCCAACAGAACATTCTTGAAAAAATTACACTAATAAAGCGATTTGCTGGTGAATAACAAACAATGAATGCGGAGGTTTGTAAAATCGGTTAAAAAGCATTATTCCATTTCATCTCCATACTTGTTTCTTTTTGCATATTCTGTTGAAAAGAAAACACCTGATAAAATCATAGAATTTTTAAGAATAGAATTTTTAAGCACCTTTAATTCTTAGATTGTCTCTACTTTAAAAATGTACTTGACTCTAGAAATTGTTCTTAACGACAACGAGAACGGGATAACGAGACGGGATAACGTGACGGGATAACGAGAAAGGGGATAACGAGACGGGATAACGAGACGGGATAACGAGAAAGGGGAAGATTATGTAGGCCTCTTTGCATTTGGTGTATTACATAGGACATAGGTGGTATAATGGGGTATGTTTGGAAAAGGATGATAATAATAAAAATTGTATTTGGAGATACCAAAACGACACCATGGAGCCTACAAAATAAGAGATTTGACGTAAGTCGAAAAACTTAGCATAGCCTTGTCCTCAGCCCAGATATGAATGGATTCCCTATACTGGTTTCCATACCCCATTAAAAGTGAACTCATTTATTTCTTACCATTAAAGTGCCTATGAAATGAAATTTGACAAATGGAGATAAGGCACACTTTTAATAACAAAATTTGCTGATTTCAATGATATATGTTGAGGTGCTTTTTTTCTTGCGGAACTGTCCAAAAATTTTGATTGAATATCCCATTTTCACGTTGTCGACTGTGACAAAGCGCGCGTTATCCGTGAGGTCACATACTTTGCAAACACGGAAGCAGTTGGCGTTTACAAAATTGAGGTTGATTTTGGAACTACAGTTAAAATAGCCGAGGGGGGGAGGCAATTTTAAGTCAGGGTCCATATCCAATCTCTTTTAGCGCATCAAACTGTCCTTTTCTGCAAAGTTTCGTACTGTTGTACCACAGTACGACTGAAACACGATAATACCGCCTATTAAAGTCTGGGACAAACTACACTAGCCCAAAAATAGCACAAGGGGGCAATTTTCAGTCGGAGTCTATATCCTATCGGAGTCTACAACCGCCCCTTGTTGTAAGCTTCGTGCTATTGTACCTACTTTTAGAAGAGATACTGTAATAACGCCGTTTAACGTTAGGGGGTTGGGGTAAAGTACCCCAGTCTAAAAATAGCCCAAGGGGGCAACTTTCAGTTAGGATCTACATCCTACCCTTTTCAGCGCATCAAAGTACACCTTTTTGCAAAATTCCGTGCTGGTATCACAATTTATAGAATTGTTTGACTAACAACTGCAAACCTTTTGACGTCACTGATTCTTATGCTTTGTCACTCGCACCGATTGTTTTTAAAAACCCCAAAACAAACTTCCCCATGCAAATTTTAGAGTTAATTTTCGTTTTTTATTGCAAAAATATATAGAAGTTTCAATTTCTTTCAAAAAAACTGTGAAATTTCATTTCGTAGGCACTTCAAACATACCTCTCGGTGAGCTCTGGGGCCGCTGGGTTGAGGTACGCGGTTCACTTTCATCATTACTGCTTTTAGGAGTGTCTGGATCCCACGGAGATCCCGCAGAATACGTTTCCCGTTTGTCGTACGACGAGTCTGGGTCGTAGGCATCTTGGTCTTTTGCAGAATAATCTTGGTTCGCCTAAAGTGAAGAAATGAAAAAACCATAACATATCTTCTATAGAATGTAACTTTTTGTACGCTAAAACCACCATCAATGGACACCTTATAACTGACATCGGACCCAAAAACGTTTGTTTTACCGGACAGTAATTTGTACAATCACCCTCAATAAAAAGGGTACCTATTAACAATTGACGGTATCTCTCGTTCCTTGTGTCAGTTGTACCAAGTCCCACTGACCTTGAACAATATGGCAAAAGGATAAGTGTTGAAAGTTACTTTTGAAATCAGCTAAAACAAAGAAAATTTCAAGGATTGCATCCCAAGTTATCCAGTTATACAATTGTTTTTAAAAGAAGGACCAAATCCACATTTTTAATTTCAGATCTCTTTAGCGATTACCACAGGTGTATATCAAAAGTGATAGTATATTAGCTAATGGCTCTTTGATCAAACGAAGGCCTTCATATTTCATTTTAAATGCAAAGCAGCAGTAAACGGATATCAAAACTACTACTAACAATACTGACATTAACCTCAAGGAAAGACCAGAAAAGTGGATGAAGCTGCCCCTAAACAAAGAGTCTATATTAAAAAGAACAAATCTGAAATAAATTGATTAGCATTTTAGATTTCTTTACTACAGAAAATTGAAAGATTTTGTAGGGCATGAATTCTTGAGATAGCCAATAACGACCCAAGCCTAAACATCAGCAACCTGTGCAATCCAAGAATTCAAAATAAAACAATGTTCCTGCACAAATTTTACCTGCTGTTCTGAAGCAGCCGGCATCCTTCTAGGTCCTTGATACTGTCTGTCTCTGTGTCTCCTGCGCAGCTCTTCATAGCTCATTCTTTTTGAGCCCTTATCCTCTTCATTATCAAGAGACTCCTGCTCGTCATTGGTGGACCCTTGCCTGTGGTCGCTATTGCGTCCAGGCTGAAAGGAAGGAGGTCGGGCCCCAAATGCAGCCCTTTGGCGCACTGGACGAGAACCGCCCTGGGATTCTGACTCTGAAAAAAGGAAAATATGCCAGTAACAGCCCACTGTTAAAAGTGAATTACAAATTTGCTAATTATATAGAATTGCAAAACCTTACTAATGATAATTCAAACAAGATGCCTTACTTGTATGTAAGTGAAACAAAATGATATTAGGATTTACAATTAAAAGATTCCATTAACTTAAATAACACTCTGAAAAAAAGTTTATTTCTCAGGTAAAAGAGCCTTCGTTTCTGTATTTTCAATATTTGAATGCAATGCTTTGACAAGCAATTAACCACCAAGTTTTCAATAGTTTGCATTATTTCTTATCATCGTGTAAGAATGACACTCAAACGTATGTGCCTAAATGCTACTGCAAATTGCAAAAAGGTACGGCTTTCTTGGGAAGAGGCCTTTCATAACAGTCTTGGAAAAATTCATTAAAGTTGCAAATAGTCTTTAAAAACTAACCTGTCATGTTTTCATCAGGGGAGTATCTGCAGAAATATAGATTATTAAATTAAAATCCATTTCACTTTGTAACAAATTAAAAGTTGATAAGCTTATAAAATGATATTTGAAGTGTAATTAACATGGTTTACATGACATATAATACTATATAGCAACATATCATTATGTTTTTTTACTTTTTTTATTACATTATGAAAATCTTAAATATGATTATATGGATGCAAATACATACTAACAGCTCTATGAAAAAAGGCAGTTAATGGGAATCTCTGTTTCAGTCCCCTAATTTCATAGAGAAAAATAGCAATAATAAAATTAAACAAAGCTTTAAAAACTTACTGTTTTTTATAGTTTCGCATTTGATCTGCTAATCGTGAATTGTCAAGACTCATTATCTTTTCAAAACATTTATCCTTGTATGAAGCAACACCTAGGACCACGCCCATTGTAAACGCTCCTACAACAAATTCGAAAATAATTTCTAGGTTATCTAAATTGCTGTTTCTGAAGTTAAAGCAGCTGATATTTTACTCAAGTGCATAATTTCCATAGGCACAGGCACACACCATGCCTTTGTAATTCAACTTCAACACAATCATGGCAAAGCCTCTACTACTTAAAAGTTGAATCATTCAGTTTGAAATTTGAAATCATTCAAATTGAAACAAGGTCACATGTCAATGAAAGACTCATAAATATAAGACATACAACAACAAGAAAAGGCTGTGAAATTCGCTAAATAGATACCTGTATAGTAGAACCCAGCCCAGTTCCTAATATGAGGGAAAAAATCTGCAATGAAAAAGAATTTATTATAAATTTATACTTTGAATTGTACAACCTTTTCAAGTGGAGGAATAACAAACAGATCACGATAAAGCATTGTAATCCCTGCATGAATTCTAATACTGGCTGGTTCTTGATATGCTTATTGCTAAATGTCTGCGTTCTTTTGCTGTTGTTTCCGTTGTTGTTCATATTGTTCCTTCACCCCTAAATGCTGGAGATTCAAGATAAATTCACATAGTTTGTGTAATTTGAATCTATTTACCAATTATCAAATCTTTTTTGGATTGTTTTCTTTCTTTTTAACCTTCCCTCTACCACAGATTTCAGCAGACTGTAGAGTCTGATGATAATAAAATCATCTTTAATATTTTGCTAAATAATCTTACCGTCTTAAAGGAATTTTCTCAAAGTAAAAAATGGAAACTGGATTTGGAGAAAAACTAAAGACAACAAGAACATTACTAGTTTTTTATTGCTTATTTACTGGAGAAATAGCATTTCTCAATTTAGGTTAAAATCAACATAAGGTTGCTTTACATGGACCAGATAAAATTCATGTTGATAGATTTGTAGAATCAGGACTTAGATGCCAGAGCATAAAAGTCTAGTTTAATATACATACTGTGGCCAAGGTATCGCGTAGCTATTGCAGATAGCATACCAAGGGGAAAACCTAGAAATTTTGAAGATGAGTATAAGAAACAGAAAATTTCACAAATGAATAAATCAAGTAAAACAAGAAAAAGTACCAAATTGTTTTCAATAGACATATCTTATGATTGAAAGGGGCATAAATTATAGGGGGATGAGAAGTTCTTACAGCCTCATTTAAAAGGTTGAAACCGTGTGTCAAAAATGAAATAATAATTTAAGAGCATCTTTCCTCATTCTGGCCAACTGTAGAATTTCCTCTCTTTGCTAACATTTTACAAGTTTGGTATGTTTGATCTCATTAAAAATTTGTCCTTTTTTATTTTAAACTTGCCCCAAAATGTTTCTTGTTTGCAACTAAGATCTATACAAGATCTCTACAAAGTAGACTGGGTTCTACCATTGATCCAGGTTGGAAGATTCTCTTTATACAAAACATCTGCACAAATCAATTAACTGTTCATAGATCTCTTTCAAATTGTAGGAAGTGAAAAGACTGGACCACTAGGGGTGTTGTGTCCCGATCCCATTCTTAAATTTGTCTTCTTTGTCCAAATGTTCATGCCAGAAATTATCAACACATTTGGTAGCAGGACTGTCACTTTAATGCTTCTTCTACAATTATACTGAAATTTGTTTGAAATATGCTCTTCTTGGTCCTCTCTTCAAATAAATAGTCACAAGGCCCCCTGCAGACCACTGTAACATATCTTTAACATCAAAACTTTAACAGATATAAACAAACAATAAAAAGAATCACAAATTCACATATGCACATTTGCCTTCATTGATTGCTAAAATATTTAAGCACTTCTCTTACCTCTAAGGTAAAGGCTATTTGTTCTGCATTCTCTTAGCACCACAAGTTCTTCATCACTTAACTTCAAAACATAAAGTTTTTCAGAATACAAATAGAAAACAACTCAAAGGAGTTTATGCCATGCTTATCATTTTTATAGAAAAGGTTCTAGGCCAAGCACCCTCTAATACAGATACCAGAAACTGTAGGTGGAGAGAAACATTGCCAAAGGAAAGGGATGTGCAAGACTGACAGAAATGTTATTGAATGCAATAATGTGACTTTGCATGAAGAATGCAGGAATGCAATCACACATGACACAGGTGTGAGGTTCGAGTCCCTCCCAGCATGATCAAACTTTTACCCAGATTGAGGGGAGTCGCAAGCTCTCTGCAATTCTAGGCGTAGAAATTTGGAGGTGTTATCACATCGACAGAAAGAGCCAGGACACTGCTCCAACTACCTTGGGATGCTAGGTATAAACAAATACAAATACAAAAATATATTATTAACCTTTGCAGAAAATACAAAACACATCAAACATAATGAACATTGATGCAGTAGCAAATCGATTTTCAATTATAAAAATATCCAGGAATACCTTTAACTGCTCACAAGCCTCTTCGGGACTCAGTTGCTGGTTATCCCTTCTATCTCTCATATCTCCGGGTCTTCCAGCAGACATCTTTGCTGTTTTCTTTCTTGGCCTTATGCAATAAAGTATTGTTGTCGTTGTTGTTGAAATGGAAGCCACTGTGGGGAAGCGTCCCTGTCATTGGTATACGTTATTGGTCTATTTCTTGCGTCGTATAAACTTACTGGTCCCTTTCTTAAATTGCAACATTCCTCTAATAAATTAGCATTTTCCTTTTGTCTTTCTTAATTATAATTTTCTTATTCGTTGCTTGCCTACCAAGACAATTGATTATACAAGAGGTCGACCGATTACACTTTTGACAAGTCGTTCGTGATAACGACATTATTGTAATTGTAATGTTCATCTTCTGCATTTTTTTGCTTTCTTCAGTGGGAAATACGTTTGAAAATAACTTTTATTTAGAAGAATTTTATGGAAATTTCTTCTAATCTTTACAGAATTGAATTTAAATATACCATTCACCAGACGTTTTGACAACTAAAGTGCACAGAGAGGTTATAGAGGCCCCTAGGAAAAAAGGGAAAATGCCCATCGCTGATTGGGGGGGCTCGAGCCCCCCTTATCCCCCATAATTTCCGCCACTGGCTTCTGATGCAAGGATTTAGCCCCTCTCTACTTACGGCTATTTTCAGGGGTGCCTTAAGGAATAAAACGAGCGTAGCACCATCATTTTGATGATGGGCAAAATAGTCAGTATCTTATAAGAGGTCGTTGATATTTTAAGTTTATTATCGTCTTCTTAAAAATAATTTTCCTTTATTAAAGACTGACACAAAAGAGGGATTTTGCTACTTTTTTGAATTTCTAATGGAAATTAACATAATGAGAGTGGCTAAACTAGACATCAACTATCTGTGAAATTCTATAATATTTTCTTAGGAGTGAATATTTATAGACACTGCTTGCCCCCTCTTCCCTTTCTGGGATATAGTAGGAGGGACAGCTGCCCCTGAGCCACTCCTGGGTAGGCGCCCCTGGCTATTTTCCAGAAAAGATTCGGAGAGGCCCTTAATAATTTTCACGGCACTGCACAGGAGCGTCTTTTTGCAGCAGCGACAACACCGTAGAAACTGCAGAAAGCAGAAAGCTGTCCTCTGTAGCTGGCTTGCGATGGAAGGCGACACAAAAATATGGATAAAGCATTGCAAAGATAAAGAACAAACGGACTGTAAGTGAAATTTTCTATTCCAGTAAAAGGCAAGTTCTATTTAGAGATGATTATCTTTATTCAAGAAGAGAATGGTCAATGGTAAAGGAAAGTAAAAAGACTTCGGTACTGTGTGATTCAATCGTGAATGGATTCACACAGAGTTCGTTGAATTTCACCTGTTAAAATTCAATCAAAGGCTCCTAATGAGTTGCGCTTCTGATTTTTCCGTTTTATTTTAGAAAGCGGACGAATCTTAAAAGCCTAAATACAAAAATACATTTTAGGCTAAGCCTACCTTTATATAATGAAGAGGCATCTATAAACATTTTTTAATTTATAATTTAGAAGAATGCTTCAAAATAGAATCAGCAAAATTCACGTTTGACATCATTCAGAAAAAAGCCAACACAACTCTTCCAGTACTTGAATGTGAGATAATCGAAAAATTGATGTTTTTATCCAGAAAACTTTACCGTAACCTTAAGCAAAATTGTTTGTGGGTTTTTGTCACCATGTAGTCTTTTTCACAATTTTATTACACAACCAACACACCTATACTTGAGCAAAATCCTCTGTGATTCCCAGTCCCTCCAATAGGTTACCAAGATCCAGATGTCTGGCAAGACAAATTTTCTCGCTCTGTTTTCTGGCCCTGACAATTTTTTCTTTTAATATACATTTGAGTCATGAAAAGCCTAGCCTTAACTTATTTCTAACTCAGAAGAGGTATACATGAATGAAATATCTCTTTTGATATATCCTAGTCATCTTATACGTCAGAGATACCTAGACCATGGTTTGAATATGACCCCCATTGACAAGCTACTGAGGCTACACTTCCTCCTCAAAGTCATTGGCTTCAGTTCATGCAACCAACAAGCCATAACTATTCAAAACTTTGAATTTCAATCAAAATGGACAAAAAGGCGAACTACTATTACAAAAAAGCTGGTGCAGCTATCATACCCTTCACTGAAGCATTTCCTCCATAGTGTAAAGAAAAAATAAAAGCAAACTTGAATTAGCAAATGAGAAGACCCTTTGAGAAATCTGAGTATAGGCGGATTTATATTTTCTGTTTGCTGAACCCAGATGATGCCAGTTTTCGCTTACCATTTTTGTTGATTTTCTTATTTTCTGTATTTTTATATAGTTTGCAAAACCATACATCACTAATGCTTGTGCTCTTATTCTTGTGTTGCTATTTCTATTAAATTGTTCTCTTTCTTTTCTATCTAGCTTTTGATTTGAAAGAAATTGTTATTAAGAAGGATATGACTTCAAAAGCAATAAAAGCTGTAAGTAAAACCAGATGTATAGTTTATCCAATTTAAAACTGATATGTCTGACCAGGTTATAGCGGTTTCATTTATTAGATGTATTTTAAGCAATAAGAAGTTCTATATTAACATGATGTGCTAAGTAAAACTTTAGATATGTTTAAAGACCATTTTATTCAACTACATGAAATAATACTTCAACAGAAATTTTGTATGCTTTGATTATTCTTATTTTTCATAATATTTTTTTGATAATTATATTAAAGGCACTCTGTCCCAACATATTTTTATGGCCATTAAAATCTCCCATTAGTTGGACTGTACAACAGACCTATTCTTACTTGCCCTATCAAGCAAATTCCTAATTTTTACTCAGTCATAAAAGGAATGGAGAGCCTCTTGTTAAACATTGGACAGTTGACTGATGGGATAAATAGCCTTTAAGATCTTTAACTTTCTTTTTAGACTCTTCTTGAAGAATTTGATATTTCACAAGAACATCAAGTGGTTAAGGTGAAATTGATTTAGTTATATATTTTAATTGTTATCCTGAATAGCATTTGGTGGAATCAAAAAAAATAGTACAGAGCATCAGGCATTAAAAGATCATAAGCATTCAACAGTTGGGAATATTTTCAAGTCCTTTGGCAATAGCACTGGTTACCACTGAAAATGTTAGAATCAAATTAAATGAAAGATTGCAAACAACAAAAATCAACAGGGTTACTACTAATTGCAAACTAAGGCATTTGCATATAAAGTGCTGTATCCTAAATTTAAAGTGTTTATAAAGCCAGTTTGTTGGAGAAATTTAGATGAATGGCACTTGACAGCTATAATGTCATTATTTTAAATTTCCTTTGAAATTTATTGTGTTTTCATTACTATATAGCAGCTTCAAATTTGAATTTTATTTTGAAAGCTTAAGCAGCTTGAAACGAAGATATTCAAAATTTGTTTCAAAATCATACCTTCTAAGAACTGTTAAACCTGCATTGTCATATACTGCCTTAAAATCTTTTTATATGTTGTCAAGCCCAAAATCAGTGTGTTTATTTCATAGTTTTGAGTCTTTCAATAAATATATTAACATTTATATATCCTCTTAAACCTCGGTTTAATTTTGCTTTCTGATAAGTTAAAGAGATGGGCCTCTGTTTTTGAGGAGCTTATATTTGTATCAATTTAGCTTCGGAATTCAAGGGATAACTTGATTCCAATCAATGATTTGCTCACTGCAAATTCACCTAAGAAGTATGTACCAACTTATTATCTTTTGCTTTAAGTACTGTTATTGAACACCACTGTTTGTGTTGCATTTTATTAGCTATCAATTTGAATAAGATTTCTTGCTTACTATGCTCCTTTCTTCATAATTTTCTTGAGAAATCTTTTCTAAGTCAGAATAGACCTGTTTTTTAATTCATGCACTTGATTGTCTTATGTCTGTATGTTTTATCGATTAATTGTTTAGTTTATTAGTGATTTATTAGAAGTGAATTTCAGTTAACTAAAAAAGCATTTAAATCCATTACATCATAGAAATATATCAATTTTTATAGAGGCTATGTTTGTCCAACTCCCCAGTGATGGCGCCAGCTATTACAGAGTGAGAGGGTAATGCATGCGGCCAGTGAGACCATGCCCTTTTTGCCTCGTTCCAGTCCTTTGTACCAGTTTAACTTTCCTTTGGAAATTTGATCTACCCCTACCCAGCACTTTTTAATCCGTTTTTAGAAGAAATATGTGGACCATGTTTTCAGAAAAGTGGGGATAATTAACCCCCCCCATACCACCCCCTGGCGCCACCACTTCCCCCAAAGAAAGAAATAAAAATATTCTCACAATTTTTTTTTATTGTTTTACAATATCAAATTATAGCTTTTTGTATCACAAAAACAATAGGATATTGGTGAACATTATGCAGAACAGCATTGTTCTAACATTTCTAGTATCCTGGGTTCATACATCTATTTTTTATGTCACATTTTTTAGACAATAAGTTCTCTTGTACTAAAATAATTTTCAATGTGTCTCATATTTACCCCCACTAAAGAAATCTGTACTGTTGCAGGGCATATACACTTGAAGTTTGCAAGATGTACAATGCAAGTATGTCAATGTTGAACAGTCCTGATAAACTGCAACTGCCTCAGGATCTATGTCCTTTTGAATGCCAAAAATGATTCTGAACATGTCTTTGAAAACGCTTGCTTTCCATACTGCTCTATGCATCTATTGTTTCATCATCTAATTTTACCTTACTGTGGACAATTTTTTCCTGTTAATTCATTGCTATTTTGCAGTAAAAAAATGCTTTTGTTTAAGATGAAGACTTCTGCTCTAACGGTAAACAACCAGACCAGAGATCACCTCTTGTTCTCCTTGAATGTTCTTGAAAACTCATTCCACTACCATCATTTTTTTATTTTTAATGTTTCATTTTTAGTCACACCCAGACCAAGGACTGTTAGTTTGCCTACATATCAACAGTTACTCCGAAAAAGGCTACAGAATATTGACAGTAGAGTAAGGCAGCTAATATTTTGACATTTTGCTTTTGAATTTACAATGTACTCTATTCTTCATTGTCTTTACAGTGTTGCAACTATAGTATTTGCTGTAAACAATAGTTTTTAGGCCTCTGCTTATGTTATATCAGAGGCTTCATGAACATGCTTACTGTGATGGCTGATCTATTCAGGTTCGTTTGGCATGTATAGAAAAAGTTCCTTGCAATCTGTTTTTTAATGCAGGCTTTATTCCGATCAAAACAAACTTTAAAGTGTAGCTTTTTATTATTTCCTGTGGCTACACTTTGTCGCTGTAACCTGCATATTGGACAGATGTTTGGGTTTGGTAGCAGAAAGTTTAACCTGATTGGTCAACAAACAGCGTTTTCAGCGCAGATTATCTTATCAGTAATTAGTAAAATAAAATAAAGACTTACTTTATTTATAATTTCGCTTGTAATTAATTGCTGACCCTCAACCCTGCAAAAACGGGAACAAGCCAGTTTTGAACGTTCCATTCATCCTGACTGGAAAAGCAAAACAATGCAATAACTTTCTCATAGTCGTGAAAAATTGGTCCTTATTAGAGTAGCTATTGGACTCAAACAAGAGGGAAACATGTCGTGTTTACAAGCATTCCTGTCGTGTTTGCAATAAGATTCTGATAAAAAGTAAATAAATTTTTGGGCTGACTTGTAGCAAATGCTTCTTAGAACTTTAACACACATATTTGCCTTTTTTGTAACGTATTTCCAATCCCATCAGATCTTTGTTTTTAAAAATGCGTCTAACAGTCAATGGTTTCGGATTGAAACAGGATTCAAACAGTTTCGGATCAAAGAACTTTTGCAGTTCTTTAAATTTGTTTATGGATATCTTTTTGCAGCTTTTAAAGTTAGAACAGACTGTTCCAAGATTGCCTGAAATCAGAGTTGGGATCATTGAGAAGGTATTGACAATCGTAAAGCCGTTGCTCTTGAGACAGCATGCGAAATGTTTCTTTTCTTATTTATACTTTTGCAACAATATGAACTTGGGAAGCTTAAATGTGTTTCATTGCTTCAATTTTCTTCACAAAAATTAAAAGTCTTAAAGTACCAGTTACATCTAAAGAAACAGCCATCAAATTTGAAATAATAATGATTTTAATACATTTCTTTGTACAGGGTTACCTTTTCAGCAACAAAAGTGCTGTTATCAATAACGGCCCTGTTAGAAAATTCAATAGAGGAAAAAATTACAATAAACCTAAAATAAACTTAATTACGAACAAAAATTATATTTAATCTCTTATCTCTACGTTTTAGAGAAATTATCATCTACAATTACACGGGTCTTGAAGTAAAAAGTGTTCTTTTAGCTTCGATTTACAAGTTAAAATCAACTCTAAGGAACCTATGTCTCTTCGAAATTAATTGAAACAATACGGTCCTTGAACGTAAAGGGACCTTTCGCAGCTACTGTTTTGACCGAGGGCAGTCTAAATAGTGAATTACTGCTTCTTGCATTATGTCGATGATCGATGTTCTTTGCACACGTTCTATGCACGTCACGAGGAGGTCATCTTTTGCGTTTTAACTTTCAGGAAATGACTGACCTGACGTTGAAGATGGATTTCTTAAATCAAAAGATTCAGGTAACCTTTTATTAAAAGTGTGACATTAGCAGGTTTGCTGGCTGTAATTTGCGGGCTAACTGGCCAAGAAAATCAGCCTTTGATTTTCAAGGAAAATCTTGCCAAGTAGGTAAGAAAGAATTGGCGGTATGGTGTTTCATTACAAACAAGCAGCTCGTGGACTACCTCGATAGTTCACATCGCCTCAATTCAAACAGTTATCTTGGTGAAATAATTTCCTTGTTTTTCCTTTATTTGTCTGATGCATAAACATGTTTCTGTTAATAGGGAGTCTATTATAGTGTTACTACTCTTACTACGAAAATCGCTGTAATTGAACACTGTATAGTCGAGATGACGTAAGAACGTTCGCTAGGATCCAGACTTTTTGCTCATACATTGCTAAAAGTACACGTGACCTCTCCTCATTTTGAAATCGAGGTTAATAACACTCGATTTCAGATTCGATAGAATATCAAGATTAGCCTTGTCTTTCCAAGGCTAATATTGATTTTCTACCTCAGGGTCATTGGGTGCCAGCGCAGCGGGCTTCCTAGGGGGGCTAGTGCATTGCTAAAAGTACAATACCCATTGAATACGACAACTGATGTACACAAGTGCAGATGTTTTAAAAGTTTCAATAACTTAGTAATTATACCCCTATTTAATGAAACATAATGTATCCTTTTGGCTCTTACTGCAGGCAGCAGAAAGTTACCAATGGAAAGGCATGTTCCAAAGGAACCCTCTTTGGTAGAAGTCATGGCATTGCATGTGAGCTTTAAAAGAACGAGATAAGTTAGACACTCAGGCACGAAAAATTCCACGCAAGTCTTTTAGAAGAATTTCTGTGGAGTGGAGTATTTATGAACAGTGCTGCGTGAGCCACGAAAGATTGCTTCAGATTATAAAAAACCTTTTAACTAGTAGACAAAACTATTCATTGTGTGTAGATATTTGTAGATAGATACTATGATCTATGTTTAATAAGATCAATTAATTTAATTTGTCACCCCCTTTCAAATCTGAAAGAAGACGTGTTCCTCAGCTTATTAAGTTTTAGAAAAAATCCACCAATGACATTTTTATTCCAGACCTTCTCTTCCTTTTCTTTTTCGAGCCTAGTTCATTAAAAAACTGCAATGTGTGTACAACAAAGTTTATCGTAGCGTAAGGGAGCTCATTTAGAACTTAAAAGAAGCGTGAAAATTCCGGACAAGAGAGTAATTCCCATATTTTAGTTTTGAGAAGTTCAGTAGGAATTGGATTTCTATGAATTCACTTTACCATCCCATTTAGAGGCATAATACACGACAAAACGATATCTCTCCAAACAACTTGGAAACGAAACTTGAACAATAACACTATATAGTAATAGTAACTCTTTGCGGTACCAAAAACTTATTTAGTAATACTATAAGAAGTGTGTATAAGTTGTAGATTGATATGGTTGGACGATAAAGCGACAAGCTTGCTCGTGTCATGTTCATTTGACAGTCCCTTCTCGCAACTCGGTCCCTTCCCCAAATAAGTTATTGCATTCCTGGCATTAAATTGAAAAGGCTCTTTCTTGTCTTTCTTTACACTCTTGCTTTTGTATCAGAAAGGAGATATTATGAAATGACACTTGTCTTTCTTTACACCCTTGCTATTGTCGCTGAAATGACATATTTGAGCTTTTTATTTTAGTTATCTTCTTGTGAATCAAGGCTAGCTCGTGTAATTATTATAGCAACGATACCAGTCAAATTGAAGTACTGAACGTCGCTTTTCTTTTCCTAAGGAACTTCTTGTTGATAAAGACGCCACCCCAGTACATTGATCTGTTTTCAAATGAATACGTTATGAATGTGGTAAATGTGCACCCTGCCTCAACAATATCGCTGTTGGTCACCTCATTTAATTTGAAGCCTCACCAAATTGACTCGAAAATAGCAAAATCAAATGAAACGTAATCATCAAAAAAAGTTTTTGCAACAGCGACCATCAATGTGAATGTTCATTTTAAAAACAGACATCAAAATTTGTAAGCAACAACCAAACAACTAACATGCTGCCTGGTTCGCCAAATTTCAAGCATTTGAAAAGTTCACAATATATACTTCCGAGGGTATTCATTCGGAAGTATATATATTCATTTGAGTTTTCAAATGTCTTCGTTTGCATAGCAAAGCAGTGTGAACATGAAGGCAGATAGGTTTTGCACTTTTTAAATTTGATAACGAAGCAGTGTTAGCAGGATCCAAAATGTACCTGGTTCGCGTATTTTTATTTCGAAGTAGTCTGGCAAAATTGTATTTAATTTAGCGAGAAGCAATTATTTTGAATTATCTTTACTGCTGTACTGAATTCATGTTAACACCTAAAGATACAACAGAGTACCGAAGTAATAACGTTACTCAAATCTATTTTTAGAATTTTTTAATTTCGACCCCATAAGCTGAAAGAGCATCATGAAATACCTCTTTTTACTCTTATTTATGGTTGTATCGATATGAAGGCGCTTGAAAGCGATTTCTCATCTTCAGTAACTTTGCGAATGTATTCAGTCAACTTTTCCCATAATTTTCTGTTTTCTAAGAGGTCACGTATTCTTTCTAGAGCATTAATGTTTTTCAAAAATTTGATGCGGAATGTTGGATTTTTCTCCAATGTCTTTTTGATGTCGTTTTGTGAAGTTGTAACAATGGTTGTCCTAGGTCGACCACGAAACAGCTTGTAGTTGTGTTTTCAGAATAGAAGCACATCTAAATATCCAAAATCAGTTGATTTAGTTAGAAATTGGCTGAGACATGGCCACATGAGCACAGGCTCTTGTCCCATCCAACATATTTGGTCTTTATTAACCAGGCTAGAATAACAGTAATTCGTTAGCGAACTTGAAATCTTTCATCTAACTGATTTTGCATAACTGAGAAGTATTTCATGCCGTTCTTTCAGATTATGTGGTCAAATTTATAAAAAATTCTTAAAAAAATATGTTTGATGACGTCCCACTTTGGTACTCTATCCGTTCATGTTTAAATGTGTTCATAGTACAAAATATGTAGATTCATTAGAATTAGATAAATGTCGCTCTAGTCACTCATGTTTCTGTCTCTTTGTTACTCTGACTAGCCAAGCCCTGCAAAATTCAATCGGCGCCTGTAAACTAGTAACTTTATGAAAGATCACATGAGATAATACAATAGGTAGATATGGAAGGTGTAGATGAGGTCCCAACGAACCAGTGTAGCTCCATTCTGGCGATACAGGCATCTGCAAAAGTGTCTTTGCCAGTTTGCCAGCCTACCAAACATGGCCTAAAATAAGAAATTTTTACAGATCCACACTTTTTATAAAAATTGGGCGTGGTACTTTGCTGGGATTGGCATCATGGAGGTGGCAAATATAGAAACTGCCATCATAGGGCAAATAGCATGTCCTAATTGGGCAAATTCTTTAAATGAATGAAGTATAAGTAGCAAAAGCTGATTCTTTACAATATATGGATTGGGTTAATAAGAAAATTAGCTACATAAAGCGATGTCTTACTATGTGAGCAAAAAGTTATCGAAAGAAAACTTAATAACATGGTTTGTTCGGATCTCTGTTAAAGTTATTTTTTCTTTCCTTTCACCTTCAAAAACTCTCTTGAATCAGCCTTACTTGCCAGACTTTGGTGTTTTTTGGTTTTTGGGAGCCATATCTTTGCAGCTTTTCTCGGAACTCGAAACTTGCGAGATCAAACATATTTATTGCAATATTTATCTATTTGTTAAGTTTTTCTGGAGCTATGCTGCTTTCCCCACCTGCCTCTATCTTGTTGTAGGTGGGAATCAGCATCTCTACATCGATAGGATTAGGGTTTGCTGCGAGAATCCGAGCCATTGTCTCGTCTAGTAGAATTCCTCTGAGAACAAGTCTCAGATCTCTGCGATCTTAGTCGTTAATTTTTCAAAATTTAATGCATGATTGAATGAAATATTTTGTCCGGGACAAAAGCTGGGTGAAGCTTTCTCAAGTCTCTTTTACTTATAGAAAGTTCTTAACTGCATTCAGCTCATCAAATTCTTTGCCATCAAATCTGTTCTTCAAAAAGTTTTGATACTATAAACGAAAACCTCGTTACAGATGGCAAATAAACTCTTCTCTCACTGATGTACAAATTGTGCCTACAAATTGTGCTTGTTTCTTCTTATTCTCTTTTCGCCCAGCTTGAAAGCATGACCTTTACCCCCATCTTGTTTGTAATGCAGAAACCACGCACCAGATCTCAATTTTGGTATTATGCCAAATTTGTCATAAGATTGTGCTAGATTTGCAAAAATTATGCTGGATTTCAAATCAAGGCAACCCTGCTCGAGAAGGAGGCCAATGCATGCTCAGAATATCAAAAGTGGCCAGAGTTGCAATTTGGTCTTTTTGACAACCCAGTGTATTCATTCTTCATAAACAAAAACAAAAAGGCAATTTAGATTCATGGTTTGATGGCTAAATTTCTCCATTTTGGCAGTTTCTCAAAACCCCTTGGCCGCCGCAAATTGATTTAGCCGAAGAAGCAAAATTTGGCTGAATTCTGGCCGCATGTTTAAAAAAACAACGAAAATGCAAAGAAAACAAAAATTTTTGCACAGATAATATTCAAAACTTTTAAAATAATTTCAAAATTGCAAATGATGAATGGTGAAACAAAGTAAAAGACAGTTTTTGATAAAAGCAAATGAAAACTTTTGTAACCTACAAAGCTAATTTTGTTTACGATATCACTCCCAATAATTAGAAAAATTAGCTTTTTTGTATACTGCGTTTAGCTGGCTGCATTTGGCTGCCAACCACAAAATATGTGGCTGCCAACCATTCAAAACAACTGACAAAATCCTGAAGGTGGAAAGTCACAATTTACCCCAAAATGAAACCACAGATGCTGGTGTTAAGTGTTTCCATTTGGTAACGATAGACAATGGATGAATGGAAACAGTGATTCTTTTAAATAATATCAGAATTATGCCAGAGTTATGCTAGATTCCAAATTATGCTAGATTTTATGCTTAATGACGATTTTTGGCCAATATTATGCAAATATTACGCTAGATCAGGTCACACTGGCACCAGCCCGTAATGGAGTGGCTGGAACGGGACTAAAAGGATTGCCCCTAAATTTTTTACGGCCACGCCCTTTGAAACACCGGAAAACACTCTTTTTAGGAAATATTCGCTTCACTGTCCTTATTCATGAACATAACGATCTAAAGAAGATTTCAATTAATATAAAAATACAAAACCGAGTTAGATAAAATACAAATTTATCTTTGACCACACAAGATAAAGCACCATCAAGAAGAACAAAAACGTGTTACCAGCAGAACTGCTACTAATGCGTTCGTTAGCGTAAATTTTCAAAACATTTCTAACCCATTCTTGCAAAAATGTTGGGGAGGACTATAGTCCCTGTCATGCAACATTACCAATTGAATGTTCCTCCCAGCTACCACCGAGAGGCTTATCGTCGTTCAGCTGCTGTAGCCTTGAGAGAAATTTTTCCAATGCTTCTCCAATTTAAAACACCTTAGTTGAATTGCTTTATAGCTTTTTCTGAAATCTACTGAAAGATATCACATAAACCCCAAATTACATTACGGGCAGAAAATCATATTCTCAGTCTTGGTCTTTAAGCTTAGTGTCTTTTTTGAAGCAAGTCATAAAAGCAAACTAAATTGAGACGATGTCTTGAAATCAAAGCTGTATACAGGGTCCATCTTACTTCAAAATAGCACACAACAATATCATAAGGCGCAATTGATTTTTCTCCGCGTGTACTGAAGCTTCGAGTTCTGAAGTTTCTTAATTCTTTTTAATTATCCATTGCTTATTTTTTATCGCAATTTTCTTATAAAAAATGAGTGCAATACATAAGGCTGGGATTGGGCATTCACTTCGAATTGAAAAAATGTTCCCATTTCTTTCTTAGGCGTTTCGATTGGTATTTTATGTTGCACTTTTAATAACATGCATTATTTATAAATCCACACTTTCTATAATTTCAGATCCACAATTTTAATCTACAACTCCACAAAGTGTGTCAGATCCACGCTTATTTGAGGCCCTGCTACCAAAAGCTGTTAAACTAACAAAACTTTTAGCCTTAAAAAGAGTTGTCAGCCCAGCTGTCTGTTGTCTATTGTCCACCCGATAATTGCCCACCACCACTTATAATCATGTTTATTTCATTTTGGTCATATCTGAACAGGAGGCGTGCCAGTGCCACTGTCAATTTTCACACTTGCCTGTTTGAGTAAGCCTGTGAATTCTTAGCAGATGAATGAAAATTTGTAGTTGACTTATTTTCTATTTTCTTAAGTATCTCATTTAGACCACTGGAAAATAGAAGGACATTAGCAAAAACAGTAGACATTGAATACAGGCACCGCGCATCAGTCTAAAAAAGGGTGGGCTTACTTAGAAGGGTGTGATCAAATTTTTTTTGAGGCTGCACCCTTTAGAACGCCAGAAAGTCTCTTTTAGAAGATACTTGTTTCCTTCCATGTTTCCTTCCACTTATTATTCTAAAACACTCCGATTGGTGTTCGCAGTCAAAAAAGTACTGCTACTTCTATTAGAGTAAACCTTCCAAAGTTGCGCTACAGTAAACTTTCTAAAAATTCTCCAACCAAATTTTGTAAAAAGTGGGGGGGGGGCTATAGCCCCTGTTGGCCCAATGGCTGCACGGTGCCTGACTGAATACCAACAAGCTTTTAGTCTAAAGATGACCTAAAGGTGTTTATATTTCCGTCCCTAATTTCTCACGCGTTTCTTTCAAATCAGATGATAATGGCATCATTTCCAGTTTCAAATGAGCATGCGTGCAGGTGCAGTTGTTGCTGTTGACTTGACGTTTTCTTCTCTCAGCTAACTCGAAAAACTTTTTTCCAGAGCAACTTGTGACCTGGAAATAACTGTTTTAGCAAAGGTAAAAGCGAAACTTGAGTAGCTGGTAATTGTATAAAACATGAGGAGAAGTTCTTTCCAACTGATGTAGAAATCATATTGGAATTGAAGAGTAATGTTGCGATGTTGGTTTCGAGGGTAAATACGGGCCTATTACACTCCGCATTTGTTTGGGTTTGGCTTACAGGTTACTTAGTTATGTAGAGAATTTTTTGAGAATATTGTTTCTTTGCAAGAGACACAACCGAGCTGATATTATTGCAATGACCTTTGAGAGTTGATTAAAATTGAGCGATGCCGATGGATAAGAATTCAGCGCAACCGTAGAGGAAGAGACAAACAGTCTGCATATTTCAGCGGGAGATTGTACAAATTTTCGTGTTTAATCAGGCTGCTGCTGATACCATTGATATGGAGGATCATTTAGAATTGCCAGGTAATAGATTATGGTTTAACAGCAAGATTTTCCGATAGAAATTGAATAAGTGGCTGTTTTTAGACTTTGCTAGTTTTTCCTGAAGCATAGCGGAAATTATATACAGTACTAGTAAACACTTGTTTGAACAGTGACATTGCACAAATAGAGATGGAGTTAAGACCTATACTGACTCTGAATTTTATTGCCTTGCATTTTGCAAGTTATTACCAACTAATATTTGTTTGTTATGCACATAATATCTTCCAGTAAAAATATTGTTGATAATGACACACTAAAAATTGGAGATTTTCAAAATTACTTGTGTATGTATATGACAGTCAAAGAAAGAATTTGATATCCCTTTATTACGATGTAAAAAGTTTAATGAAATTTATTTAAAAAAATGTCATGTTTTGTGTTATCAACAAAGGAAAAGTCACATTGAAAAGCATTCTAGAGGTTACGTACGCAGACATTTCATGATATCTTTAGAAACAAGTTTTGCAGCAACAGTAACTCATAGGCCTGCAATGGGATTTTGGGCACCTCAAGCATGATGGACCCCACTTTTATTTGATGTTTTAGAATTATCATTGTTGACCCCAATTATCAAGCTTGTAGGCAAGGCAAAGAGTTTATTTTCATGATTTTTAAACAGACTGAATCAAGATTAGTACAAACAAGTTATTTCCTCTGCCCAAAAACCTTGGCCCAAAGTTCCTGTGGATATTCCTGTGATGGATATTCCTGTGGATATAAAACAATCACCATCTGTTAGTAGTTTTTGCCAAAAAATTTAAGCCTTCCTGTTTGAAACTAATTACTGAAGTCTGGAAAAGTGAATATCATATACTGTCACCATCCGCCTACTAGTTTTTGTCATGTTAAACGAGGATGGGTTTTGTGGGTGCCTGGGCTCGGTGATTTGTGCTTGTGGGTATGGGTTCTCTTGGCTGGTGGCTTGGGATGGGTGGAGCTGTGGGGTTTTTTCCTTGGGCTCCGGTGGCTGGCTCGCTTGTTGTGCATTCTGGGGATGGTTTTTGGGAGCTGGCAGAGCATGTCTGTGCTCATGTTTGCTCTTGGGGTCTGTTTCCTGGGTGCATGATGGGCAGGCTGGCGGCTGGGTTCTGGAGGCCTTTTGTGGCTTTGTTTGCCATGGGTTGCTAGTTTGTGGTTTCCTGTATCTGCAGTTGTGGGTTGCCTTGGATTTGGGTGTTGGCAGGGTGGCTGGTTCTTTTGTCCTGTTGAATGGTCCCTATCATCATGATATAAATGAAAAAAAATGAAATTTGTATAAGATACATTTAAAATAGGGGGTTCTCTCTCCTCGATTAGTTTAGCTACTGAGAGAGCTCCTCCTACAAGTAATTCCCTTCATACAACCTATCTTGTTTCTATGTTTTGTATTATTATATTAATTTCCTGAATTGGTTGGTGTATTAATTTTCTATAATGTTATTGTGTAATACCTGTAGTTTAGTTGATTGTAATAGTAGCTTTTATTGATAAAATGTATATAGTGGAATTTAAAATAAAAAAAATTGAACTGAACTGAACTGAAAGTGAAACTGACAAACTGACATTGGGCTATTAACACTCCTTATCGGGTTTGGCCATAGGGGCATTGTCCCTAGATTCCTCACTTTGTGTGTGGGCCTGGTATACTGAATACTGAATTCATACATATGGTTTCTTAGACTTAGGAAACATAAATTTAACAAGAATCTATAAGGTACCTTTAATGATCTGGAAAAGTAAGTTTGATTTGTTGTCTTATTGAATCAAGCTTAATAAGATTATCTTAGAGCAGCCTACTGACAATATCTACACATTTACTCCACTATGTTGTCTAAGGTATGTTGTGACTCTTTGCCTTTACCACTCATTGTTAAATAACACCATTATTTGAAAGCTAAGGAAACCTTAGAATTAGCTGATGGTAAGGAAGTATTTACCTTTGGTGTCTTTTCAGATGTCCTATTTGATATTTTCATTTCAGTCGCCAAAAAGCAAAGAACTAGCAGCCAAGATGAGGACCATGACCACCCAGGCACCAATCACCATCCACTGCCTTGGCAAAGAGCTGTCCCATTTGCTTTTGAAGGAATACCAAACCTCAATTCAAATCCAAGTGCTTCTGATGACTTAAACCCAGGAGAGTTTGTTTTGAGAGCACTGTTCACTGAATTCACAGTTCTTGCTGAGAAGAAAATTGAGAGGCTTTTGAAAGAACCCCTGGTGAGTGAAGCTGGCTGTTTCATAATCTGTGGACTGTTTTTAGCAACCCTTCACACAAAAAACCTCCCATTACTGAGTTTTACCCTCAATTGAGTTTAACTCTGATCCATAAAAATTGTTTAAATTGTTTTGATAAGAAAATCTCAACCCAGTTTGTGGTTTGGAAGCCAGACTCATTTTTTCAACCCAGGTTGGAATTTAGTTTTGGATGAAAAACCAATGTGAGCAAATTCTGAACATCAGCTATATCTCAAGCCAAGTTAAGTTTCATCCAAGGTTGACATTTATCATGTAAAGGGCCTCTCAATATTTTGGGGTTTAGCAATTTCAAAGTATTTTTTTATATAAAGAAAGAAAGCTGTTTTAAGGATATCAGGTTTTTTGGTTGAGGGCTGTGAGTGGGGAATGTAGCTAATTCATAAATCTTTGAAATTTTGCAAAAGTGGATTGCAAAACTTGTCAGGCAAAAGAATTGCAGGAAATCAGGAAAAACATATTACTATCAACTAGACATAAGTCTATTTTTAATAAGTCTGATACTGATAGTTTTTATGTAACATTGATGTAGAACTTGAAAATCGGCATTCATCCAACATTTGCTCTCAGTGAATAAGCAAACAAATTTACAAACTGCCAACCAGGTTCCATATATCAGTCTTTCTATCAATCCAATATTCCGTGGTCTGCGTTTTATTTCATAACACCTGGTAACACTTAACATAGTGTGATCAGATAGAGTGCTGTGTTTGTTGATCATAAACAGCAGTTAATCTGGAAGTGGCACTGAAGCATGTTAAAAGTTACAAAATCTATTGCAAGAAATGACTGTATATTTTTTGCCCAGATGTTTGAGTTGGAATCAATGCCTGTTTTAAACATAAGGAGTTTCACTGTATACAGGAAAGAGGAGTTCCAGGGTAGAAGATGTTTCACAGCTTGTTATGTTTGCTGACACAGGATGAATTGTAAAAGATAACAGGAACTGCTTGATATGGGGCTCTTTCTTTAGCATTGTGTTTTTTAATGATGCCTCATATTGTTGATTTTATTGTACAATAATGGTTGTAAGGACTTGGAGAAAAATAAGTGCACCTGGCAGACTAGGCCAGCAAAGTAAATATAGCCCTAGTAATGTTTTACAACCAACGTCTCCTGATAAATCAAAGCAGAGCAGTCCAGGACCAGGAGACTCAGAAATAGCATCCCCAACAAGAAAAGTTTCTAGGCAGCTCTTTCAGTCTCAAACAAGTTATGGAAAAAGTAAAAGTTTTGATTGGGAGCCAAGAGAATGCACCCCTGGGGAAGTTGCCATCAATTGTTTGCTGCAGGAATTTTCATCATATGCACACAAGAAGATTGAGAAAGCACTGAGAACGGTAAAACGAATAAACCTATCATGTTATTACCAACCAAGGAGTTTAACTATATCAATGGTATACTGCGCACAAATTCTAAACCCTTTTTAGTTGGCTAAGTTTCTTTATTTTACTCTATCCTTAGGAGAGACCATTGTCAAAATCATTGCAAAGAGGAGAAGACCCACAGTTTGATCAGGTATTTACAGTTTTGTAGGAAAATGATAATCTTATTCTATGATTTCTTGATAATTATCCTGAGTTTCTTGTGTCAATTTGCATTCTTAAATGATAAATTTAGCCTTGACTAGCTTGATAATTCTAGCACTGACTAGCTTGATTTTAAAAAGCCGATTCCTTTTGACAACTCCTTTGAAAAGGGTCCTCCATGCAGACACTTTTGTCATCTCAGGATTTTTTACAAGGAGTTTTCTCCTAAGTAAGCATTAAGCATCGAATGGGAATTGCTAGAATATCCACAACAAATCTTTAAGATAAGTTTAGTTTTTTTGGAGTACATGTTTTTACTTTTTGTAATGACTGAAGTGGTAAAATCTTATTTCAGTTTCCATTTTGCCTTAGCTTTTAAGTTCACTGAGTTCTGTGGCAGAACACTGCTTATCTTCATTGCTTAGAACCCTATTCCAGTGGTATGAAAGACAGGTATGAATGATATTATTACTTTGAATTTCCTGTTGTTTTAGGTTTTCATAAATATTGTAAGAGAAGCTTTACATCATAATAAATACTGATTGTATTGAAGGAGATTTTTTTCTAAAAAAATCTAGATAATTTTTTTTTTCTATTTACTATAAGTTTTAAATACCTGAAAGTTGTAGGTTTTTGATATTAGCTGTCTTAAATTTTGTCATCTGTAAGAATAATCTAAAGTCTAGCCTGTTTGAATGTACTAATATAGTTGAGAATACTGTATTGCTTTTAACTAGCAGCACTAGTTAAAAATTTGAGGTGGTACTATCTAGAGGGCAGTATTAGTGTTTTACCTTGTAATCATCCTTAATAACGGCTGTGATTGTAATTAGTTGCAGGTTAAAAGGCCATAAGGTACAAATTAGAATGAAAAAATTGAAAATGTTGCAGAGCTGCATTTTCAGCTCTGTTATTGGAGGGACATGCTAATTATAGGCTAATGCTAAATAGAAGTAGTATGGTATGTTTACCCTTTTTGTGATTTTTTTGCTACCACGTTTTATGTTCTATACAATTACGGTAGCTTCTTTTTGTTTCTTTAAATTGGTAGACTGGAAAAGATGCAGAAGATCTCACAAGATCTAGAAGTCCAAGTCGGGCATGGGGGTAAGTGAGTTTGAGTGAATTTTCTGATTGTGAACTTTCTTCATTGATGCCAAGGCATAACATTGCCTTCATTTTTTGAAGAATCCATTCCTTTTACAAAAGATATCATTTTCATCTTTCACTATTTCCAGCGGGTCAGAATCTCCAAGACCTGCTTCCAGAGCTGGTAATAAAGACAGAGATGCATTGTGGGAAAGGCGCAATGTAAGTGCTTTTCATTGTCAAAGTATGTGTATTAACGAGCATGAAATTAGTGCTAGAATTTTTCATTTTTGACGGTTTGATAGAGTTATGTACCCACCAGTGTTTGTGCTATTATTTGTTCTTTTGAATTCAACTAAACAATGTTAAAGGTTTCCTTATGTTGTTCAAGTACCATTTGGGCAACAATGGGGTCTTTTATGAATTATAGGCACCCATACTGGAACAAGTTTACCCCTTCCAGTTTAATTTCTCATGGAGATGTCATAAATTACTATGTGTCAAACCCAGATTGTTCCAAAAACTATAATGACGACATGTTCCGGATTATAAGAAGAACCTTTTCGCTGTTCTATCTAGCAGCTTTAGCAACTATCTCCATAAAGATGGGAGAAAACTACTATTATATAGAGAAAAGGAGTTCGTATTGGTAATATTTTCAATAGGCAAGCGGCACTGATTGGGCAACCTTTAGAGACGTCTGCTCGTGTTTCTGAGTGGCTTTTTTCGATCAACAACTTGGTATATATATTTCCTAGCTTGAAGTTTTCGATCTATGCTCTAACGTTTTATATTCTGAATGAAATGTGTCAGATGAAAAGTTTAAATATGTTTCAAAATGTTTGCTATTTTCAAAGCCATTTTCAATTTTCATTGTAATTGCCTTTATCTAGCTTGCCGTGGAATTCATCTTTTGCTTGGTTTTGATTGAAGTGCTAAAGCAGGTAAGGCATGTTTTTCTTTTGCAAATGTTTCGATATAAATCTGAGAGAATTCCCATTCACTTCAATTTAAGAAAGTAAAATCGATATTACCAACAGTGACAACATTTAAGACGATTTTCACATCGCAGAATTTTGGATCTTTTTGGTTTTTAGATGAAATGTTCTGAAGACAATTTTTGGATCCTAAATTGATTTGAAGTATTTGTTTTTATACATGCGATATGACTCACTTTACTGCACTTTACCTTTTTTACGTCACTGTGCCTCACTAAGTGCATTTGTTATGCACATAATTAAGAGCCTCGCTTCTACGGTACTGAAGACAAGTATCATCAGTCACTTGGCTCTTTCTTCTGTTTTCTCTGCTCATGATTTACTCTGAAATAACAGACAAAACCCCTGTTGATGTATCAGAAAATCACGTCGCACTTTTCCTTTGATTGCATGCGTAATTTTCTTTTAAATAGTTAAGGATTTAAGAGAATGGATTCTAAGCTGATAAATAGATATGTAAAAATTGATTGTTTGTCTCCCGCTGCTTAAGATGTCCATGTCAATGGCACGCTACACCATGTTGCAAAATTTACATGCTTCTGATCTGCGGAACCGTCTGGCAGTGTTGACTGAAGCTTTGGTATACAACATATATTAAGACGTCCCGTACTTTTTGTAGCTTTCAGTCCACCCTGTTGAAGAGAGTCAGATTCAGTTTATCGAAAATCATGCGTTCAAACACTTTAAAGACCAAGATTCCGGCTCCGGTACGACACAGTCACAAACAAACCGGATGATTGTCACAGCTCTATACGCTGAAGTCATTGGCGTTTTGGCTATGACGAGGTTCCAGTCTGTGAGAAGAAGATTTATGCAGGAATACAAAGACAATCAAGGAAATTCGAGAGTCCTTGTTAACATTATCATGGGACTGAAGTTTATCCGAATAAAGGTAATTAATTAAATTATATTTTTCCTGCTTCTGTGAGTCTTTTGAAATGACTAGCTAGAACCTTTGCTCTGATTCCTGGTCTGTTATAATGTTTCGTTTTTGCATATCTTCACAAAGTGTAAGTTTTCCCAAATGAAAGGTGCTTGGATAAATTTTACAATGAACCGAGACTGTTCTTTTTTAATGCCAATTTAAAATTTTTTATGAACTTGAAGATGTAAATGATAAAAATTTGTACCTCAAAATACCCTAGAATTACGCTAAAATTTATATAATCAGAAACATGTGCTAGATGATTTAATATTGATTTAATTTCAGCTTTTTCCTGTTGAAGAGCTTGAAGAATCATTTCTATTCCTCCAGGTAAGAATTTCTAAAATTTCTCAATATATTTAGTATTTTACAGACATATTAGATCACACATACAGTTTTTAATCATCAGTATCTAAATTTGGAGAAGGTCCTGTATTCGTGCACCAAAAAGTTTCCTCGTCGTTTTATTTGAATCAATCCTGGCTACCTCTGTGTCAAATCTGTTGCAATTAACATATCATGTCCCTTTGCAATCTAGCAAGGAACAGTTAGTATTATCAACTGGAAACTTTGGATGGACGAGAATTTTCAAATATTTTTCAAAGTAACAGTAGTCACTTAGGGTGTATAAGGATTGTGTCTTGATTTTCCAAACCAGGAATGTGCAACCCTGTTCCTGGAAAGAAATTTGGACAAAGAAGTTAAATATGCGTTCGCAAACTTGTTTGTCGAATTGTTGATACCAGTGGCTGCTACAGCAAAGCGAGAATATGGCATTCCTGCTTTGAAGAAGTTTGTAGATATGTTGCATAAAGATGCTTTGGAATTGGCAAGGAAAGCAAAGCATAGTTCGGTATGTTGTTTTCTTTGCTGTTACAGTATCACCCGGTCTCCTCGTTTAGCGCTAATGCATCACACTTATATGTTAATCCAGCTTGCAATGTATTGTTCAATGCGTGCAGTTGTTAAGTCTATAAAAAAGTATGTTGGATCCTGCTAGATTTGACCTTCAGGGACGAGGGAGAGAATGTTGTAAGGAAATGAACTTACTTAGCGAATGTGAACCTTAACCTGGATACAAGCTTTGACTTGAATAAGGTAGGATCATCAGAGTTATCCGGGGTATGACTTAATAGGATTCAGCCGTAGAAATATTACTTATATGAAATTTAACATGATAACATGGTTTTGTTTTTCAACATGATCCATATTTTTCAATATGTCAACACAAAAGGTTTGGTGGTATGACAAAATACGTCATCGAATAGTTCCATTTTATTGCGTTCAGTTTTATAATTATTATTTGCTACTTATTTTTGCTTTTTTTATTTTTCATATTGAGCTTTTGTTTTGCGTCACTCATGCTCGTAATTTAATTCATCAAAGCATATAGTAAATATATTTTGAATCTTCCTTTAAGCAATGGCAATTGCTGATATTATGTTTTTGTCCTTGTTGGGGATATGACGTATTTTTATCGCTGGTTTCCTTCCCTTGCATTGAGCTATCTTTATTCTTCTTTAGGCGATGTATCCTTTGGTGACAGCCTTGCTCTGCATAAGCCAGAAACAATTCTTCTTGTTGAACTGGAACACATTTCTCACTATGTGTTTGTCTCATGTCAAGGTAGGCCTACCAAGCCGTATATTTTATTGTGCTCTGAATAAACAAACATAGGTTCAGTCCGCTTACAGCACCTCTTCACTTGGAAAAATGCGAATTTACTGTATTTATTATGGTTATTCTGTAATCGTCGATCTGACAACTTTCTTTAAGGTTTTGATACCCTTAACCTTTCTCACTAACATTTTTAGTCACGTGACACTAAACTTCAAAGAATGGCGATGGAATGTTTATACAGACTCCTTTGGTATGTATGCCATAATAATTCACATGATTTCATTGTATTTGTTATATTATCAAATGATAACACCACCACGTTCCGATGGTAATTCTTTGGTCATTGCTTTAAGTCTACTATGATATTTTTGTATACAAGTAGTGAATAGGGTAGTCCATAGAATATGCTAGAAGGAAGTCCATGAAATTTTTTTAAAATATTCAGTAAACCGTGAATAAATTTTATTAGACTTACAACTTGGCTGTGAACAGAGAGGAATGGATAAACTTTGGCTGTAGTTGTACTTAGTAGCATGGTGAGAATTGAATTAAAAAACGACAGTGGGTTTTTCAAACAATTTGTGTGATATTTGCGAAAAAAATGAAGAAAAGGAGATGTCTGTGTGGCATCTTTCTAAGTACATTTGTATTTTTTATTCATTTGTCTCTGCATGCAGTTTTTCAATTTTCTTATTTTTATAGGGTATATGTAATCCGAGTGAAATGCGAGAATCACGCTTCAACCTTAACGTAAGCTGCAGTTTCTATTTAAATTTTGCCAGTATTCTTCGACTAGTTATTTTATGCAGTATTTTGTTTGTTTGTGGGAACCTTTTTGTATAGTGTTCGCAGTGTCAGCTGCATTCATCGTTTACTATCATATAAGCAACGAACGTGGCAATACTGAGTGTTTGTTTCTGTGGCCCGGTTAAAAATGCATTGGATCCATACACTTTTATAGATTGGAATGCATGTTAACAGGGTATTATTGTGTGATAGACTAATGAAAGACCTAACTGCAAACTGACTGAGGCTTTATAGGATCTATAGGTAAATCAACAATTCATTTGCTAATAGAAGTTAACTAATGAAAGTTAGTTGTACCCATATGAAGAGTCCTTGTATTGATATAAATACTCCTTAAGTACTTGCTACATCTTGGTGGTGAAGGGTACCCGTATGTAACTCTTCTTTTGTAAACTAGGATGGTTATTTGGCTGAGTTTTGAGCAACTAGAAAGCTGGTTGATGAAAGATAGAAATTAAGCACAAGTACATTTATCGCATACTTGAATCAAAGTGGCTGAGTAGCTAGAGGGCTTTACTGCTGTGCTGAAGGTTGCAGGGCCAAGACTCGATCTACATGGAATTCTTGTACGCTTGCCACGTGCCAATGCTGCATTAGGGCCCTAAAGTCAACGAGGAAACCAATTAGCCATCTTGCTTTATGATGTAATTAGCCTAGGCCAGGTTTAGGTATTACAGACACTTTTTTTGATATGTCGTACAATGGACTCATCCTTACCTATTTCATTTCAGGAGACTGAGGAGTATCACTGAAACTCTGTTTCCAAGAAATTCCCGCACAGTTGTACCACGTAACATTCCTCTGAACATATTTGTGAAGATAATCCAATTTATTGCACAGGTGCGCAGTTTTCTATGAAATATTAAAAGCTGATTTATAGTGAGCTACCATTGAAATATGTTGGTCTTTTTTCCACCACTTTAAGAGGTGGATTGTCTACTGTTCAAGACACCTGGTATTTTGCTAAGATGTTTTTCATAGAAAAACATTTTCTAATGAAATATTTCTTGTAGACATAGATAAATTTTGCATAACTGAACACAACTATACAAACAGGAACGTAAATTATACTTTTGACAGTACTAGACCGAAACATCTGTAAAAACAGCAAACATGAGGATTGTCTGAAAAAAGGCTTATGTATTTCTAAAAGTCTTAGAAATATAAATTAATGTTTATGAAAGATGCTTCGTAGAGAAGCAAGATCAAAGTGCGTTAACAAAAATTCCTCTTGATTTCAATAGGAGAAGCTGGATTTCGCGATGCAAGATATCATCTTTGACCTGCTCAATGTTGGAAGAAGCAATCGCCAGTTGAATCCAGAACGCATGAATATTGGCCTAAGAGCCTTTCTGGTAATAGCAGATAAATTGCAAAGAAAAGAAGGTGCCCCTCCTATGCCTAGCACAATCGGAGTCCTGCCCTCGGGAAACACTTTGAAGGTCAAGAAATCCTTCACAAAGCTGACAGAACAGGCGGCTCGAAGCATCGGCGTCGTGACGTATTATACCAGTGTGCGACGCGCTCTCGATCAAATCCTACGAACACTTGATATTCAGGTTGGCCGGACTATGACGATGAATAACCCCCAAATCTCAAACAAGGAGCCTGTTGATATGATAACAGGGGAACGGAAACCCAAGATTGATTTATTTCGCACATGTGTTGCCGCTATTCCAAAATGTGTACCTGAAGGTATGAGCAAGAGTGAGCTTGTCGAGCTGGTCTCTAGACTTACTCTGCACTTAGACGAGGAATTAAAGAGCCTTGCGTTTACTGCCCTCCAGTCACTTATTATGGATTTCCCGGAATATCGTGAAGAGGTGATCTTAGGTTACATTAACTTCACATTGAGAGAAGTACCGGATATTTATCCAAATATCCTGGAATCTTGTGTACGTGGGGTTTTTCAGTTGGTAGCTCAGTGGAGGACTGCAATCTCACAACCCTCCAGTGAATCGAAAGGGGACCAATATCTTGAGATGTCAATGAACTCAGGCAACGCACCAGAAGTACCGACTGTGCCAAAAGGGACTTCTACGCATGTTGTGCATTGTATCGAAGGGTTTGCTCTGGTAATGCTATGCAGTACTAAAGCCATGCATCGCAAGCTGGCACTCATGGTTCTTCGAGAAGTGCGACTACTAGCAAAGGCTATGCAAGGTGATGGTAGAACTGAAGAAGTGATGGCGATTGACATTATTGAAGAATGTGCTCCGGCAGTGATAGAGAAAGCTTTGACCTACATATCAGGATCAGACAAGGCTTCCCTTGGTCTCTCGCCGTTGATGGATCTGCATCTTCTCGCTGAAAAATCTGCTTTGCTTGCGGAAAAAGACTCAAATGTTGCTGGTATAAGTCGTGATGTTTGGGCCCACTGTTTCTCAGGCTTCCTCGATCGCATTTACACGCATCAAAATCACTGTTCATGCACTTTTCAATACAGCTGGCCCTTTGTTTACAATAGGCTGTTTTACATGTATACGATACTCGACCCAAGCGTTGATTTCGATTCGATAAGTAGCAGAGCGTCTATTTCTGTCAAGGCCCCCAAGAAGCCAGCAAATCTTTCCTGCATTTGGCTTTGGCGAAACTACCTTATATTCGCTTGTTGCACTCCTCCCAAATCAGCATTGAGCAAAGTTCAGACCAGCTCATCAAGCCAAGAAATGCTGCAAAGCGACGCTGAGGTTAAAAGTGATTTGCAGATAACGCAGGATATCCATAGTCTGAGTGACGTTTTCAAGTCGACTGTTCTGCTGATTAAAAGCGAGAGTCCGGAGATTCGTGAAGCGACTGTTACCGGCCTTGGCAAGACAGTGGCAGCAGCACACTCGCAGCTAATTGAAGAAATGCATATTCTTTTGAGAGAGGTCCTTGACCGAAAGGCTGAAGGAGTGAGAAAGAAGAAAAAGCGTGATCTACTACGTCTGCAGGTTGCAAGGGTTCTTGCTGCCAATGCAGAGCAAGGATGTTTTAAAAGCAGCCTGATTCGGGATGGGGAGAGAGCAGCGCTCGTTTCAAATATAACGGAGTATGTAGAAGGAATGCGGTACATTCTAGAGATTGAGGTTGACAAAGAAGACCCAACGCTTATCCAGCTGAGACTGTTCTTCTCAAAATTCATCCATAAAATGATCAAGAGCATCCCACCATCTTTGCAGGGCAATTTACTGAGAAACCAGACCAGACATAACCTGTTTTTGTTGCTAGCTGGCTGGTGCGGGCATTTCAATGTCAGCAACTTTGGTACGAGTAAAAACAACGTAGCACAAAGCTCAGAACTTGAATTCTCAGCACTAGAAGCCATGTGTGCTTTAGTATGCTGTGGCGAGGTGTTCGATCAGAAAGCTTTAGAGGTTTCCAATGGCTACTTGTATAAACTGTTGGACACGATGCTTGGATCTGATAATGCGAAAGTTCACAGTCTTGGGCAGGAGTCAGTGGAGCTGCTGTTAGAGAACAACGAAAGGATTCCAGCATTACTTAACTGGGTTATTGATCGCTGCTATACTGGTAGCAAAGGGGTATCCAGTGGATGCTTTTTGTCTCTCGCAAATGTCTTCTGCAACCGGTAAGCCTGACAGTCTTTCTATACACACATCACAGTTTTTCTGTGTATTTATATTTACACTCTAGTAGTCTTTTCTATTAGAATGCCAATAACACGATAGCGATCTGAAATGTCCTTAAAAAGTTGAAAATTTTTTGCAGTTAATGTACTTCATATTTTTATAAATCAGAATTTTTAAAGATAAGGTGATTGCCATATCTCAGGGGTCAGAATTTCCTCTAGAAATTTCTATTTATTTCATATTTAGAGTATTATTAAAATGATCACCATCCATTGATGTATACTTTTTTGGTTTTCAGCTAAAGTTCATTCTAAACGCGATATAAAAAATATAAAAGATCAAGTCCCTTTTTTTGTAGGCTGTATCCCTGTCGACTTGTTCCGTTGATCTGCGTTGTCCTGTTCAAGACTAACGATGGGTCTGCTGAAATAAGAGAAAGGGCTGCGCAGCTGCTACACCTTCTCGATCGGTAAGACACCATATTTGAGCTTCGAAGTTATATACGTTTTTTATACATAGCATATGATCGTTGATAAAAGTTATGTCAACGATCATATGCTATGTATAGACACCATATTTGAGCTTCGAAGAAGCTGACGTTATACAAAGCTTTAGCTTCGAAGCTAAAGTATGTTTAGTGTTTTTGACTTTTGACAACATAACTTGAAGGAACATCATGAATTAAGCCTCCGTTCATTCGTTTACCGAAGCAAAGAAAAATGCATATTTCTATGAATTTTCATTTCGTAACAAAGGTAGTTCTCCAATTTCGGGGACCCTCTAAATCGAAATCTTAAATGTGACGTAATAAAAAATATTTTTGGAATTTTTACTTTTGACAATATAAATGTATACACCATGAAATACCTCTGATCTTGGAAAATTAGCTAACTCTATTGCTAATTTATAGAAATTTATCAATTAAAAGAACTTTATTTTGCGAAAGGTTGCTACTGCTTCTAAAGATTACTCCTGGTTCGTAGAGTTTAGAACCCCGACCATTTTCCTGTGTTTTTATTGGGAAACTGCCGCGAACATGTGGCAAAATCTCAGCCAATTTGTCACACATTGTTAGCACATTTGCTAGCTAAGGGGTATTCTATAATACTGTTAAAGACACATTGTATGGCCTATTTTTGTGCACTCCTTTGTCTGCGTTTTTGAAATCGAAACTTGTTGCTAGAAGATCTAAAATAAACCGTCTTTTATTCAAAAAAGTAAATAATTTTTCAATAGGGCTAGAAAACGTGCCTGTGTATTATATTGTATATTATTGTTACTAGAGTATCTGAAAGGGTTGCATTTACATAAATATGAATTTATTAAGTATTAGCATGTGTCATCAAGCTGCTGTTAGGCTCATTCTTAGCCAGCCAGGAACATATTTTTCAAATTCGGTTTGATAATAAGCCCGCATATTTTTGCAATAAATTGTTTGTACTGTCTCCATGTAAGACCCCTTTGGAATAGAGACAGCTGACTGGCTTAAAAAAACAGTGGAATATAACCAACGAGGCGGTTGCTGGTGTTTTCTAGAAAAGATACCTTGATAGGCTACTGTGCGATGAAACGTTATTTCGTTTGTGAATGGTAATTTGGTATCATGACCAAAGATGATAGGCACGACGTGTCTTTTGTGTAAAATATGGTCTTTTTTACATACAATATCCCAGAAATACGACCTTAAACTGTGAGAATCAAGAGAGAAGCTTTTCAACCATATTAGAAATAGAAAAATAATTGGGCAAATCTCCTTAAGAGAGAGGGATAGAAATCGGTGAAACTAACTGTGAAGATTTCATTTTAATTTTTAGAGATTGCTTAGCGTTCTTTAATGGTTCCATGCAATATAATCAAAGGTGATTCCCTCTACAGGCGCTTCTTCAGTTACACCGCGCCATTCAGAACTGCATATGCAGGTTACTCGTACAACCAACAGAACTTTTCACGTGATCTCGCTGTAACACACCCAGAGTTGACATTGCCGATGCTGGCAGGTAATGCTTGAATCATGTTACCTTGATATAGGAAATTTATCAATTTATAAAGCTGGATCCAAATGACGAATTTCCAGATCGATGACCATCGTGCGCTATTCCATTTAATTGTAAAACTCATACCAGTTTATTTTACTGTTGGTGCTTAAAGCAAGCAGCTGATAAGAGGTTAAATTTTTTCGAAAATTTCACTAGTAAATGGCAGAGAAACGTGAAGGGGCACCACGTTTTTCATTGATATTAATATATGCGCTAGTTGAAAATACCCTTTTGATTTTATAGATTTCAAAGCAACTAGATTGAAAGAGATTCCTTCGATATTGTTGAAAAATAGCACGAGATGTGATTGAGATGTGTTCCATTAGCTGATGCGATCATATTCGTGTCATATTCTCTTCTCCAATTTCAAAGTAATCAAGCTGATCTGTATCTTAGATAACTGAATGCCACAAATGAGAATAAAGGGTTTTCTTGGAAGAATTAAGGAATTGTTAAGGCATTGTTAAGGCGTCTGATTATGCTTTACGAAGCAAATTTTTTATAGACCTGTTTGATGCATTTTGCAAAAGTTTTCATTGCCAGCTTACAGATTCTTTGTTTATGGTTGGTATAACATTTGTATGCTTCTTTTCCTAGAGATGACATTTAGATTTGAAACAACTTCAATGGTTGGCCAGCGTTGTCTGTTAAACTTTCAACTTCCATGGCTAGAGAATATCGAGCTGGTTAATGTAAGCTTGCCTCGTGTTCGAAACGAGGTTTCTGATGAAGCAGCTGAAGAGTTTTTAGACAATAACAACTTGCTGAGGCCGCTAAATGTTGGAGGGGACGGCTGGGGGTCTGTCGAAGCAACGCAGATGGTTTTAACGAATCTCTTTTACATCACAGCAAAGGTGCCCACATTAAAAGTCTTTTGATAGCATATTTCTCTTAATGTTTTAGGTTCAGTTACACTGATTGGCTTTAACTTCTTTTTGTTTTATCTAGCAGCTCTAATCATACCCTTGGTTTCTCTATTTTTCTGACTTGTTTATTCTACCAGTTTTCTGGCCACCCGTATTTTTTACCCTCCCCACTTCCTATCCAATTTAACGACATTGCTCATCTGAAAGGTTCGGAACAAATAGTGTGTTTAACGCTGAGTTCATAAGTCTGTTAAAAGTATTATTGTCATAATTATCCAAAGCTATACCTGGGTTATATCTCTCTGAATTCACATTAGAATGAAAGATTTACGTCATTTTTAGAGTTGAATGGTGGATTGAACTGCTACTTACTTGAATGAAGCTGGTTTCATTGACGTAGTGTTTTTTTGATTGATGTCCTCTCTATTGAATTATCGATATTGTAAGCGTTATAAAAACGCGAATGAATCATTTTGAAGATTTTAACAAAAGCAACTAGCTATAATTGATGAACCAACGTTGTTGTTTCTTTAAAGTAAAACTGTAGAGTAAAGGATGTCAAACTATTCTTAAAAGATTACGCTAATCACATTGCTATATTGCCAGTGTTATATTTTTCTTTGTTTTTTGTTACAGTATGACGAATACTTCAGCAAAGAAATAGAAGCCTTGTGGTCATCATTATGTGCAACAAGAGAAGCCAATGTGCACCTAGTTATAGAGTATCTGATTGTAATGGCTAGCCTCTGCGGAGCCCCTGCCCTTCCACACGTGAGTCTGATGTAGCTGCTTGTAAAGAAACAGAGTTCAGTATTGACTTGTCGATTTGATTTAGATTTCCATCACTTAGATGTCTTTTCTTATTTTCTGTACATTAACAACGTAAACAAGCTTTTCATGAGCTTTCCATTCAAACATTGCCCATATAAGTGATGATGATATTGCTGAATTGTTTGGTATTACATGGGATGATTTTTATGAGAACTTCGTGTATGAATTGATAGATAATAAGCAGTTCTTAAGCTGGAAACATTTGAATTCAAACCTTTTGAAGATCTAACCTCGAGCTAGCAGTTAGAAAGTTATGGAAAGAAAATGTTTGATCCTTGGCTTGCAATGTCTTCCACTTTTAACTGGTTACCTTTTACCTAATGTCTACATTATTAAGTGTTCTGCAATGACTTTAAATGTTACTTCTTGAGTTATCAATATATTCTTTTAATGAATTCCGGTTGAACGAGTCCCACTATTAATTTCACTCTTTTACAGGCTAAAAAGGTTGCAGTTTATGTTTCAAGAGCAAACACGACAAAGACAGTCGATGAACTTATGAAAGCTTTGAGGGTATTTAGTTTATATGTTGCTACCTTCTATGTGTCTTTATTAATCTTCCTACCCTTTCGTTGGACATGGTAGATCGTTCATCAGGACAATAGCGAAGACAGTTTTTATTGAAAAGGATGCCCTGGTTAGAGGAAACATTGATTTCCTCAATGTTGTTTATTGTGAATGGTCTTAACCGCGGAGTCATTTTTCTTGACAAATTTTTGTCCCTAGTAGGTCTAAAATGAATGAGTTAATGTAATTGAGAGTTGAGAATAGCACAATCTAGTATGTAAAGTAATTCTTGATACATATAGTTGGTTAACGTTGTTAGGCCTTATATACTTTCCCTTGGTAATACGTGCAATATGGCGCCTTTTGAAGCTTAGAATTCAACTAAAATGTAGTAACTCGCATCTTATTTCTAGTTGACGGAAACAGTCTCAGCGAACTGGGAAAGGCTAGACCAGCCTCCTTACTACCGTTTTATTGATAAAGCTGGGACTGCCAGCAATACTGTTACGTCACCTGAGAGCAAGAGCATTACGCCAGTCCAAGAAACATCAAGTGATTGTGATATGGAAAATGCTCCTACGATTAGAGTGATGCCATCTGAGAGACAGGGTAGTGAAGAGCGTTCAGGATCTTGTGGATCTGCAAAAGCTTTTGCCGAATCAGGTAAGTTGTTTGTTCTTTTGCCATCTATTTATCTGATTGATTGAAGCTTGATTTTTACATATAGTGGGCAGCTGACAACAGTTAAATGTAGGCTTGGAGTGGGTGCTTAGAGATGTTTGACGCAGCAGTACTGTTCGGCGCTTTGTTTACGCCTATGTGAAATCTATGCTGAAATTTACCTCTCTGAAAACTTTGTTGACGCCTCGTTTTTGAAGCTAAAATGACTAAAAAGTCTATACACACCATTGTAATCTGTGCTAGATCTGTAGTCTTTAGAAGAAATATTAGCAAGTGACAGCCTAAATCACGTGTAAATAACGTTTATGAAAATGAAGGAGTCAACATGGCCTGTTTATGCAGCTATTTTGCTAGTAAACCCACCCCCGATCATCATTCATAATGGCGCTTAGATTATTATAAAGGCACACCATTGGTAAACATTTATATTTTTTTATTTTTTCCATTATACCCCCTTTACTTGAAGAAAAAACTATTTCTAGTTTTAGAGGGAGCAAAGCAAAGCAAGGTTGTTGCTCAGTGTGAGCACCAGCGTAAGGAATCAGGTACAGATGAGTTATGGCCATTTCAGTGGATGCTCGCAGCGCATGCAAGTAGGCCAAGGGGTATTCCCCTACCCATCCCCGAAGAATCAACTTACTTTGCACCGATCACGTGCATATTTCCGCTGACCATGTTGCCTGCTCATCTTTACAGGTTTGTTTACATTTTGTTAATTCTAAAGTCTAATGGGCAAATCGCTTATTTTCTTCTTCCTTCTTGGAAATAGGAAAAGTGGAAAAATAAGTATTTTTACGTTTGGGCATTGGCATAAACTTCACTGGAGCCTTTAGGCTGTGAACCCATTTCATCTCCTTCGATATTATGTTAATACCTACTTAGTTAATTTTCCAAGTTAGTCTTTGAATCGGTTACATTTTTAGCAAGTTATTTCAAAAAACTCTCTGACAGCTAGAGGAAGATCTTTTTCACAGCATTGTTCCAAAATTTGACACGGATGCCCAGAACGATATTGTAATAGTACAGAGACCGTAACGCAGATAAATTCTCAAATTAAAGGGGTGTTAGACGATGTGAGATATAGAGAAGTTGTTAAAGGTGGTCCATAAAGCCCCTAATGTCCTTGTATTATGTTTGATTTTTAATGAAAATAAGTCGAATGCATATCAATTTTAGGTGCAATTTCGGTGTCATGATGTTAACAGAAATCGTCTCAGATCGCCCTGAAGTACAATGGATAATCAACTTGCCATTAATGCTGCATGTCAGCTTTTTAGGTGAGAATTATCATCACCATTTTCTTTACTTGCATGCCCAGTATTTCTTTTGAGACCTGACAGGTCTGCCAGTGGTGGCACCAAAGGGGAATATAAGAGGGTAATTACCACCCCACTTTTGCTGAAGCATGACTTTATGATTCTTCTAAAGATTGATTAAAATGCACTGAATAGGCGGGATTTGTGTTTTTGAAGCTTGTTTATAGCACTAAAATAAAGTAGTTAAGGGTGTTCTCTCTTGGCCAAACTTATTACCTTCCTTCACTGCAGTTGCTGGTGGTGCTACTACGGTATATTTACTTTCATTTACCGACCTAGCAAAATTTTCTTTTTATCTAAACTAGGCCTTGACCATATGAAACCGTTGGTCCACGAACATTGCAAACGCTTGCTAATCAACCTCGTTGTCGTATTGGTCTGCAGAGGAGAGAGGTCGACAGTGGCAAAGGCCCTACTAGATTTCCAGTCGGTCTCAAATATTGCGTTGGATCGCAGCATAAGTGTTAAAGGATCAATTAACGTGATCGCAGAAGAAGGCAGTGTGGTTGATGAGCAGGGTATTTCGGATGCTGAAAACTTACACAGGTATGAAAACATGCATGAGAAGGCTGGAGTATTAAAGTCAAAACTTAAATGGGATTCAGGCTCACCTCGGCCGATACCCCTTCAAGCTGAGTTCTATAGAGGATTCAACTTGATATTTAAATGAGGACAGGGTACCATTCTAAGAAAAGAGTATTATCCAATGTATTGCAGCTGGATCTCCAGATTAATTTCAGCTTAAAGCTTTAGCTAGACTGCCAAGGCTTCATTTTAACCTCAGTCTCCCTAGATTGAGAGTATATAGCAGTTAAAACCGTATAAAAAATGAAGATTGAGTCCGAAAGTCTACTAAAAACACAATGACCTCTCGCAATCTTTTTACAGTTTATGTTAATGATATTGGTATGGCAGTTAGTAAATATTACATTCGACGATCGTTTCTTAGGAGCAGCCCATCAGTCTCCCAGAGCACTGAAAGAGACAGATTGAATAATGGCGATGAGCATGGTCTCAGTGTCGAAGAGAAAGCGCGGGAATTGATAGAATTTCTTACGAAAAGGTAAGCAAGCCAACAATTACGGTTTTTCCTTCCATTTTTGTGCTGCAGTTGGAATTCCGTCGGATTTAGGTATGCACTTTGGTTTCAGCTTTGTTTGATAGCTTTTCGTTTTTTTGGATGCATTTTCAAGCCATTTATATTATCATCGTTTTTGTATATTGAAATATGAGGTTAAAAACAGGCAGTCAGAGTTGAAACGGTACTGATTTTCAAAGGTATTTCTACTACGAGTTCAAGGAAAACTAACTCCCTGTTAGCTATGCGTTGTAAGTACCTGTATTCGGACGCCTAGTGCCGTGCTAAAGTTGTCAATCATCTTTCTATAGCGACTGTAGACCGTTGTGGCCCTTCGAGGACATCACCCCGCGAAACGTCGCTATCAAAAGCGCAGAACAGCTAGAAGCATTTTTACGAATGGTGATTTCAATTTTCGAAGAAGCAGTACCACATGCACATTTACTCGAGAGATGGGGCTATGAGTCATTGCATTGGGCAACATCCTGTTCATCTAGGCATTATGCCGGAAGATCTTTCCAAGTGTTCCGTGGAATACGCACTCCCCTCACCTGGACCATGCTTTCAGATGTCTTGCGTCGATTTACAGAATCAGTTGCCGAGCAAACTGACGAGATGCAGGTTTGTTTCTTGACAAATTTGTGGTTTCCTCTTACGTAGATATGCGTCCTCTCAGAATCTATCTCTCTGAACTGTAATTATCTGACTCTTTTGCTGTTTCTTTATCTTTCATTGATTCCAAGTATGGCTGCTATGGAATAATAAATCGTAAAAATGGCATAAAAAAGTAAAAATGGCTTAAATTCTATTTGATACTAATGGTTTGTTTTTGCTCTTAATTTTTGTCGATTTTTATGATTGGGATTTAAGGCCTTTACTCTTAAAAGGGGAGAAGATGAACTCTACTTCTGTTCTTGGTATTTGCTGCTGACCGTAGAGGGGCTAGACATGATATCGTAGCAGGTGAAAAAGATGCCGTCTATAATATCAATTTATAAGAGCTGATACAGAATTTCCAGCACACGCTATATACATGGGCGTTGCTAGAGATGCTTCAAGATACCGCCGACGTTCACATTCTACGTCACTGCCAGCGACTAATAATCGAAACAGCGGACAGAAAAATATGAAATGAAATAGCACGCATCATAGAAATACCGATGGTGCATTTATTCCTAAAAAAGAACTGCTTCCCATCACCTCTAGTCGTCGTATGTTTTACATATCTAATTGCCAAGTAAGAAAGTTTGCTAGAAAAAAAATTCTCAAGACTTGCAAAAAGTTCATTTTGTTTTATCACATCGTATTCACGATATTTCATTCGGCTATATAAACATTTCACGAATATTAAAATTACATTAGAAATTCTGTAGTCTTTACAATTTAGAAAGATTACAATCGAGCAAATTATTAGTATATAATTCTTAATGACCCGGCTGTTATTCCAGGAAGCCAAAAGAGATTGGCTGTCGACGGGGGTCTAACTGAAATCTTGCGGGCTTCAGCCTGTCTTTGACGCTTCTGGCTTCTGACCTGAAATTAATAGTTAGCTGGTTTGGTTAATATGACTAGCATAAGATTGGTACTGAAGAACATCGCATGAGATTTTGAACATATAGCCTACCTACCCACCAGATCGAGATTTTTCTTGGACACTTTAGACTCTTTGCTTCAACTCGACCCAGTTTAGCGTAGCAGTCTTCAGTACTTGATTTTGCAAAACAGTGTCGCTCATTATTTTGTCCAAGTACGTTAGGCCGTCCTCATGTTCTTTTAGCTTGTGTTGCTTGCCAAAATAGTAGGTGGTGTAATGGTCTTCTGTTCTCCTCTATAACTGTCCAACACATTCAAGTCGTTTGCTCTTTTTCACAGTTGTAACAGGTTTTAGATTACTATATAACCAGTCGCTTGTTTTATAATCTTTCAATGCAAATTCGAAACCTTCTTAACCGCAATTACGTTATGCAGAAATCCAAGTTCGTTTTAATCTCAAATCTTCATCCATATCATTTTCAAATTGTCTTTCAAAATGGTAAACCATTTTAATCATGATAGTACAAACCTTTTACATATCAAATTATTTTGCTTTCACCGCAGTTTGGTTGTGATAATGTTTCATTTCTGACTGTCTTACTATCTCTTCTCCTCCTATATCTGATAACATACATTTGACCGCATCACTGTTTAGTTCGGTATTACCTATTATGGTTTGCTATAAATTCCTTTCGCGGTATTACCTTTGTCAATCTTACACAGATTTCTGGCCAGAATGGTTATGGGTACGTTTAATTTAGCCTGTGCTATGTAGAAAAAATCCTGCATCATAGTCGCTTTTCATAGTTTTTGTTCACAGTTTTCTCTGCAAAAGGTGCTCATTCAGGAAGAGATTACATTCGTCGTAGTGCTCAACGTAATAGAAAATAGATCTACAAGGACGGAATATAAATCTAATGAATTGTTTAATTTGCAGGGCTATGTAATGGAAATCTTGTTGACATTCCTGTCTGCTGTTAGTTGCGCCTTTGCAGAGGCCCCAAAGCCACACTTTGAAGATTTTCTTTACAGCGGCATGGACAACCAAAGCATGGACGATCTCCTATTGCGCCTTCCAGGCTGCAGGGCCATAGACTCTGCAATGACTGGCCACAGTAGGTCATACAGTACAGATTTCCAATTAGGTTACCCCTTAAGGCAGCGATCTGGCAGTGAAGGGCACCTGCTGACCAACAACCATAAAAGGTAAGATGTATTCTGATGTTATGAATGTAACTTGTTTTGCATGAATATGAATAAACATTTTGAATTAGCAATTAATGTAACGGTCGGTTATGTAGACTGCCTTAACCCAAAATATTTCGCTCATTTTGATATTTTTAAGTAAGTTTGCTAGCCGTGTTGCAAAACTGGTAAAGTTTATTCGATATAAAGGCACAAATATTAACGCAAGTGTCGAAAGAAAAACACACCCAAGCCGAGCAAGGGTTACTGTTTAACTTGACTCTGTCATGTTTTTTATCTTTGCCTGACTAGTTGGAACGATTTTTAACCACTTTCCCACAAAACAAAACCATAAGACTATTTCTTTCATTGACATCCATTTTCTACGACTCTCTGCCCTCATCTTTAGTTTTAGTGGTCTTATAATACTTATTTTTAAAGACCTTTGATTTTTAAAGAATTTTTGAGATTCGTTTTAATCAACTTTTGATCATAAACCTAAAATATGCAGTCAACCTATAATTTAGTATGGTTTTTTGAATCGCAGGAGGACGTGCTTTGTACCTGTTATTCAATCTATTAAATCCTAATGCTTTGTTTCTTAGATATGCCAGCGAGCTCATCCTGTCGCGCCCTGCTAGTTGCCATGTTGCCAATGTCCCGTCACTGAAGGAGTTGACTGACTTCCAGCAGTTGCCGAAGAGCCCCTTGGATATGCTTGCTCGTCTGTTCTGGGTAGGCGTCTCCCTGCTGGAATCAGATTTCGATCATGAATTCGATATGGCCATCAGCCTCATAGAAAAGGTAGCTATTAACTCCTTTTCGTCGTTGTTTCGCTTTCATTTTATCTGCCAGGCATGCCCCTAGAACTACAGTATGGTCCATTAAATTATATACCTCGGAACAGATAAGCCGGAAAAATATAGTTGAAACAGTGAATTTTCTTAATCCTAGAAGATCTATGCACACTGTTTTACCAAACGAAGCATACCGCTACAATAAGAGCACACCTGTGCTACTCTTCCTGATTTTCTTCACAACAAACCAGTCAAGTGTGACGCTGAAAAATTGTTCATGAGATTAGTATTCACTTACAAAATATATTTATAAGAAGATTTGCTTTAAAGGGAGAGCTTTCTTTTTTTCAAATCTGAATGTGCAATGATCTCTATTCTTTATTTTAGCTAATCCGTCTTTCTAATTTCTTTGTTAAAATTTAAGCATATGCACACTTTTTAGATCGTCAGAAGCATAATGCTTTTCAGTAGCCCAATGCTACTCAGTCCCTCCTGGATGTTTGTACTGATACAGAAACTGTTCTTGGCTACACCAAACCAAATGCTGTTCTTGACAAAACGAATCCTGTTCGTTGTTGTCCACATGTTGTATTTATTTGATTTTTACTCAAGGTGCTGCAAGCCATGGATTTAAGGAAATCGGAAGGATTGGAGAGGGTTGAGAAGATATTTGGCAAGCTCAACTGGCACGGCTTTCCCGGGCTGCAGTCTCTTTTGCTCAAAGTAAATATACTAATTATACACCTGTAATAAAATTGCGAATTGTTGGTTCCAAATTTTATAATTTTTATGGATCTATGTTCGATTATTGGAAACAGAACTTGTTGTTAGCAGTAATCGTAATAGTGTGGAATTAACTTGTTTATATGATTAAAAGGTCGTTCAAATTGATTAAAAAGCAGATAGGCCATTAGTCCTTTGAATAGTATTAACCTTAATCTCCGCCAATTTTACTTTTAAAGGTGATTAAATTGCTATCAGTTTGACACATACTGATTCTTTTCGTCTGATACGCTTCAGAATATCCAACGTCAGAACATTGATCGAAAACTCCAACCCTGGCAATAAATACATCTAGTTAAGGAGAATCCAGAATGAAGGAAGGAACAGATAGACAAGATACCTTGCTGTTAAAATGCCAATGAGTAACCATTTGTATGTTTGCTTAACAGCTTTATGTTGCCCTCTCTTTGTATTAATTTTTTGTACCCAAATTTTTTTGAAAAAACGGACAACGAGCTTGCAGATGGGACTTAGGGACAGTATAATGAGTGGCCAAAACCAATGATGATGCTATGATATACTGCAGCATTGATTCCTTTCTTTATAATTGTCTTTGTGGATTTCAGGGACTGACTTCCTCTGTCACGGCAGACTCGACACTTCATTTGCTGGCAAAGCTTACGACGATGACAAATATTTCAATCATAGATCCATCTCCAGCATCAGGTTTGCCTACAGTAATCAAATAGCCACCTTACTTGTGTTCATCCTTTATCAATCAAAATCAGTTTGAAACTAATAAGAAAAGTGCGAATCCATCTGTGATTAAGCCAAAACCCTATGTTTCACAATGTTGAAATTTTTTAAATTCTGATTTACTTCAAAGTAAAGAATTTTCTTGTTAACCTGCATAAAGTTTTTATTTCCTGGTAAGTTTCTTCTGGGTTTTTCGAACTTTGTGCCTTCCATATTAATAATCAGTATGATATTTAATGTATCAAAATATCATTAAAATTATCAAGAATCACAATGCAGTTCTTGTCTCTTCTCTATACATATATCTTCTGTATACCGATCTCATGTGTTTTGATAGGTTTGTCGTTAAACATTTTGGCCTTGCTTCCAACATTGATCAATCATTTTGATGAAGTAAATGAGCACTGCGCGATGATTGCTGGAAATATAGCCAAGGTATGTATGATAGACTTATAAAGATAAGATAACTGATAAAATATCAGAGATCAAACTGCTTTATAATATCGTTGAATAAAGACACGTCGCTAGTCATTAGTTCCAAAGAAGGATTTTTATGTTTTGTACGCATGTATTCTGAATAAGTTAAAATTGGTAGATCAAACCTTTCTACAAGTACTATCGCTTAGGAGTGACTTTGATTTTTGGAAAATATTTAAAAAGGTAGCAAGACTTTTTTCTTCTCGCACGAAAATCTATCCTAGGGCATCTTTATGCTTTGTTTTCCTATATTTTCATTTTGCTTCGCTAAGTTGTAAGTATTTAATTCTATTTTTCTCCACATCGCTTGATTTCACAAAATTTTGCCAAGAGATTTGATGAGTTCCAAGAATTTCCTTGAAATGACGAAATTATGTTATAGGCTTGTGAAATCGACAAATCGTTATCAAATCTTGGCAAGATCATGATTCTTTACAAAGAGAAAGAGTATTCAAAGCCAGTGCAAACTTGGATAGAAGTTGTCTGCAAATACATTTTGGATGTGTTCCCGCACTTGAGCACGACAATGCTCGCATTGCTTGTGGAGGTATGTTTAGTATTGAGTCAGTTCCATTCAAAGTTGTTTGATATTACAGTTTTATGTATTTGAAGTTGTCTGCAAGTACATTTTGGATGTTCCCGCACTTGAGCACGACAATGCTCGCATTACTTGTGGAGGTATGTTTAGCATTAAGTCAGTTCCATTCAAAGTTGTTTGATATTACAGTTTTGTGTATTTGAACTGTCAAAAAGGGCCATTATTTTGAAGAGTCTGCCAAATGATTTTTTGTTTCTGGCAGTTTAATGCAGTTGCCTGATAATCACGTTCAACGTGAAACTCAGAGTGGCAATTTAGAACCGTCCTGTTCTGTACACCGCTCTGCCATTTCGGCGTGGGACACTTTATGAAACACCATTGAAACATTAATTTTCGTTAAATTATGCTGTATATAATTTTGATATACTTTGAGTTCGAACATTTAATTTTTAAAGTTTTTATTGCATTGTAAAATCTTAGATGGTCAAATTTTTTAAGGCAGGGTTTCGGGTGTTCATCTTGAGTAATTTTTCATCCTTTGGCTATAGATTCTTGAACAAGGGCCAACACAATTTCAACAGCCAGTTCTGAGAATGATTTGTGCAATTTTGAAGTACTCTGATGCATCTTCCCCTGGATTAAAGCAATTTCATGGTCATTTGCTAAAGGTTGTCACTGCACACGTTAAGGTACGTAAATGTAGCTGAAAATGAAATATTTATCAGATTCTTTTAGTTCATAATTGTTTAGAACTTTACCCCACTTAACAACTAGCTCATAACCGTCACAGTAACGTTAGCCTTGATTCCCATTCTCTATACTAACCATAAACTGTTTTTCATAGGACGTCAATTTGTGGAAGGAATCACTCAATATATTGAAGCTGGTTGTATCGAACTCGTCCCAGATTAATGACGATTTAGGCCTAGATGGTCAAGCTAGTTCCCAAAGCAGCATTCGTTCTTCGATACTGTTTCAGCCGCGAGCTTCTATGGCCTCACTCCTGTCAGTGGCTCCGAAACTACCTTGGGGTAGTAGCCTCACACTGGCTGAGAATGCCTTTTCTGTTTCTGGACAAAGTTTCCGAAGGGAACTACCTGGGCGCACGTTGGAATTTACATATGATGTGACGGCCACGCCACTGATTGGCGCCAAGTTTGATCGGGGCTCAAAGGATGGTCTGAATGAAGGCAGGACTGATGATTCTTCGGGTTCTAGTTCTACTGCAGTGTCTTGTTGGAGAAAACCGCATGGATCTCAGGTTTGCTTGATACTTTAATCCAATTCAATCGCTATGAACATTATTTTTCGAGCTAAGTAGAATTGTATAGTTTACGTATAAATTTTCCTTTATGACTTACATTTATTCAAACCATCATCAAACTGATGGGCAACGATTCCTTTTGGCCAGAAGCTACGTACGTAGTCGGGCACTTGACTTTTGCTTATTGTAGCCAGACAGACCATTTTGGAATGGCCCGTGACAATTAGCGAATTGATAAACGCGACAACTAATTCAAGCATTCTGTATACAGTGACATGTATAAATTCAGTTCTACCACTATAAACAGTAAAAATTCAGTTCTATAATTGGGTTCAATAATTTCTTGGTCTCTATATTGAGAGAACTTATTCTCATAAATAACAATGGCCAATTTCAACGTACGGGTTAAAATATTCAATTGAAATTTCTGTTTAGAAAAGGACGCGGGAAAGATTGGTTCAACTGTTGCCGCTATGTGGCCACAGGGGTGCATTGAAGTCAAGTTTGTCAGTAATTTTCAGCTCCTCCAGTGATCTCGCTGTTGAAAGCAAGCACGCAGCGTCCTCAGGTGAAGCTTCCGGAGATGAGCAGGGTGATGACAAAATGGACGAGACTGGCTTTTCTGGAAGACAAGTAAGTTTTCTCCCAACCTGATCGATGCATTTTGTTATTGTTAAACTTGATAAGTGAATCAGGAATTTCATTCGTGTTTCACAATGAGATAAAGTCCCCAGTTAAGGTTATCTTTTAAGTCCACGATTTTGTCTATTACACGATCAAACTGTAGGAAACTTTTGAAATTGTATCAATATTGTTCATTTGTTTTTTCTGTTCTACAGCTAAGAAATGTTTTCACTGAGTTTGACTTCCTGGATGACGAATTGGATAAAGAAAGTGAAGACATGAGCAGCTTTGGGTGGGCCTCAACTACTGAACTGCGAAAGGATGAGTCTTTGGAGAATCTCCGCAATATGCCATCAACCTCAAGATCAGGTAGCGAAGAAGAACTGAGAGAGATAAAAGATGACGATCTATCGGATGAAGATGAATCAGTGGTATGACAATTTGCCGTTTCTTTAACAAACTCTGTTTACTTCTCTAAACGAATTATTTTTGCTTTCAACGTATCTTTATCTTCGCCACAATTATAGGAGTAGTGTCACTATTTTTTCTCTCTTCCATTATAACAATGTTGCTTTTTTGCAACACTCAGTAGTTGCTCGTGGAACCGAAAATGCCAAAAGTTGTTTTAATAATTGTTTAATTATGACATTGCTAGCTTTGAAATTGAATTTTGTAACTTCCCCAATAAAGTTCTACAAAGCCAAAACATAAGGGTCTTCGGTATTCATAAAATGTCCAGCGATGTTTTTCTATTCCTCCAAAGGCACTGGTTAACAATCATTGTTTTTCTCTTCCAGTACGGATCGTCCATTGCTTCTGTTTTGACGTCATTGAAAGAGTCTGCAGTAGACGAAGACTTTGAAGAGAGTGACCACGAAGAATCTCCAGTACATTCAGTGATGGAAGTAAGAACGGACCAAGTGGTGAATGACAAACCTCAGCCAAGCCCGGCATCCATCTGCAGGTATATCACTGCTTTCTAATCCCTAAATGAATTCACATATGATGTTTTTTGAAAAGAAAACCATATTATGTAGCTGTCTTCTATAGGAAGATCGTTACAATGGCTAATCAGGTGCATAACAAATATGAGGCATAACCCATATTTTGCAAGAAAATAAAGGCATGAATAGTTTACAGTACAAAGAGACACGCGAATGAAAGGCTTATAATCTTCTTTAGTAGTGATCACACGCCTCCTAGCCTGTAGATTGTACAAAAAAGAGGGAGCACTTTGCTTACATGATAAACTATTTGGGTCAGAACTCTTCAGAGTATGTAACTCTACCTAAGAAGTTTCATATCATATGTGGGTAGAGGCTATCACCTACAAATATGCCAGGATAGGTATTTGTGAATATTGGCTGAAATTTTTTTTCAGTCAATATTTTCGTTATGACTGCACTTTATTCTTTCAGTGGATTCCATAACAAATTTTGTAACCAGTTACTGAAAGTTTTCTAATTGTTAATAATAATGATTTCATAACGAAAATAATGATGAATTTTTAGAGCATTGATCAATTTACTCCGCCTTTATGACTTTTGATAGACCTGCATATATTACTGACTCTTAAATTTGCTTCGTAGCTATACTTCCACCCTTGATGGAATGGAGGAACAAGTCAACGATATCATTACAGAGCCTACTCCGGGTGAAGAAAAAGAGGATCTTTTCGAGGAATTGACAGAACCGAGAGCACACATCCCTATATTCGCTGTTGCAGCATACGACGAGGTTCCTTCCCGTTGGTCACTCTTTGTTACATCATTTATGTCCGCCCCAACTATCAAGTCGGCTGTGGAATCGATGCCTTATTTTCCATTGATACTCAAAGCAAGTTGTTGTTGGCTGCAGAGTCTGACACGAGACTGTTGTGAAGAATTTCAGGCCCATTTAGAAGCAATTAACGAGCGTTATAAGATCGTAACGCAGAAACTTGAGAGTCAGCTTCATATGCCTTACGTCTTTATTGACAAAGATACGTTTGAAAAGGCCGAACTGTTGGCTAGGCACAAATCAACAACACTAAAGCTAAACGAAAGCATTCGAGTACTGCAAGAAAAGCGGGAACAGGCTTTAGAGCAACTGGAGTCAGTACAGAGACACAAGAATCGTGCACAAGACAGTGACAAAAGTTATAACTTTCAATTCTTTGGCCCGGATAGCGATAATCTGCGGACGAAAAACAATCCCTTACTTCGTGGACTGGCGAATCTTGGCTCTTGTTTAAATCGATTACACGTGCAGTTCATACTTTGCTTAGAGATATACCTGGGGTACCTCTCCAAGATTGTCAAGTCTACACAAAAATTAGAGGTTCAATGCTTTTTAGAATTATTGTTGATTACCAAATAAGCCTTTCATCTTCTCACGTTACTTTCGATCCTCCTCCGGGGACACATTTTCTGCTTGACGTCAATATCCGACGTTTGTTTTCAGAGTATGCTAGGTTGCTGCGATTCCGTGCTATCTTCAAATCCTTAATTACTTGGTTGCTTATTTGCAGATAAATACCCGTTTTGAAACATGAGAAATGCTTAAACAGTCTATTCCTTACCTAATATATAAGTTGTTCTTTAACAAAGATTTTTAAATATTTGAAAAACCACTAATGTTTCATTGGATAAATATGTTGAAATATACTTAAAAATTCGCTTTTTGCTAAAGGAATACAATCCTATACAACTATCGATATTAATAAAGGTTTGGGCTTGGAGTCCTCATTGTAACACTTTCTCAATGCACCGTTTTCTAGCCATATGAAACCTATTATCGTTTTAAGGAAAACGATCACCTCTAGAGGATTTCTTCCTCAAAGCCATTGAAGTGAACATAAATCCTTTCAACATACTTGTCATCTCTGGCTGTGTAATACAAGAAGCTAACGTCTCATGAAGAATTCAATTGATACTATATTGAGTACACAGATTTTAAGTCAATATGCACTATGACCACATAATATTCTGTGCTATGACCTTATTGAGATTGCTAGGAAACAATAATTAGACTGGTCTTACACTCAAGCCACGTAAATGTGGACAAACGTGTTGATGGTACTAGACTATTGTTAATCGAATCAGGAAATCTAATATCGGACATTTGCGGATAGATTGCTCTGCTAATTTGTGTTGTGAGCGAGGCGAGCCATCTACGAATACAGCCATCCCGCCGTAATATTTAGAGATTTTTAAAAATTTGTTTTTACTACATGGATGGAAATGGTTGATCGTCTACCTAATAAAGTTGTAAATATTTAAGCCTTTTTTCTGATATTGTCAATCAATCCTTATTCTTATTTCCCAAAATTTCTTGACCTTTTAATGTGAAGTGTGCTATCTATCCTGAAAATAAATAGCCTCGTAAATTAACAACCGCTTTTCCATTATAGGCTAACGATCTTTCGGATGAACTCATTGCAGCCGAAGAAAGGATTAGAACGCTTAAAGTGCTGCCAACACATAGCGAAACAAAAGAGAAGCCAGAATTTCAAAAGGAGGCAAGCAAAGACGATGTTAACACCGACATTTGTCCTGGAGAAGGAGAAATTTCTGGTGTTCGTGATGTTGTAACTCAAGAAGGAAACAATGCTGAAGATTCAGCACCTCATGAAGTAGCCGTATCAGAGGCCACGTGTCAGGAGGAGGCTAATGAAGATGAACTGGATATCCCGTATGTTGAAACTCAGAAGAAGATTGAAGATAATGCGCAGAAGGAAATAACTGAATGTGCTGAGGTAAACGCAAGAGATACATTTCAGACAATCTCCGATTGTAATGACATTGATAATAATTCAAAAAGCTTTGCTGATAGGAATTCGGAAGAGTTAGAGGCTGAGTCCGCGGAAAGGGAAGTTGAAGTCGGTATAGAAAATTTGAAAATCGTCGATGAAGATGCGATGAAAGCGATGTCTGACTGCATTGAAGCTTTGGCTCGTGAAGCTGACAATCCTAATGTTGCAGATAATACCGAAGTTACACAAATCTCCGATGCAAATACGATGCAAGAGGAGCAGGAGAAGGACGGAACTGATGTAACATTAGTCGATTCGCAGGATGTGATAGAGGAAGAAAACGAGGCAAATATCTCCGTTGCTGAGTTGAGACTGAATTCAGCCATGTACCTACATGACAAACCACCAACAATAGAAACCATGCTTGAGAAAGTTATAATTTCTTCAAGCTTCTTTGAGGAAAAAGGAAAAGACCAAACTGAGGTAAACGAGGCAAAGAAATTTGAAGAAGTTCGAGTAACTGAAGAGGAAATTATTGATAATGAGGATTCTTCAAATGATGAAGAGGTCGAGGAGCTAGCAAAATTATTGTGTAAAAGTGAGGAGGGCAAGGTTTGTAACACCATCGACACTGAGGAAGAAGAACAATACGAAATTCGTATAAGTGATGTGCACACGGACATGGATATGTCGTCAGTGCTGTACCATGTCCAGTTTTTAGACGACCGGCAAAAACAAAACGCCAAGGAAAGTGACGTTTTGACAATGGAGAGAGTTATGGAGAAGATAGCTAGCTCGATGGATGTTGGACAATTTAAGGATGCTCTTGAGCTTCTTCGTAGCTTCAGAGGCTACCCTGATGTCGAGGATGTAGTAATTGACGATAACGAAAAGGATATATTGATGGTTTTGTTTGCCAAAAACCTGTTAAAGAACAAAACATCTGTGTTTGCAATCACGAACTCCCTTGAAGGACTGGCTGATACTTGTGATCAATTAAGCGAGTGCATGGCAGAAATGCTTGCCTTAATATGTGTAGAAAATGAGAAAAAATGTTAATAATTGTTTATGAGTATTTAATTCTTATTGTGATAGAGTGACTTATTATTAATTGAAGCAAAAACACACACAGAAAATCAGACAAATTTGAAATTTACCTTCGATCTATCCTTCTTCATTCATGCTGCATTTGAGAGAAAATTCTTCGTGACGTCATTTTGGCTCGTCAAAAAGGAAATTATCTTTCAGACCCCAAAACAAATAGCTACAATAATGGAGCATAATGCCTTTGAACGACATGTAAACCTTTATTTTTGCTTCATGGACATTAGAAGATGCTGGCATTTATTTTTTATTAACAATCTCCCCACATTGGACCCAGTCCTTCTATTGTTCCCTGTTTATTCGCTCTTTTAAAGGGTTTACCATTACAAAAAGGTCGTCTGATGCAATTTTCTACCGGTTTACTACAACCTACAAACCTAAAGGAGATTGACAGTTTTTTTTATTGAGTTCTTTCTTTGTTGCTTCAACGGTAGTTTGCCTGAAGTTTGATAACGTTTGTATTATTTTGTTTTGTTTATGTGCAGATTATTTCATCATTCAATTTTTTAGAGTTAGTTTAAATTGTTCAATACCGTTCCAAAATTTTTATTAACTCACTTGTTATTGTCAAATGGCAGTTTTATTGCAAAAATGTATTTAAATTAAAATGTTACAAATTCGACGCTTTCCTTTCAACATTTATTTTATACCTTTCGAAGTCGCATGAACTTGTTTCTTTTTGGCAATCCTACTTTTCAGTAACACTCGGTTTCAAACCCATGTAGCCATTATCTTTAGTCCATGAAATACGAAATAGAATACGACTCCTTTTCTTGATTTGCGGAATTGCTACATGCTGGTGGCTCCGGGTCAGTCTACAGATGCCGCAAAAAAAATACAATGGTTCATTGTTAGGCTCCAATTCTTACTTTGGTAGAGGACTATATACCATCAGTCAAATATAACATAAATTCGTATTTCAATTCCAATTTAGATCCATTCTAATTCGATCTCTTATGGGTCAAATTCTAATTCCAGTAGTAAACTGTAAACTTCGATCAAATGTAACGGAAATTCTAATTTCAATAAATTGCTAATAATTGAAAAGAATCTTCATTTGCTAGGCTGTGAAATGTGCATGTCTTAGGCAACTATCATACTATAAACGGATGTTTTGATGCTCATCATTGCACAAGTCAGAGGCAGTCTGGCATGATTGCAGGGTCTCTAGCAGGCAAAAACAAGCCAAGCTGGAGGCGAGTTAGAGAAGTCCTTTTAACCACACCCTTTGAAAGCAATAGCGATTAATAAATACATTGATAGTAAGTTGTTAGTCATTTGAGAAACAGTTTTCACATATTCCTGACCTTATTTCATTAGTTTAGTACACTAGATACGTAATTATACTTAAATGAATATCAACCGTATTTAGCAGCATTCATAATTTAGACTGTTTACCAAAACTGTAATGTCAGGGACAACTGAAGTCACGATAATTTCCAAAAATGTACTTAAAACCACATATTTTGGCCCCAGCACTTTTAGGCCCCCATAAATCCATCCTTATATGCTCCGTGGATCACCAGTGGGGCGTAACAGTAATAGCCTAAATTTTAAGAGAAATAGCAAGATTAGAGAACAGAGAAATATCTTAATTCTCAAAACACAAGCAAATTAGTTGAAGTTATAGTAAATGATAGACTGTGAGAATTCACCGAAAAAACTCAATGCACCGAGGACACCCAGGGTGGATTTTGATTTTCCATTATTCATGATTTTTTTTAAGAAAAATACTTGAAAAACATGTATTCATTAATAAATTCAGGTACATAAAATAAAATTTTACGTACACTACGGTGAATACGTTTACGTGCAAGGAAGAGGTACGACAGGGATTTATGTTAAGCCCACGATTATTCATGTTTAAGCATTTCAACAAAATTTAGCGTTTTGTGTTTTTGTGGCTCTTCTATGGCTTCTCGAGTGAATGAAAGAGTAAAAGTAGCAGAAAGTATTCCATAACGATATATCAGGTTATGTGGTCAAAATTGAAAAATCCTGAAATTTTATTTTCGTGGCGTCAAAAGCTTGTAGCTCTACTGTATAAGTTTCTAGAGAATCAGCTGTTTGGGTGAAGGGCTGTCCTCTCCTTTGTTGATAAATATTGATATCTGTCAGTGAAAATGAAACGAAATGAAAATGCAGTTTGGAACGCAGCCTGCGTGAACAGAGGAGCCGGGTTGAAAACAGTAGAGTCAGCACGCAGGCTATTTGGAACGCGGTTTGGAATCCTGACATGGTAATGGTCGTAATGGTAAGTACCAAGTACAGGTCTTTCCACCTTTATAGCAGATGCGCCTTAAGACACCGAAATTCCTCGAAAATGGCGGGAATGCGATTAGGGAAGCCACGGATTGTGTTTGCAGTATTTCTTCTTGCTGGCTGTGTTGCATTTGTTAAACGCAAAGAGCTGATGCCAGAGGTCTTTGAGAGAAACAGAATACTGAGGGAAGAAAGCATTGAACAAGCTGCTGCTTTCAGAGAAGCCATGAGGAAGCGAAGAAAGAAGGATGAAAATGATAATTAGGCATTTGCTGTTTGTTTTTCTTCAGTCTTTGGTGATTAATTGAGTTTTTAGAGTGATATAGACACGATTAAGAGTGTGAACCTGTACTGCAGTTTTTGTTTTCTGGCTTGCTTGGTTGAGTGTTTGGCAGTACAATCCATAATATTAAGTGAGAAATCACACTGAAAATTTTAAAAAGGAAGCCACATCTTGGTGTTTGAGAGTCTAGAAGAAGTTAGAAATTTAAATCTTCCACGAAACAATGACATCCACTCGATCTAAAAGTAGAAAGTCACAAAAAAGCTCTGAAAAAGAAAATTCTGCTTTCTCTAATTCAAGTCAGTCAACTAAATTTCCCAGGGAGTCTTTATTTGATTTTAATGACTCTGATGAAGAACAATTTGATGTCAAGTCGTCCAAACGGTCATTTCGAGTAAAGAAAGGCAGCAACTCTGATACTGGAATTAAAAGTAAGAAAGATTTGAAAGGTAGCAAAAAGAGGGCTCCAAAGAGTGTTGCTGGAGGATCTAAAGCCAAAGAAAATACACACCAAAAACAAGAAAAGAAAATTTCTTCAGTTCATAAAGATGATCTTGCAGTATCTTCTTCAATTTACCAAACAAAAACTTCAGACTTGCCAGAGAAGAAATATAACAGGCATATTGATATTTCAATTGTGTCGAATGAAGATTTTCTTTGTGACAAAGAAATTCAACACAACAAAGATGGGGAAAAGAAAAAATTGGATGGACCCATTGCCACCAAAGAGGAGGTGTTGCGCATGGCTACATCAACAGATAACTTGGAAAGAGAACCAAAAACAATTGTTTTCAAAGGCAGTTCGGAAAATACTGAGGATGCTATAGAGTCGCATGTGAATGATAAGATAGATATTGAGAAGAATGCTTCAGATAAATGTCCACTTTGTTTGAAGAATTTTCCAGCTTCATCAACTGATTATGATATGAATATGCATGTAAATGCATGTCTTGATGGTGAAAATGGTAATGATAATGCCAGGAGTATTGCCAACACACCAAAAATAACAAATACAGAAAATAATAAAGTAAGTATAGCTAAAATGGATGACAAAGAGATCTCAGATGAGAAAATGGCAAAGATTTTACAAGAAAGAGAAGATGAAAAAGCAGTTGAAGAAAACTTGACTTGTAACTTACACTTTTGTGCCATTTGCCAGAAAGATCTTAACCACCTTAGCACTGATAGCAGGCAGATTCACTTGAATAAATGTGCTGATATTTCTGAGAAAGAGACAGCAAGCATAAGAAAGGCAGAAATCAAATCAGCAAAAGAAAATAGCAAACAGTTTGAATGTATCATTTGTGGTCTTTTGTTTTCAACTATGCAGGTACATACAAATTTTGGTACTGGCTTCAGTTTTTAGGTGTTCCCAATTTTGTCTGTTCTACAAAACTTACTCTCAATATAGCTGCTTATTTTTGTTGGTATTTTAAGTTGAATGCCATAAGGTTTCCTGTAGCTTTTTAGCAACTTATTTTCAATTGTAACTTTTCCAATCTGATAAAAGTTTTTGTGTTCATTGAGAGGAATTTCATTATTTTCTTGCCTCCTGTTTAGCAAAAAATTAGTCATATGAAACAATGCAGTAGAGAGAATAAGGTAGACCAAAGAGAATTGCTGAAACTTGTCAAAGAGACAAATGAAAAGTCTCTCAATGCAGTGCTAATGAGCAGTCAAAAGGAATCTGGTAGTGCACTAGTAGATGGGTAAGCTCCTTGATATTACAATACCCAATGCACCAACTGCTTTAAGTTGTATGTATAAAAGTTTGAATTAGACTGTTTTTAATTTTTGCAAACATTTTTTCAATAATAATTTGATTTTGTTTTGATTTTTATTATTTTTTCTTTGAGCTTGAGACAGATGTATTTATTTTGAATCCTATTCTCAGTTCCAACAGCAAAAAGCAGAAATTTCATAAAAGAAAGGGAAAATCAAGAAGGAAGATCAGGCTAGTATTTTGCAAGCTTCTTTTTTTTAGAAATGATGCATTATTAGAAACTATTAGAATGAAACAGCTCTTAAAGTAAAGTGCCTCTTCAACTTGCCCAATAATTTTTTGAACACCTGGGTGTGTTTCTGCTTCAATATAGTATGTTGTTTAAATTATGCTTTTTTCAGTACACCCAATGTAGGCAAAAATAACCCTTTCCATGGAGTAAAAGAAATACTGTATTTTTTAGAAATGAAGAAATACCAGTCCTTCTCACAAGAAGTGAAGCAGATGCCAAGAAAATTGCAGCATCTATAGCAAATAAGATAGTGATGGAGCAGGTATGAAAGTTGCAATATTTACATTTTGTAGGTCTTTTTACGCTAAACCCTTTTCTTTTTTGCACTACCAAGGGTTTTTGCTTTACGGTAGTTTTGGACTTCACTTTGTTTTGTTATCCACTGTTTTAAGGATCTTAAGGCTGAAATACACTGTCCTTTTTATGTCTGTTTTCACCTTAAGGATGAAAAAACTGTACATGAGAAAGAAGGACCATCAGTCATCATTTCCCTTTAACCTATGCAAGTTGGCTGTGTTCAATTTTTGCAGCGAAAAAGAATAGGATTTTCTTTTGCCTTTTTGACAAGGCGCTAAAACCTCTTGTCTCAAATGTCTCCATATTATGTCAAGACGTCTCTGGTCTAGAATCGAACAGTTCTCTAAGTTTGGTACGATGTGGTATAGACTAGAGAATCTCTCACCACGGTGATCGGCTGAGAGTTTCTTCCAAAACTTCAGGGCTCATTCTTAAAAACCTTTCATATTCGAACCGATCCTCCAAGTGAAGTTCATTTGGCAATGTTGCAAAAACCCCTAGCTGTCTACCTGATTTTGTCGCTTGGCAGAAAGTGCCAGTAGTAAACAGGGAGCAGCTACTTTCTTTGTTGGCCTACCTATGACAAAAGAATGAAAATAAAAAGGGCTCTTTTCTAAAGGATATTTGTAAACAGCTTACAGTCATCCCTTTTTCACCCTTTAGGTGAAAATGACTGTATATTTCAGCCTTTAGATTTTTACTTGTTCATCTGCCCAATGTTCCTTTTTAATTCTGCTTATTGATCTTACAGAGAGACCCCATTAGATTTATTGTTTTTCTGTCTCTGGTGATTGCTTTACAAAATCAGTGTCTGTTGTGTGTATTCTTAATTTTTTGCTATTAGGCATCTAATTTTGATATTATTGTTCTAAAACAATGAAGAAATATTAGAAATTAGCACAGATTTAATGGAAATTCACACAAAATATAGAGACAGCAATGTTAAAATTCAAAAGGGCTTTTCCATGGCTTTTATTTTGGACACTCAGATATGAATAGTAGCCTTGGTTATATTCACAACAAATGTTGCTTGAAAACTTGTGACTGTAAGCAAAGTGTTAATCTAACTAAACAAAGCTAAATTGGACAGTTTGGCAAATTCAATGTGACTGTAACCAAAAGTGTCACTTAAGAGTAGAACTCTGCAAGTTTCCATCCTGTTTTCCATGCAAAAGTATAGCATATTTTTATATTCTTAGTGCAGGCTATTGACATATATTGATAGCTTCTGCCTACAAACCTTAAATTTGTCTATCAGATGCATGTACCTGCTTGTTTGGACAAAGAAAACAAGACAAGCTTTCCACAAAGTTCACTGGAACGCAAGTACTGCAAAAATGCAAAGGATGCTGAAATTATAAGCTCTGCATTTACAGTTGAGACAGAAGGTAAGAAGCAATTTCACTTATCTTTACAAATTTTTGCTTGACTTTTAGTGAATAATATTTACTCTATTAAATATTTCCATAGCCCAAAAATAGTTAAGGATGATAGTTTATTTGATCTTTTTAATGGAAAAGTTTTAGCAAATCAACTATTCAAAATTTCGTGAAAAACTGAAAGAAATTCAGATTTTTGTGTTATACCCTCCCACTGCTATTCCATTAGATCCTTATTTTTGCTTTAAGTGAAAACGCATTATTGTTTATTTGCAGGAGGCACAGAAGAGACCAAAAGCGAACATCCTATAGAGCTGAAACCAGTAATTATTTTAATAAATAGTCTTAATCAATCGCATAGCTATAGCTATGTGCGTGTAACTTCCAAAAAAATGGAAATATGTCTCCATTGATGGTGAAATGATATTGGATCTTTGTAAAATCCAATTATTTGTTTATGTCCTTTTTTACCTTTCTAATAATATGATATATTCAAAGTGGGTAGCCTATAATAATTTATCTACAAAGAGAAAAATTCTTTACAATAGGGCCCACTGTCAAAGTAACGTAAAAATTAAATTCAAAAGCTAAAAGGAAAAAAAGTACATAAAAGCATTAAAATCCTTTATATATGTGTCCAAAACAGTTCTTAAAATGTGACTTAAATTGTCAAATGCTACACAGAGATGTTATTTCATCGGGTAATTTGTTCCATATCTGAGTAGCTCTTGCTTTGAATGTTAAAGAGGACCATCGGTTTTTTATACGTTTAACATATATCTTGTTGCATCTACACGATCTTGTGTTTTTCTGATGCACAGATGATGTTAATTCGATTTTTTTCTTGGAGATATATAGGTGTTAAATCATTCTAACCACTTTCTAGTTGATACCCTCCTGTTAATGGTTTATTTCGTTTTAGTTTCAGAAGAAGCGTCTTTGGGATCTTGCAGATAACTCGAAATCACTTGGAGAAACCGCTTGCTTTTACGTAGTTGAAATTTTTGGTGATGATTACATTAGGACCAAAAAGAGACTTACAATGAAAGCAAATACGCATGGGGCTGAATTACAAAAACATCATGCATTTGATGACGTAGATAGAGAAATACTGTGTGATAGTGATAAAGATGAAGAAACCGTAAGCAAGAAGCAATTTATCGATATTCCCTCCAGAGAAGAAGCATTGAATCAAAGTTTAGCGTTAACGCAGAGTGAGAAAACAGCGATCATCGAAAATCTTGGAAAAACATTCGCCGATGTTTGTGATAATGACGATGATACTCCAATTGATAAATCAAGGGAGAGTAAAGATATGGACATCGAAGAGCACGACAATGATCTCGGCAGTGGTTTTGTCAGAAATGAAATCAGTGATTACAAGGATCATAAGCAAGATGAGGTGAGATTATCTGTAAATGCTAAGAATTCTAGCCAGGAAATGATAAAATTTCACAGTTAAAGAAATTCTATCTATCATTATATTAATTTATTTTCAATCGCAAAAATTCTTAGAACTTGCCTAAAAGAGAAAACGTTGAGGTTTCACAGGTTTAAAGAAGATGTTGTTACTGGTATTTATTACGATGCAGAGTGACGATAGGATCCATTTAGTGAGTCTTAGTCACACCAAATATTGCTTGAAAACTTGTGACTGTAAAGGGAGCTAAATTGAATATTTCTGCATGTTTGGGTCTAGATTCTATGTGGTTGTAACTAGAAATGAGACTTGAAGCGGAGTGACTATAAATGGAGTCAACCGTAGCACGATTTTGTAAAAGATATATCGTTTTCTGTGTACATGTTGCCTAAGCTAATTATGATTTTGATAATTATAAACTAATTATGCTTGTAAATCATTTTTTATTTAGTTCTAATTTCTTTTCTGTAGAAATTTAGAAACCTGAAAGAAAATGTGCAGCTAACACTGATATCAAATATGAAGTCTTTGTTGCAAGACGTTATTTCATCAGATATGAAAATAAAGTGTGCTAATGGAAAAGAAACACATGCCCACAAATGTATACTGTTTGCTAGATGTCCTCAGATGCGAACGGTAAGAGCAATATCATCAGTATGCGTTTTAGGCCATTGAAATGTTGAAATAAGTGTAGATCTGTTACACTAGTTGCACTTGAACCAGGTCTTGCCCTTAAAATGACCATGCGATTATCATAACTTGTTGTTTGACCTCTTGTTAACCTTTTTATCCAAGCAATGCATAGCAAAACAGCCAATCAAGTAACACGAAACTGTGATTTAAATCAATCAGATCCATTGATAAATTTCTGATGTTTGTCCCATGCTAGGAATATCGTTATTCTTGACTTGCAAATCCTTTGATGCTTGCTAATGCATCTTTTAGGTAATAACTTCATCAAATAAAGCTTCTTAACCTGGACCTGATATTTAACATAGTTGAAATCCTTTCGTTGAATCGTGTTATTCAGAGCCATTCATTGTCTAAAACTACCAAATGGTCTTCAATGATCTTCTCGTTGTCTAATCTCCCAAATTGATTAGTGATAATGTTTAGTTGCACGAGTTACTGAATTTTACTATCAATGAATTTGCGATCAACTATTACAGGAACAAAGTCAAATGGATTTGACTGATTTTTCTGTGGAGGCAGTTAAATTTTTCCTTGCATTTATTTACTATGGTGAAATTGATGTGCGACCAGAAGTGGCAGTCGAGGTCTTCAAACTAGCAAGCCGGTAAGCATTTTAATGTCTAGCCTTTTACTTTTGTTTCGTTGCAGTAAGATTTAGCTTATTTTAGGCAAAGCAAATCTACTTTTTGGTAGGGATATGTTTAGAGCTATCTTGTGTTCGTTTACTTTTGCATTCTATCATTAATTGAGAGCTGTATTATTTTGATGTATGTATGTGCTAGAATGAAACAGCCAAACATTAGTGAAGTGCAGATTAGATTGCTGGACATAGAGAAGCGATAGATGCTATGTTTTGAATTGTTTATGGATCTTCTCATAATTGTTTTACACTCTTCAATCCACAACTGCTGAGAAATTATCTAAATTAAATCAGTTCAATGAAATTGCAATGCATTACAGTTTCAAAATATCTTTGTATTTGGATGCATGTTTTGTACGATTGTATTGATTTATTCAATACTCTTTCGTGCTTAATTGTGGGGGGGGGGGATCAAATTGCATATTTTGAAATGTTCCACCCTCAATAGCTTATTTCAATGCCCCCTAAATTAAGAAAACTATGAAAAAGATCTCCCCTATTTAATTATCACCCTCCAATATTAGTGACTCGAGCTTCAAAAATATACAATAAACGAGGAACAAAATGCATCGGTAAGCTGATAAACACAGTAACTTTAATATCAACCATAAAAAGCAAATGAGCGATCTTTGGCTGCCATTCCCATATTCTGCTATCCAATGAATCTGCCCACCGAGTCATTTTATTTAGATCCCCACCCAAATTTTAAAAACATTCAGAGAAATACCTACCCCTGCTTATTCCAGCCCCCAAAGCTGCAATTAAGTACGGAAAAGTACGTTTTTTGTGATGCATGATTATGTTCAAGTTATGTTTAGCCAGCCCTCCTGTTCTTCAGAGGTTTTCATCTATTTATAAGATAATCTTCTAATTTGTTTTTATGTTGTTTTTAGAGTTTTTTAATAGCTCAATGTTTCATTTTTTAGTTATTCAATGGACCCCCTAGCCGAGGCATGCCTTATGATTGGAAATGAGGCTGAATTGAAAGACGTCGATTTTTGCGAAGAAAGTTATTCTAAGAACACTAATGTGGATGAGGTAATGAAAAACTTGCTTGCTGACGATGATTATGATGGCGAGGAAGAGGGCGGTGATGAATATGCAAGAACCAATAGTGAAACAAAAGTAGACGAGAATATATTGGGCATTGGTGATTCTCCATTCAACGAGAGCGATGAAGAAGATCTAAGAGAGTTTTTTGTGACTCAGAGGGTACGACGAAATTCATTAGAAGATGATGTCGATAGTGAGAAAAGTGACTTGAATGAATTGGCTCAGTTGGCACCAGATGATACCCTTGATAATCAGAACTTAATTAGAGGTGATAACGATAACGATTGTAATGATTTTGATAGTAATGATTGTGAAGGCTGTGATCGTAGTGATGATAATGATTGTTGCGTTGATGGTAATGATACAGCTCCTGGACGCGATGTTGATGATCGCGATGATGATGGGGTGGTTTATGATTGCGATGATTGTGACGTTGATAATGAACGCGATGGTAACGAAGAAGACCTAGAAATCAAGCGGAAAAGTTGTGATAATAAAGAAAGGATATTTGTATCGGTTGATGATAGCAGCGCGGATAGCAAATACAGTCAAAGAGACGGAACTTCACCAAAGCAATCTTTATCGCAGAACCGAATGCTACCCAGTGATGCTGTTACAAGTGTGAGAAGTTTGAGAAGTTTGAATGTTACATCAAACGGAGATGAGTCAATATCTTGTAACAAAGAAGAAGACACAGAGATGCAGGAATGGGAGAAAAGAATAGAAGCTGAGAAATGCTCGACCAGTTTAGCAAAAAGTAGAATAAATGAAGACAGTATAACTTCTATTAAAGATGATAATGACGAGATGGAAATTATTGGCGATGATGATGATCAAAACAAGGGTCTCATAAACGAGTCATTGTCAAGTAATTGTTGTGACCTAACTGATGACCAAACACCAAACCAATTTCAAAACAAGTCTGTTGAAGGAAAGCAAAATAACAGTGATGAAGAAGAAGACTATTTCGGCACTAGCTCTGAGGGTCTTAATTTCACTTTACATCTAGAAGAGGATGATAACAAGAAGGAAGCTCCAGAAATGGGCAATAGGGAATCTGGTGACAACAAAAGTGTATGTTTAGCTATCTTTTTTCTCATTTTACAGACTACGTTTGCCAATATATGAGGTAGGGATTTCTTGGGTGGATCATCTTTTAACAGTGAGATTTGCCATTCCTTCGTTTGCGTTTTATGTTATTGAGGATATTCTTGGCAACTTCTTAATTATTAGCTTTCACCTTACCATAACAAACTACAGTTTAGACGTTTGTGGCAGGTTACAAAATCTTGTTGTATATGTTATTTTCAGTGGATGTTTATTCACATAAACTACGATTAATAGTGTTGGATTTAACTATTTTTACGTTTTTTCCATTCAGCTGTGAATGCATTGCAGGGTTTAGTGTTAATTTTCTTCTCTGGCCTTATCTCAATGCATTCTTGACTCATTGATAATCATAAGCAGAGCTGAAAAGGTCTGGTTTATAATGGGTGGTGCCGATTCCTTCATTTCAACCTTGTTTAGGCCATTATACCTATCTTAAGGGTCGATAATACCATAGCTTGCTATCAGATGCCATAATGATTTTGGTTTCTCTAGACTTGCAATACTGGCAATTTTTAAGTTTCCATTGATTATTAAAAACATCGACAAACTGCAGAAATTGACTGATTTTTTATTTTCCTTCATTATTTACATTTAAGGATATTTTTCTGGTAACTCCTGCAAGACAAACCCCACAGTTGCTCGAAAATACTTTTGCGACTCCAGCATTGTATTCAGCAGGGACATTCAGCAACCCAGGTGACCAATGGAACACTGGCGAAGGTGGTGTACTTCCTTTTTCGAAACGAGGTTCTTCTTCTCGGCGAAGTGATTGTATGTCAAATGCAAGTGACCAGAAAGAGGCAGAGGAGTCACCATATGCGAGAAGGCCGATTAAAGGAAAGGGATCTCGGCTAGGAGATAGAAATCAGAAAGAGACTATGAAAATACAGAGTAGCGGTTCAGAAGAGGGTGAAAAAAGAATACCAGTAGGTCGTGGTTATACGGCTAAAAAGCAACTGTTAGTAGATCTGTCTAGGGACATTGATGTTGAGCTTTATGAGCCAGAAGAAAGCATTGAAGGGGAATCACCTGTAAAGTGTTTATCTGGTAGTGAGCTGCAGAACAAATCGGTCTTGTTAGAGCCTCTTTCACCCTGTGTTACAACTTCGCAATTCGAACGGAAAGGAAAGGGAAATGACAAAGAAGAGCAAGATGATCATTTGAAAAGTGTCAGCACTAATTTACCTCTTTTGTCACAAAGAAATGTCATCGATGTCGATGCAGACGACCAAGATGACATTGACGAAATAAGCATTTCGAGGAGTAGCAATATAACCGGTAACAATCAAGCGTCGCCACGAAGATCTGATAGCTTCTTTGATGATGCAATGTCTGATACGTTTGACGTCATGGAACTGAATCCTCATGCTTTAGACACGAGCGGTGAATGCGTTGCAAGAGCTGATAGTTCCCACAGTGATGTCATCGATGTAACCGATTCAGCGAAGCAAGCCAGATGCGCAAGGAATAGACTAGATTTCGAGATGTCAGAGGGATCAAGCGATGAAGTTATTGATACAACACCTAAAAAGAAAAACGATACTTCCCAGTACACGACTTCGTTTAATAATAGGAATATTTCTTCTTCGCAGGGAGAAAAATCAGAGGGAAAAAATTTAGATGGGGAGGGCCAGGCACACAAACAAACGAATGGCTCTCGGCGTAGAAAACGCGAAGATCGTTCAGACGATTTTTCTGATTCTGAGGAAAATTACCCCAGCAGAAAAATGGGCATGACCCCGAGAAAGTCTTTCTCAAAAAGAGGGAGACGGGAGGGTTCTCCGCAAAGTATTACGCTGCAAAAAAGTAATATTCAAAGTGCGAAAGATGCGAGTAATATGCAAAGAGTTGAATGCATGTTAAATGAATCAAGCTCTTCCCTTAAGTCAGATATTGACATTCCCAATGAAAACAATCACAGTGAACATTTAGAGGAGCTTAGCCCTCTTTGTCTCGACATGTCTAAAGGTCCTCAACGATATGCTGAAAATTCTCCAATGGACAAATCAGAATTAAACGCAGTGCACCTTAAAGCTGAGCCTGAAAATGATAACATCACTGGATCGTTACCTAGCTCCATGCATTCGTTTAATGACGATGGCGGTTTTAATCCTGACTTGGACTTTGGAGTACAAACTCAGACTGATAACAAGGCACATGTTGAAACGAGGCTTTCAGATGCGCACTTTCAGATACGTAGCTCTCCACACTCGCTACTAACCGGAGAACCCAAGGCCCATTCTGCAACATTTGAAGAAATTGCAGAAGTCAGAGATGCTCCATATGAAATGGAAGATGAAGAAAACAACGATTTTTCGGATTGTTATATTGATGATGGCGGATTCAATTGTGATGTGCCGCAAGATCTGAATCAAATTTCTAATATTTCAAACACTGTTTTGCATGACATCGATGTTTCGTCTGACGAAAGCCTGACTTTCCCGATAGTAGCTACTAACAAAGGTTCAAAAATGTCCAAGAAAACTCTGTCAGATAACATAGGGTCCATAAGAGAATATCAGGGTGAACAGCATGTTTCAAGGGAAGCTGTAAACCTTAAAGAACAAGACGTTGGTAGAAAGGAAGATGCAAACAATTCGTTAGACAGAGAGCTTTCAAATAGCCAAAACAGTAAACACACTGCTTCTTCTGTCACTCCAGTGAGGAGCAGCATGCAAACAATGAAAACTCCTAATACGGCATTGAGGAATTTTGGCCCAGGCTGCAAATTTCATCCGGAAACAGGCGCATCGATAACACCCATGTCGGATTATGATACATTACACACGCCAGATTTAACAGTAAGTGCGACTATATATTACAAACAACTTTGGTTAAGGTATGAGAAATGTTACATACCAATTATCATTCTTTTCTCCTACGATCAATATTGTGTGTATCTAACAAGTTGGTATGTGAATGTGTGCTGAGCTTTTGACGTATTTTGCTGTTGCGCAGTGTTAGTTTTACTAATAGACAAAGGCACCGCGAGCTCGCAGGTTGGTAGCATCACTACATGTATTAACCTACACACATGCCAGAAATAGTAGTGACATGTTAACATTACTAAGAGTATTGCACGTGCTATTTAAAATAGGGGGAATGAACGGCGTTTTAGTTTCGTCTTTGTAATCAATGGTTGCGAATGAGAGATTAAAGATAAGAGATTCCTATAAATGATAATTCTATTGTTTATAAAGTTTTGTTAATATCTTTATAAAGTTTTATTAATCTAAATGTGATACAAATGTTATATGAATAATTGTTTTGATTCGATTCTGCTTCTTCAGAAAAGAGTAAAGAACTTTGGAATGCGGAAATTACCAAAACATCAGATGGCAGGGAAGCTCCGTGAAATTTACAAAGTAAATCATGGATGTAAGTGATTAGTTGATTTTTTAATTGATCAACTGATTGACTGGTTGATTAATTGATTGATCGTAGTTAAGTGATTGGTTGGTTAAAGTGATTGATCCGGTTGACTCGTTTATTTCATTAAATGCATTGATTGCTTGTGTGATTAAGGAAGGCAAAATAGATGACCTGGTATTTGATTTTTTCTTTAAACAGTTTATTGTTGACGACATATCAATGAAGCAGATCTTTACGAGATATTAATAAATATTTAATTTATAATATGTGAATGAATAAACATAGGAACTAATGGTCATTGTAATTATTTGAAATTTTACCAATGATTGTTTTGGCTCTGTTGTTTAATCTGGTCCTAATGTTATGTTGTGTAAAAATAAGTATTTACACATTTTTAGCTGGTCTTTTTGAGTGTTATCCTATTCTAGTGAGTGTCCCGAAAAGCCACTTTAACAATGGAACTTTTGAAGAGAATTTGCGTCTCATTAAATTTATGGCATTGTTTTCATGATGTTTTCAAGTTCAAAGATACATTTTACTTCTTTTCTCCATTTTTTGTTGCAAGTTTCTTTTATAATTTTCCTTTGTGAATTTATAGTCAAAAGCACCATTAAATTCAAGTGACCCAGTCTCTTCAGACAACAAAATAAAGCGCTTTAATTCCACTGATTTCGAAGACTTTGTAACTTCTTTTTTTGTACCATTATCGTAAACACGCGTCAATATGTTTACAGTCTTTTGGCGCTGTTTCTTCAACGAAAACATTGTGGCTGTACAAAAACTGCGAAACCGTTTCCAATTGAAACCATAATTTACCATCGAATCTCAATGTTATTTGCTGTAAACGCATCTGAAAACAAAATGCTTGTAAGTTGTGTTACAGAAATAAATATGATACATATGTGGTTTTTCAGTTGCACATTGGGAAGAACCACCAACGAAAGCTCACAGGAAACGGAAAGCCAATGTCAAAACGAAAAAAAAAGTAACTAATGAACCTAACGAGAAAGCAAGCAGCACAAATAAGCAACAGGGTAACGAGAGTGAAGAAAACTCCCATTCAGTAGAACGTAACGATCAGTCAGATACGGAGCACTCCTCAAGGTACTTCCTCGTCCAACTCCAAAGGCATTGTCCTCCTCGCTGTCAAGGATTCTCTCCTAGATTTGTAGAAATGAAAAAGCTTGATGTATGCCAGTTTTTTCGTGCTCAGGGTATTACGTCTATTCCTGTTTTGTGACGTAAACGCAAGCAGCCATCTTTGATTGCTCATTCTGATGTTTCTTCAGAGAAACGTGTAATGACTTAAGGAAGATGACATTTAAGTCAATTCTATTTTAGTCAACATGTAGGTTTCTTTTATATCCTGTAATATTTTCGAACTCTTTGCTTGAAGTCATATGGATAATGTTAATAAAGATCTGTTGGTTGTCTTTCAGTTTTGTCTTCGCCAATAAGATCTTCATATTCTTGAGTATCTTTGTTAGATTTTCATGCTTTTTTGTAGTATTTGTTTTTCATGTCAGTGGCTCAGAAACTTATGATAGGTTCTAAAGTTTAAAGTTCCTTGACAAGGTTAGCAAATATAAATAATTTTTACAAGCGATCGGTCCTTAAAAATCTTGCATCAATTCCAGTTCAGCTGATGAAAGACAAAAAACTTTCGAAGGAATTGACTGCAGTGACGATGAAAAAAGCTCTCAAACATCACAGAATGAAGAGGTTATTAAATATTAAACTATCTTGAATTATTAAATATTGTTTGATTCCTATTCAAGTTTGTAAATAGTGGCAACAATAAAGGGTCAATAAACAGAGCAAGGGCTTTGGATCAAGAGCCCTTTCTGTAGATAAGGAAACAAGCAGTATATCTCTGAGTTTATGCTACCAAAGACATCTTTGTCTAGCTTTTGCCTTTTATCATTGCTGTTAATGAGTGAATGCTTCTCCCATTATACCATTATAGTAATTAATTGCAGTTATTTTGTGAGCTTCTGTTTCAGAATTTTGGTTTTCTTCATTTTTCAATATTGTTGGCATTCAGCTTGTAAATGCTTTTTATAAGTTAAAAATGTACTGCACCTGCTATTAGGTAAATACGATGCAGTCGAATTTTATGACATTCCTTGTTTTCTTAAGCAGTCTAAACGGGCCCAATATGAAAAGCCACATAACATAACTCTGAAACCAATGGCAAGAAATGACCATTAGCTAAGCCAGACAGGTTACTAATTCTCATAAAATCTAATCTATGTTTCGTGACATAAAATCTAATTTTTAACGCATATTATTTATTATCTGTACTTCAGACTCAGAGTGATGAAAGTATATCTGAAAAGCTGTCAAGATTTATGAAAAGTAACAAGGATTTCTACCACAAAATATTAACTTACCAGGTTCGTAAACTTTGGTAGCTTTGAATTTTCATTTACATTTTCTTTAAAGTGACTGACCAAGAAATGATGAAAAATCCTCAGCTAGATCTCCAACTCATTCACTGACAAAATCTAGCAATCTTATAAGCAATTAGCTGTTCTTAAACTTCCTATTTTTTGTGTCTATAAAGTGTCTATTTTTTGATATTTTCACGTTTGGTAGAGTTAAAGCGTGTTTGTCCCTATCGCATAAATGATTTAAATGTTGGTATCTTTTTTGTGTCTCTTGAAGCCTTCCTGGAAACTAACTTTCTTCTGTTAATTTTTCATAACCTGTCGGCAGAGCTCTAGAAAATGCAACGCCTCTTTTATTTACAGAAACTAAGTTTTGAAGATATATACAAGGCTGTCAAGGAAGCAAAGTTGAAATGCACGAAAGCTCGGTTGATGGATTTTCTTGACGACCAAGTAAGTGGCTACAAAACATATCCATAATTTTAAACCTTCTCTCGGTGCCAACAGTGCTTGTTGAAGGCTCTTGCACAACCGGCATGCTTTGCGACTATATTTTCAAAACCGGCCTAATATCTTGCTGCATGAAAACACAAATCACAATCAAGTTCTCAACTGCCGCTAAGCATGCCGATTGCGCAAGAGCCTTTTAGGAGACAAACGAGCAAACGTCTGCTAATATGTTAGGCACCCCGACCCCCGTTTTAGAGTCAAAGAGCCTGTCTAATAATGATTATGTTCCATGCGCATGCTCCTTGACTCCAAGACGGGGGTTGCCTCACTCATTGTAAGTTTTAAGATTCTTTTGTTCGTCGGTACAATTGCCACCTATTGCCCCTCTACTGTTCCCCTTATGCATATCTTTCTAGGGGATTTGTTCGTGTAATGAAGTTTCAATGTGTCATAATTCCCCGTTCTCCGTGACAATGAGCTATATAGTATATTAACTGCAGGATGTGAGACCATTTCCTTAGGCAATACATTTCCACTATGACCCGATTCACAGCTTAAAACCAAGAGCAAACACCAAACAAATAATGATGCTCTAAAACTATTTTCGCAACTATCCGAATTCTGATTGGGTGTTTCTAATACTGCATAAGGAAAAAAATTCAAATTTGGCTGTTTTAATATATCCTATTTATGAAAGAATGCCTTACAACAGTGTTTGTCGCAGTGGTCAAAAACACATTAAAAGGACCGAAGGATCTTCTTTGCTTTCAGTAGCGTTTCGGTAGAGTGATATACAATCTTTTTATGAGAACAATTTGACAGTTTTAAAGAACACCGAGGCAATCAAAGCAACATAAGAACATGTCCATCCTAAAATGAAAGTTAACACAAAAAACCATTTATTTTGGAAAATTTCCTCTTATGTTAACAAAAAAGAGCATATTTTACCGCTCTGCTAAAAACGTCACTCTTAAGAACCATTTACAGTAATGAGTTCAATGTTGAAATAAGACCAACATTAAGAACACTCGAGCCTCAGATTGTCCGAAAAATAAGAACATTGAGCCTCGTCAAAAATTACATGGTTCTTATGAATAAAAAATATTCTATTTAAATATCAAATTTATAAAAATCAGCTGATTCCTATAAGAGTGTACATCAAAACTTTCTTATATCGTTTCCCAGTATCGTGAATGAATTTCTACCGTGTAGGAAACAACACTGCAAATAAATTCTAATTACGAGGTACTGCTGTTAAAGTTTCCTGCATGAATATTCCGGCCTAAACAGACTTTTGCACTTCTTACTGTTTGCCACTTCATAAATGAATTTTGTTTTTAATAAACATAATTCTCTAGTTGCTTACGGGCTACAAGAAAGTTTTATGTCGTACTTTTGTCGCAATGGTTAGAACTGATTGTTGAAAAGAGCCTCATCAACACAGTTGTTATCTCTATGATACCTCCAGCCTGGATAATGGAAACAAGATAACCGTCTTTTAAAACCCATCTATGTTTTCTCTTCTGTAATTTTATCTGTGCCAACTTTCGAAATGGAATAATGTTTTTTTTTCTTGTTTCCTATAATGAGAAGTCCAGGTACACTGAAAAAAATTGGCTTCAACCCTTACGAACCAGTACATAGAAAGACACAAAAACTATACGAACCAGTTATTTTCCTTGTTTCATGACAGTATTTTTATCAAGTTGTCTGTTTTTCTTAATTATTATATTTTTGGTGACATATTTATATAGCATATTTTATATTTGTCATAATAGACAACAACAAACTCACATGTTGGGTCCGCTTGTCTGGAGTATTACATTTGGGAAAATCTATTTAATAAGTTAAAATACTCTGCACCGCACATCAGTGCTTTGTTAATCGCTATGTCAGACCGTTCTCTAAAGAATGCAGCGCCTTCATTCGTGCGACATTTATTTCTTACATGCTTTGAATAAAGGTTTCTTAGCAATCGAGTTTAAATAAAATTATCCATGGTTTGCCATTACGTTTTGTTAGGAATAAAAAAAGTTTAAACGCAATGGTAAATTCCCCCCACTTTCTATGCTCTTGTCAAGTTATGCGTTGGTTTTCCTGAAAACTATTGCATCGCTAGATAACCTTTTCCTCAGGCTCACAGCCATGGAACTGTAATATTTCCAAAATGAAATACACATTTTTATAAAAATTCATTTTATAAGGACCTTGAGGCTCGATTTTTTTTAAATTGGAGAACCATTTCATAGTAGTATCCCGGCTCAAATTTTATCGACAGTATGGCAATTTATCAGTCGAGTTCCAAGGCGTTTGAGCGAGGCTCATCAAGCTTGTATTGTGCTAGCATGTTTCATATCTTAAACTTTGATTAACGGTTTTATTGAAAGGTCTTGTTCTTGGAGGTAATAATAATGAAAATATGAAAAGAGTAAGAATAATTTAACAATTATTGTTGGTGTAAGAAAAAATTCTTAAAAGAATTGAGACTTGGCAAAAACTTAACGTATTCTTTTAAATATGGTGTGTGAATCGAGGAAAAACTGGATGTAAATTGCTATATTAACAGCGGAATTTATTTTCGATAATTTTCAAAAGATGCATGGTCAAAGGTTTTCATGGATAAGAATTTAATGGAGGTGTATCATAGACTAGAATTGAGTTCATTCCCTTCCTGGACACGTGATAGAAATAGAGCCACGTGACACTTTGGCGACATGAGTTATTATTACTTAACACCCATGTAATATCCAGCGGTAACCAAAAACCAGTGGTAACCAAGAACCAGTGGTTAGTCGTTGGATTTACTTGAAAAACCAAAATAGCACACTGTTTTTGAATAACTTTCACTTTAGTTCAGCACGGAAATACGAAACATGCAATAAAGATGCTTCAAAATCGTTTTCACAATGGCTGCGCAATAAAGGGGCCGAGGGAGTCATGCCCCCTAACTCTCAGTAGACTAAATTGTTAATCATTGATCACCACATTTTTGCTTGATGCCACCCCCAGTTTTACGTTCAAAATGTGGCCCCTGTTTCGCTCAACCCTCATACGAGTGCTGAGCAAAACGAGTGTCTTCGTTTGATGAGGTTGAAGCTAGTCTATGGAAATATGAGCGGCTCTTATTACCTCTTATGTTTTGATCAATCACTGCACTTTAATATCATGCCTAATACAACTGATCATCTTACTTTTTGGCTAGAATATAAACTTGCATGTACTCGAGCTTGTTCTATTACATCGCCGCGAAAGAAACAATGCGGCAGCATGTAGAGAACAATGGAGTCTTCGTTCGAACGGCAATGTGATGAACTGAAATGCAGCCGTTCATGCCCCGTACTTCCAAATCCGCCTAAATTTTACTAAGTTTCTCCTTTATGACAGCCGTGGCTTGAAAGTTTTGAAAATGCTATGATTTAACGGCATTGTAACGGAGATAGTGTTGTTAAGTGACGTCATCAAATAATCTATTTCTGGAATTTTAGAATTTTGGCCACCACAAGCTGAAAGAGCAGCATAAAATACCTTTGAGTATGCAAAATCAGATGAATGTGCTCGAACTGCCTGAAACATGGTCAGTGAGATTCGGGCTACTGTTGTTTGGGCCTGGTTCATAGTTGTAAGACTCGGGACCAAATTACAGTGATTTGATGGGGAAGGAACCCTTGCTTATGTGACAGTATCTCTCTCACGCGATTAGAAACAGATCAAACTTATTTTGCAAATTTAGAGGTATTTTCTGGTGTTCAAAAATTCTAGGAATAAGTCAGTTATGGGAGCAGACTTCAAGAATTCTAGGAATAAGGTTTTGATGCCATGTATTTGACACTCTATTTTAAGACTGAAACAGTGCATTCTAAATCATATTTTCTGACTAACAAGATCTGTCCTATTGGGGGTTTCAAGATTTTATTGCTGGGAATTTGTCTCCTCTCTACCTGTTTTTCTGGATGCTTTTGTCTATGCTAAGACTATTAAACCTTTGTGATAGGAATTCCTCAACATTTTGGCAACGTAAAATGCAATTTCTGACTAGGAGGAGATATTGCCCTGAAATCGTTATTGAGTCTTATCATCGGTGACATAAAAATCGACTGGTGACCTTCAATTACTGCAGTCAATATAAATTGATTAGATGATAATTTTTTTAAGACGATTTTTATTACATTTCCACACAGAAGACATCTCAAAACTTTACGAGATTAAGTTTTCGAGGACTTAAGTATCTCAAATGTCGTACAAATTAAGCACAGTCAGCTTCGCACCTTGCCAAAGCTAATCAATATATAGATTTTTTTACTGTACAGCTGGTGTCGATTTCGTTATATTCTAATTAATAGCACTTATACGTTAATTAGTTCAAGAAGCGAAGCGGTCGCCTCGAACGACGAAAGTATTCCGGTTTTGTCATCCATGTTTTGCAGTTGATAACTTTAGCGGTCATAGTCAGATGTCGAAAAGGAAGCAACACGAGAAATACTCACGGTGCATCATATTGCCGCTCGACCTTCCTTTCAAGGATATTTCGTCATCCTTTCAAATTTTAAGTGCAAACTTTGACTTTAGTGCTGTTGCTATTCAATGTATTTCAAGCAATTCAATGTATTTAGAGAAAATTTTCGCTATACCACGAGGACGATTCTGACATCAGTTTTTAAACGAAAAAGTGGCACGGACCACTCGCCGTTTAGCAATATTAACAAGAAAAGAGTCCATGCTTTTAGAGATCGTCTATAATTTCCATTTTGATACAAAATATTTCCGGAGATATCTTCCAACAAAATGCGTTAAGGAATCAAAGAAAAATTAGTGAATTCAGGGTCTTTTTTACACAACTTTATTATCTTCAAAGATAGACAAAAATATATTTAAGTTGCTTTACAGTAAAAACCCGCGTATAAGAACCTGGATTTTAGGAACCCGTTTGGCTAAAATTTCAACTTTAGGCCTCCTCCACATAAGAACCTTTCAAGCTAAAATTTAAAGTTAGGTTTTTACCAGTG